GTTATATAGCCTCACCCACTCCATAGTGCAGAGGCGGAGAAAAGCCCATTCCGTCACTTACCTGGGTCCAGCGCCGTTGTCCCTCGGCACTAGCTCAAGTCCACGACATCGGCCGGCGGGGGAGAACTGCTACATTTGGATTAGGAATTCACCATAAGAAAGCATTATACAATGCTTTCCTATAGGGTTTTGGGTGACACTGGGCATCCCCTTGTATAGAGTGATAATGTCCAGGTCAGTTAGACCACTAGAGGTGGAGTTAACCCTAAAAGGTCATTATTGCAGGTTTTTTAAAACCTGCAATAATTTACCTTTGTAGTGTTAAAGGACCTGGGACAGTGTGCCCAGACCACTTCAATAAACTGAAGTTGTTTGGGTGCTTTTAGTGTCGCTTAGCCCCTCAAAGGAACTCTCCAGTGCCAGAAAAACAAACCGTTTTCCTGGCACTGCAGGTCCCCTCTCCCTCCCACCCCCCACCCCAGGTTGCTGAAGGGGTTAAAACCCCTTCAGTGACTTACCTGTATCCAGCGCTGATGTCCCTCGGTGCTGGTTAAGGGTCCGCCCACACTCCTCCTCTGCCGACGTCATCCGGCAGGGGAGACCTATTGCACATGTGCGGCAATGCCTAGTAGACAGCCACTAGAGGAGGAGTTAACCCTGCAAGGTAAATATTATAATTTGCAGTTGCAGGGTTAAGAGTAGTGGGAGTTGGCACCCAGACCACTCAAATGGGCAGAAGTGGTCTGGGTGCCTGGAGTGTCCCTTTAAGGATGGAAGCAATTGTACAAGTTTTGACCAAAACAAAACCTAAAATTTGAGCCACGTCTGTTCAACCATAATTGACCTTTTTCATATTAAGTGCACCCACACTTAACATATAACATTTTCTTCAGGAGAAACAGGGCTTTCATTTTCCCCCAAAAAATTTTTAAATTTTTTTTTATATAATAATATATATATATTTTAATATGAATAAAATCTAAAGTGTGAGAAATTAAGATATGTTATTTTCAAAGTTCTACATGGCATTTAACTGTGATCTGTGAATGTCAAAATACATTTCGTTTTTACTGCAATAAAATACAGATATTTGTATGCTGTGATATCACAAGAGTACAACGTTGCCCCCTATGTACAGGTTTCCTGGTGTTTTGGAAAGGTACAGGGGCCAAATAAAGAGCTTGCCCTCTTCAGTTTTTATATGTGAAAATTTGCCAGATCGGTTTGTTGGGCCTATGTTGCCTTTTGAGACAGTATGATTGCCCAGGAATGAAAATTACCCCTGTCATGGCATACCATTTGCAAAAAAAGACAATCCAGAGTATTCAAAATGGGGTATGTCCAGTCTTTTTAAGTAGCCACTTAGTCACAAACCCTGGCCAAAGTTGGTGTTCATATTTGTTTTTTTTCAATTTTTCACACAAAAACTGCACTTTCACCTATGATATCATCGTCATGATACATTTTACTGTTTTAATACACTCATTTGTGTTCAGTGATGTCTCACGGGTACAACAGTGCCCCTATATGCAGGTTTTATGGAGTTTTAGAATGTTACAAGGTCAAATACAAGGCTTGCAAATTAAATTCTCTATATTTAGGTATTTCTGTCTGGATTGTCAGGCAGGTTCCCCAATATAGAATTAATAAACTAATACAATTATATATAAATGATACATAAAATGCATGTAGTATCAAATTTATATATTATTATTTTTTATGAATATATATATTTATTTGTATAAAATGTCAGTCTAAGTGTATTTTGATATTAATTTATATAAGGATGTCCTGCAAGGGGTTAGGTCACTTGAAAACAATAGTTATTTATTAAAGTCAGAATTTGGGGGGATACAATTCAGATTGAAAAATAAACATAGAACGGAGTTTGATTTTTTCCCAGAACAGCTATTCTTGCCTAAAATTTGCAATTTGGATTTAATGCACTCAAATTTGGAGTAAAGTGGACTACCTGAATGTGCTTTTAGTTGGTTCATTCTCACTATATACACAAACAGTCAAGTATAATATCTCCAGACTCATAAAAGTCATCTTAAAGAAACACTTTGGTCACTATAACAACCTTATCTTCGTAAAGCTGTTATGGTGACTGGAGGTGCCATCTTACCTTAACCCCTTAAGGACCAAACGTCTGGAATAAAAGAGAATCATGACATGTCACACATGTCATGTGTCCTTAAGGGGTTAAGTGAGTTGTCATGGTGCCTGGAGTCTGTATGTGCAGTGTTTCTCTATGGGAAACTGCACATACAAAGTTTAACCCCTCTGTTTAACTTTACATCCGGCCACGTTAGTGAGGCATCATTAGTCAGTAATTATTTAACAGTTCATATAAAGCGTTCTAATCTAACCCATGGCATTTTACAAATTCTGCAAATAATCAGATATGTTTAGAGGCAATTGGGTATATATTAAGACATAAGGATAAAGAAGATGTTGAGAATCTTGTCCTTGGGATTGAAGCCAAGTGCTTCCTAAAGGTCACTGTGCAAAACAGACCATGATCTTACAATGTAAAGACTTAGAGATAGGCTACACTACTTATCTCTACAATCACACAACCTTTCAGAACATTTAGAGAAACATATTTCATTCTATAGGATTTAAAAATTAAAAAAAAGGAGTGGATTAACAACAACAATAATAATAACAACAACAATACTTCATAATAATTATGTTGATACGACCAAACACAAAGCTTTGTCCAGAGGGGGGCTGGTGATTAGTTAAGAGCATCAGCTAATGCGCTCATCCAATCAGCGGCTTTTAGTCCAAGGCTTCAATGAGGAATCATCAGAGGTAGTGGAGGGAATTTTGGGTTAGCTATTTGCTAAAAGTCTAACCCTTCATAATAAGATGGTTCATAAGACCTCCTTTCACCATAACAACTTCATTGCCTTCATCAACTATTTTAGGCTCAGTTTCGCAGCTGAGATTTAATAAGCTAAAATTTGGGAACAGACACATTTAAAGCAACACCATAGCACTTTTTTCCAGCGTTGAGGAGAGGCTCCTTGGTGCTGCCACCCTCTCCTCCAGGATGACGGTCCTATCCAATGTTCCTTATAGAAGAGATTCTTGCCATAACCATTGAATGCAGTGATTTCTAATAATAAACTGTGATGACACCGTGCATGCTCATGTGACATCACGGTATCCCTGGGTATAAAGAGACAGAAAGTAACAGCACTGGCTCTCCTATCAAAAAGGGGTTTGATCCATGGATTGAAGCCAAAGTTCCAAGCATTCTAAATATTAAAATATTGCAATTTAGTATATAGAAATGTGGGGATATTACTGCAGGCTCTATAATAACTTCATTTAAAATGTTGTTCTAGTGAGCACAGTATTCCTTTAAAGTTAATATAGCTGAGCTGGGAACAGCTGACTTGGAAAATTTGTTTCTAGAAAAAAAGAAATGTATTGGCTAACTGCAAACAATTCAAAGTTTAGTAAATAATTGTTATTGAGACAATTATGCAATGATTTTGGAGGACTAAACTTCCCCTATGTAGCTATTACAATGCAGAGTACTATTGCTCTTTTCAAGCCCTTTATAATAAAGTAAGGCTGCCTGATCACTGAAGATCTAATTACACTACTTTAAATATAAACTTTCTATAAATAAGGTTACATACGTTTTATTGAACTTTGTTTCAAAGGCATATAAGAAACAATCAATCAGATTATACGTTCTTTTTCAGTGTCCAGATTCAAAAGATTTCAGTTTGAGCAGACTCAACAAGTGACTTACTAGAATGATGATGTTAGAAGTTGAACATTAAGATAAGTTGTGATACAAATCAGTAACCACAACCAACACTCCCTCCTGCCCCGGTTGCTCACATGGGAGGAAGCCCTTCCTAGCAATACACACAAACGCCGTATTTGTACTAGTAGGAGCGCCTACTGCTTGACTAGCATTACAGGAGAAATGTATCCCGTTATAAATGGAGATCTGTATGTTACTTTGTTACAGCTGCATGCGCCATGGCGGGTTTTCAAAGCGGTCTTTCACATCTCATTATCAGTTGGGGATTTAGGAGATATGTTTGAGTGCAATGTGCACAGATTTTCAGAATATCAAAATATCTCAACTTACTATTAAAGGCTGCATGTTACTGTGGTAAAATAATTAAAAAGAAAATCTAAACTAGGCGTCTCAAACTCTGGAATCCATGATGTTAATGAATAACAACCCCTATGATTCTCAATGTATTGCAGTCAAATAAGTGTGAGAATTGGAGGCCATTCACGTCGGGGAGCTAGAGTTTGAGATTCCTGCTCTAGGCACGATAGCCACTTTATATCATTGCTCTCCCCTGTCACTTTAACCCCTTAAGGACACATGACATGTGTGACATGTCATGATTCCCTTTTATTCCAGAAGTTTGGTCCTTAAGGGGTTAAGCACCATAACCACATTATTGCAATGATTACCTTGCAGCACCCTCCGGCACTGAGAGGGGGAATTATAAGGAAAGGGCCACATCAATTTCAAATGTGCCAACTCTTCCAAGTCATATTTACATCCAAGTGCTGATAGACAAGAGTGCAAAAATAACATTAAATAATACGTTTGCTTCCTGTGGCATTTATGGTAAATGCTTTATGTACCGAATTTAATATTCATCATTTTGTGTTTTTGGTACCTAGAAAGATATTTAGAAATCAGAATAGCTGATAGTACACCATATACATATAAAATAATAGTGCGTGCTAGATCTATCAGACACTGGCTGTATATGTTAACAGCCGCCCAATGCATATACTGTGTTTATTGTTATAGACGTCTTTTAAAAAAAAAAAAAAAAAAAATTCCCCTACACTCCCTAATGGTAAAGTTCCCCTAACTCTACATACTTTTCCATTGCAGCGATCATTCTGAAGTTGTGTTAGAACCGTGAAATACCCCAAGCGTTCCAATGAACACACAGCCCAGTAGTGCACTACCTTATGGACGGCTACATATTGCCGTTCCCTTTTCGACCTTTTAAATGAATACCTCTGACTTTAAGGAGGGCTCTATTCTGATACTTACGGCTACACTAGTTTTGCATTGCCTGAAGTTCAGTGCGGGTTGCAGGTCTAGTTAGTCTATGTGAGGGGTGTGTGTAAGAGTTAGGCAGGCAGCCAGACAATAGAGGGGCAGAAGAGATGTGATCCCTACTGCACTGCTGGCTACACATTCTAAGTTGGGGTACAGAAATGGGGGGCAAAGCTAGTAGACTGTGTTGCCTGCAAGCCAGGAATAAGGTAAGCTAATTTTTTTTGTTGAGGCTTCCGCTTCCTTTTTGTCTTATCAGAAAGAGGGCACTAACCGCTTCTTAACCCATGATAAATATATCTGTTTTGGCAACGTATGAGTTAAAGGCTATCCCGTTCAAAAAATAAAATAACCGCAGAGATAAATAAATCTGTGGTTATCAGTAGCTGTGTGCATTGGGAAAGAAGGGTGGGTCAAGTCATAACTTCTAACACGTTATGCCGAAAGCAATACCTAATATATATATATATATATATATATTACCAGTGTATTATGACATGGTTATTTGTGTAATTTGTTCTTACAATCTAGATGACTGTATCAGATCATGGTACAGCGGTTAGTATTGCTTTAATTAGATCTATTTTTGTTTCTTCCACCCACTGAATGACCTATGACCTTGCTAAATTATATAAATTATATTGGTGTATATTTAAACTCTGCACAGATACATCGTTTCTTATGGGGTAGTTAGAAAACATACTTGTTCTTCCTGGACATTAAAAAAAAAATAAATCTATTTTAAGGAATGGATTATTAGAAATATTGCAATTAATTCTAATTATAATGCAGCTTGCAACATACATTGCATTATTGGCTTTTAAAGTTGAAATATGGTTGCCACCATAGACTACTTGCTCATAGACTGACAGTTGTCAAAGGGATTTTGCCATCCCCAGCTCTTATAAAACTACAGATCTGTTAATTTTATATTTCGTTATTTTTATTTGACGAAAGGTCAAAGCTAGCAATATTTTTACTATTTCCCAACTCTGTGTCTTTCTCTGGGGTTTAAATGAACTTTCACCATCGGGTAATACAAACAAAGCTATTTGGAATGGAGTATAAAACTCAACAAGTTATTGCTAGATTTTGTTGCCATTCTGAAACAGTTGTGTCATTGGAACCCAGCATGTAACTTGGAGCATCTCCTATCTGTCTGCTGATAGGCAGAAATGTGCATAGAGGCTCTGTTAATCTTCAGTTATTGCAGAGCTGGTCAGAAGTGCTTTTCTTGCAACTTTTGAGGTTAAAAGATCTGTAACTGGTTTAACCCCTTAAGGGCCAAACTTCTGGAATAAAAGGGAATCATGACATGTCATGTGTCCTTAAGGGGGTTAACCTCCTAGGGTAAGACAGCGCCCAGGCACCATAACAACTTCATTAAGATGTTCATTTAATTAATTTTTTTTTTTATCCCCTGTGCTTTTTTGAGATCTGAGAAAATGAAATGTTGAAATCCAAACCACTGCATTTAACTCTGAGGGCCTCCATCTTGTGTACCCTTTCAATTAAGTTCTGCCCATTTTTGACAGTCTTTGCACCTGTCAGCATATATAGAGTAGGAGAAGCTGAAACAAAGTTTGCATTTCTACTCCTCTAAGTTAATGTGTGCCACGAACTGAACTGTATTATGAGGTCTATCGCTGAATTTAACATCCATTTAAAATGAGACTTGTGTGAACAAAATAGTTACCACAAGTTATAGTAATAGTGTGTTTTCTGTGGAGTAATTTCCAGGGAACTAATGGTTCACTTACAGTCTCACTCACATGACATTAGGGGGAAGAAACCTGCCAGTTTGACATTGCTATTTTATGAATACTTAAATAATATATTTCTAATGCCTCCCTTTAAGGAACACTATAGTGTTAGGAATACAAAGCTGTATTCCTAACACCATAGTGTTCCTCTGCCACGCCTCCTGCTGTGGCAATGAAAGGGTTAAAAATTAATTAATAATGTACCTGACTTTAGCATAGAGCTCACTTGGTGCTGGTTCCATGTTCACCCCCCTCCGACGTCGTCGCGTGGGGGGAACCTAATGCTTTACGCCTTCCCTATAGGAATGTACAGAATCAATTATTTCCTATTGAGGTTTCAAGACGCTGAACTTCCGTATGCAAAGCGTGAGTTTGTCCAGCGTCAATTAGGTGATGAAAGGTTGGTTAGCCACCAGGATGTGCCTCTAGTGGCAGTCTGATTTGCAGCCACTACAGGCACTTTTAGTCCTGCAATATAATTTTTGCAGTTTCTCTGAAATTACAATTCCTTACATTGCATGACTAAGTGGGACTGGGACACTGCACACAGGCCACTTCAATGAAATATATATTTAGATCAATATATAGTTGATGCATATAGTTGATCCTCTTTATAAGGGCATCCAATCCTCTCCCACTTTACCGTGGTTGGTCTGGCGAGTTGAACTTACCTGTATCCTCGTGGTCCGGCCTCCTGGCTTGCTGACCGTTTTTTTTTTCACGTTTGACGACCGCTGGACTTCACCTCCCACGTGGTCTACCTGTGCCTTCCCAGAGGTCCTGCTGCTGCTGGGCACCTGTCTGTTCCACGAGGTCTGATCGCTACACAGTAAGTTTGCCTGATGGGTGCTTCTCTGCTCGCTGTCTGGACCAGGGGCTCGGGTACCTTCCGGCTCACCAGGTTTCTCCAGCACCCCGGCTGCGCCTGTCGCTAGCTGCTGAGAGTCCCCACTCATCGTCGGTAATTACCCATCAAGCTGGGACCAATAATGTCATACTGCTGGCACGTCTGCTGCTCCCTGGGTCCATAACCTGCCATGACTGACCTCTGGCATCCCTTCTGGGGTTTCTAATACTCACGTGATGCTCAGCCAGCTGGTATGTAGTCTACCTCTCTCATGGTACTTGGCCTGCTGGTATGGTGTAAGCCTCTCTCATGGTGCTCAGGCTGCTGGTATGGTGTATGCCTCTCTCATGGTGCTCAGGCTGCTGGTATGGTGTATGCCTCTATCATGGTGCTCAGGCTGCTGGTATGGTGTATGCCTCGTTCATGGTGCTAAGGCTGCTGGTATGGTGTATGCCTCTATCATGGTGCTCAGGCTGCTGGTATGGTGTATGCCTCGTTCATGGTGCTCAGGCTGCTGGTATGGTGTATGCCTCGTTCATGGTGCTCAGGCTGCTGGTATGGTGTATGCCTCGTTCATGGTGCTCAGGCTGCTGGTATGGTGTATGCCTCGTTCATGGTGCTCAGGCTGCTGGTATGGTGTATGCCTCGTTCATGGTGCTCAGGCTGCTGGTATGGTGTATGCCTCGTTCATGGTGCTCAGGCTGCTGGTATGGTGTATGCCTCGTTCATGGTGCTCAGGCTGCTGGTATGGTGTATGCCTCTCTCATGGTACTTGGCCTGCTGGTATGGTGTATGCCTCTCTCATGGTGCTCAGGCTGCTGGTATGGTATATGCCTCTCTCATGGTGCTCAGGCTGCTGGTATGGTGTATGCCTCATTCATGGTGCTTAGCCAGCTGGTATGGGGTCTGCCGCTCTCATGGTGCTTAGCCAACTGGTTTGGGGTCTGCCGCTCTCATGGTGCTCGGCCAGCTTATTTGGGGTCTGCCGCTAGCATGGAGCTCGGCCAGCTGGTTTGGGGTCTGCCACTCGCATGGAACTCGGCCAGCTGGTTTGGGGTCTGCCACTCGCATGGAGCTCGGCCAGCTGGTTTGGGGTCTGCCACTCGCATGGAGCTCGGCCAGCTGGTTTGGGGTCTGCCACTCGCATGGAGCTCGGCCAGCTGGTTTGGGGTCTGCCACTCGCATGGAGCTCGGCCAGCTGGTTTGGGGTCTGCCACTTGCATGGAGCTCGGCCAGCTGGTTTGGGGTCTGCCACTCGCATGGAGCTCGGCCAGCTGGTTTGGGGTCTGCCACTCGCATGGAGCTCGGCCAGCTGGTTTGGGGTCTGCCACTCGCATGGAGCTCGGCCAGCTGGTTTGGGGTCTGCCACTCGCATGGAGCTCAGTCAGCTGGTTTGGGGTCTGCCACTCACATGGTGCTTAGCCACCTGGTATGGGGTCTGCCACTCGCATGGAGATTAGCATAGAGCGGGGGTAGGCAACCTTTTAGCAGCACTGTGCCGAAACATGATTGTGATGTCCCGTAGCATGTCGGTCCTATTTCTTTAAATTGAGGTGTGCATGTTGCCATATTCTGCTTGTGTTATTTATACTGGATTTGCTTTGTATCGTTGTATTTGTGCGTATATGAGCTATTATATTGTATATGTTCATTAATAGTTTGTGGTATCATGTATAATACGTATGAATTTGGGCTGTGTATGGGGGCTGCTTGTGGAATTGTGTGTGGATGGATATGTCACATTGTGTATTTGGTAGTGTGTGTATGTTTTGGGGCTGTTTGGGGTATTGCATGTGAGAGGCTGCATGTGGGGTTGTGTGCATTTATTTGGATTGTTGGTGGTGGTGTGATTGTGCAGACTGTGTGTGTGTTTGTATAATTTGTATGAGGGGAGGGTTATTCTGTAGCTCTGAGGCTTCCCTGGGTTTTCGTGGGGTCCAGGTTGGCCAGGTACAGCTCAAGGACAGAAGCTGCAACAGGAAGCTGTGGGCTGCTCTACTCCAGTGTGGATTTCCATTCACAAGTGCTGGGAGGAAGTGATCTGAGATCACTTTCTCTAGGTGCTGCAATGCATAAATGGAGGATTGTCCTTCACCACCTTTTCATATTAGCAGATTTCTGACGTTTCACTGAGACTCCTGACAGGCCAGAGCCTGTTTGGCTCTTGTAGCCCTGAGTGCCGTGCAAAGGCACCTCGAGTGCCGTGCATGGCACTAGTGCCGTAGGTTGCCTACCCCTGGCATAGAGTATGTGTTTTCTTATAGCGGCATCCTTTGAGTTTCCCTCCAACACCATCTCCATCAGATACATGACGCTTGAGAGGTGTGACTGTTTGTGTTTTTGGTCTATAAGATTCTGTAACTAGGCCCCATCATAATTATCAGCATCAGGCCCACTGGAATCTTAATCTGGCCCTGTATGTCACTTACTATACTAATAGCTGGTTGTCATCGTAGTGTGGGTATGTGTGACTCATCTACGTGTATTTTGCTATTTCTAGTGACTCTCCGTATGGTGTAATTGACCTAATTCTGCGTAACCGGTCCACGCTGTCGCATACATTTTCAGTCACCATTCCAAATGGGTCCACAATATGGCCCTCGCAGAGGCATACGTTCTCAGACTCCAGTCTAATTGGGTCCAAGACCTGGCCGCACAGAGGCATACGTTCTCGGACTCCATTCTACATGGGTTTACGATCTGGCTGGGTCCACGATCTGGCCCACACTAAGGTCCTCTATTAGCAGATAATACTGGTTGTTAAGGATCTAGGTGCCCACTATGGTAGGTTTCTGGCCTCTATGCCATAGTCTAGTGGTCCCGCGAGGCCAACACCCATCCTCATACTCGGAGGTACCCTCATAGTTGGAGGACGACGCCATCGGCCCAACGCAGTTATTCGCCTTGAATTGTTGCATAGGCAGAGCCTCACCTGTCACTCCTATTCTATCTTTGCTTTAGTAGTCACCGAGAGGCCATCACCCCGCCACCCGCTTTTCAGTGGACTCTACCTCCCCTCGGGCCAACGCATAGAGCCTCTCATGCTGCTTGGCAACTAGCAGGGCCTCACCTGTCACCCTCATTAGTTGAATTCTTCGCCACTTGGCAATAACTAGCCTGCCGGTACGTTATATGGATCAAACTAATGGTGGCTTTGTATGTCTTGAGTTCCCAAGTTACTAAGGTACTGTTTCTACCCAACACCTCATCCACTTGTACATTATATATACCAGAACCGGTTAGGGATTGGTCAGGCATTCGTGACTTATCCAAGTAATTTTGAGATATGGTAGAACAAATATATTTTGTATGGTACACTTCTTTTTGCCCTCTTTATTACAGGCCTACAACCTTGTCTGTTCCGGCACACCACAATCGACTGGTATTCTTAACTATGATGTTTATTACTAATTATATGTTATCTAACCATCACGGCAATATTGCCCTGACCACAAATAATAAAAATAAAAATAAAAAAAAAACAGTGGCAGTTTGCTTTTTACTGCTTTATTCACAACTACGCTGTGGTTCAGTGTCTTACAAATTTGATTTGATCTAGGAGCCAGCTAAAAAGTTAGGAGCCAGGTTTTTGTTTTAAACTAGCAAAGCATTATTATCAACAACAAATATACAATTCTTAATGGGACACTATAGTCACCAAAACCACTACAGCTTAATGTAGTGGTTCGGGTGTCTATAGCCTGTTCTTGCTGGATTTTCAATGTAAACACTGCCTTTTTAGAGAAAAGGCTGTGTTTACATTGATGCCCAGTAACACTTAACAGTTACTCAGATGGCAAGTAGAGGTGCTTCACAGTGTGCAACTCTTATGTTCAGTGTCTGCACACTCATCATGGAGGCGCATTGTGTTTGCCACAGAAATGCAATGGTTTAATGCAGCTCTATGAGAAGATGCTGATTGGCGCAGCATGGTATTTTGCTGCATATGTGCAATAGCCTCTCAATGCAGCTTACAGAAAAGCATTGTATTGGCATGAGACATCAAGACTGATTACCTCAGCCAATGATGCTGGGCCAGCTAACACTAGACTGGCACAGCATGGGAAAAAAGGTGAGTAAAACACCTTTCCACGTGTTCGGAGGGAGGGCAGTCACCTAAACAAACACACTCGCTGACAGACCGGCGCAAGCAGTTTCTCATACACTCACAAACTATAATTTTTTTATTTTAATTTCAGTCCACCCAGACTCTCGGAGAGCTGGAGTGCATCCTTTCTCTGGGGTCCAATGTGTGGCTGTTATCTTCAAGATTTTTTTGCTCTGCTCCATCGAGCTCTGTTTAGTGATGCCGGGATCAGAGTGACATTATATCCCAGCTTCTAGGGTGCGCGAGGGAGCAGAACAAGAAGAGCTTGACTATTACAGCCCCCTCACCAGCCGCTTCCATTATGCACAGCCGCCCACCTCTGCAGAATGGGCTGACAAACTCATGGCAAATTTCCTAGCCGCCACGGCGACCTGGCCCCTGGGATTTGTCAAGCCCTGCTTTAGTTGATTTAACCGTTAAGAACTAGGAGTAGTTACCCAGCATGTTGTCGTGGCTGTCCTACTTCTGGGACATGAGTAAAAATGTAGCCAGTGAGCATGTCTATGCAAGTTCTCGATGCACTAGGCATGAATTGTGGCCAGTAGAAAAGCACTTGAGTAGCAGTCTGCATATGGGCACCTTGCTTGCCTACCTGTCATTCAACTGCGTTAAAGTTGCAATTGAATGAAGCTTTACCATGCAAATCCATGTACCTATTTTAATTCCCTGTTTAAGAACCATTGCTGTGAATTTAAGATAAAAATAGACGAAGAAAAATTCTCAAATGCAGATATGCTTTACATTCAGCTACTCTGGCCTTAAACTTTAAATTTATTTTTAAATTCTCACTTTGGTAATAACTGTAAGGGAGAACAAAGAAATTGGTCAGTTACTGAGCAAGTGCAGGTTTGGGCTACATCATGGGAACAATGGAAAGTAGATGGAAATTTCAGAAGGCTCACTGCTGCTTGTTAAAGACATCTGTCACGTAAACCACTTTTAACTGTGTTTGGGACAGGTGAAAAGATCGATATAGGCTTATTTTCTTCACTACATATCCTGTTGTCTACATGGTTGTTAGAAACACCGCCTCTGTATCACTATGTATACATTTGTATACAATTATTCACTAAACAATCATCGTTCATACTGGACCCTGTGATGTTAACAGAAATAATGCAAAAACAATATTTAAAAAAATGTATTTAATATATTTAGTTATTTATTAAGAGCCAAAATATTCATTACAGGCCCGCCATACAGGTAGCTTATTACAGAGGAATTTTAAACCTACAGGATCAGAGTATTTTGAGAAACCTGCTGTATTGCAGTTAAAGGAAGTATGGAATGTAGCATAAAAGATAAAAGTGTAGTTTCACTTGCATATGCAGTTATGGGGTACTATTTGACAGGTGTGCGGCTGATATCTAGCTATATGCATTATTTACCGTAAACAAACTATATCTGTGAACATGTGCTTCTTAATGTTTTCTGAAAAAAGCCACTTTTTAATGCCTTGCAAGGGCACTTATATATGATGTACCTAGACAAATAAACCCCATAGGAATGGTGGGCAATTGTCCCTTAAAGTCTTTGTAATGGATCACCTGGCACCCCGACTGGGTACCTCCGCCAAAGGACCACTTCCTAGCTGGAACAGGGGACAAGCCGCAGCACTTTTTCTTGCCCTCAGTCGCCGTAGCTTGACTGGGGCCCTGGAACCGCCACCTCCTTCCTGGATTTGAAGGGAAAATTAGATTTGACACCTCCTAGGCACTGGACGACACTCAGTCCTGGGAACTCTGGAGCTGAAGGGGGAATTAGCTCTAGTTCTTACAAGGACTTTCCCCGTTGAATCTCCTGCAAGCTGGAACAGTAGACACAGGAGCAAATCTTCTTTCCCTCCAATAACTGGACGACACACAGTTTTGGAGTGTAAGCAGGAATCTCAAGTTTAATGGGACACACTGGCCTTTTATACAATTTTCCAGGCCAGAGGAACATCCCCTGGACCTAATGGGGCACAGGAACACAAAGGACATAAACCAATCAGAACAAATATACAGTCTGTGACACGCCCATGTACAGCACACAATCTCTCCCCTCTGTTTAGGAGATTATAGAGTCCTGTAAGTAACTCAATTATCTTCAGGCAGAAAAAACACATTTTCATAAAGTTCAGAAAGTACCCCAAAATCCAACATATCCCCATAAAAGTCCCCTGATAGCTCCGATCTGGGTGAACAACATATCCCAAAATCACCCAGATCGGTTAAGGGGTTCAGGAATTTCCTGGAAGTCATAGTTTTGACCGACCGCAAGCATGGCCCCATGCCCAAAACAGTTCCAGGAAAATCAGTGCTATCAGTGGTAGTCTTTTACAGGTTTCCCTGCAGGGCCCATAGTCTGTGGGCAGGAGGCTGGCAAGCAGGCTCCTCCAGGAGCTCGTGGCAAACTCACTTGAAAAGGGGAGTTTGTCACAGTCTTATTTAAAGCCTAAAGTACAAACTGCTAACCGTCAGCAGGCTTCTGCTCCAGGAATTAATTCAGGGACTACAATAGAACATTGTGCCAGTTGGCTGCTCTGATTTATTATTTATTATTTTATTTTTTTCCCCAACACATACTTGACACAAACTCTCCTCTCTGTATTAACATTTCAGTAAATTAAATTTTAGACTATTCGTATGCTTTTAAATTGCATGTGTGCATGCCTGATGTTGGTATAAGAAGTGTACCTCTACTTAGTGCAGAATCCTTTTAAATGTGTTGTTGATGCTTTGAATGCCTAAAAAGTGAGAACATGCATTCCTTTGTCCCTGGAATCAGCTAGATTGCAATCGAACTGTTAACAATTTGCTTGTATTACACATGTAGTTATTTTTTAGGAGATATTTGGCATGTAGTGGAACAGAATGTAAGAGAAAATGCAGTTGTCCTCTTGAAATGTTTTTTGTTCTATGCTAATACTTGTACATAACCCGGATACCCTCATAAAATATCCCAACTCAATAGTGGAAACCAAATCTGTCAGGTTAGAGCAGACTGTTGGTGAACTGACTGTTAAGTTGCACATTTTAACCCTATACAGTTTATTTAGTTTGAGTTTTATTTCCAAGACAGACCTTAATTTTGTGGTTTTGTGGGCAACTCACAGTATTGTGAAAAAATATTAATATTTTATTTATTGATTATCTTTATCGGAAGCCAGTGTCTAATGTTGACTGTTACTGATTTGCAAATTGATAGTTTTCTCTTATTTATTCATTAAAGGATACAAATTGGGAATTTAGAGCCATGTTGAACATGAAGCTGGAGTCCACACTAAACCTTTATGCACCCTTCATGCAAATTATAGGAGTGATGCCCACCTACCATTCCTCTGGTCAGCCAAGCCTAGACTGGCTGAGCATTATGGGGATTGTTTATCTCAAATTGAAGGTGCTTGTGAAATGCAGTTCACAAGATGTTCAGCAAGTCTTAAACGTTATTGGAATTGTGTAGCCTCTAGCTACATTTTATATACCCCTGTACCCAACATTTATATCTTTCTCTAGCCTTCTTTGCTATGTGTCTCTTGACCCTCTAGCCATCTTTCGATTACTGGTCTTTCACTACCGCCTTAGGTGTCTCTCCAGCAAGTCCCTAGTGTGTCCTTTTTTGGCCCTTGCTCTACCCCATTGTACCGCTCTGTAGCTCTTCCTATATTTCTTCACTGTCTTCTCTCCTCCATCATTCTGTTCCAGAAGCATGGCCAAACTGTCAGCAGTCAGTGAGACTCTTGCCCTACTGTTCAGGCTCATTGTCAATCCTATGCACCTGGTAATGCTGTGAATGCAGGAGATTGGGATATGACATAACATGAAATCTGTATGCTGGCAACTTTTCCGTGCTAGAGGAACAGGGATTATGTGTAGGAGTGCATATATCTTCCTGGATCACTCACTTGTAGGATTATTGAATAGTATTCTATCCCAGCTCCTAATGTCCGATTGCACAGACGACTAAGGCAGGTTCGGTGAATACCTCCCAAGCAGGGCCAGATTAAGAGTCCATTGGGCCTGGTGCTGACAATTTTGATGGGCCTAATAACCGAATCTTATCAACAGAAAACACTAAAACAGTTATACCTCCAAAGTGTCATCTATCTGGTGTAGGTGGCGCTGGAGGGAAACTCACAGGATATAGCTATCAGAAAACACACACCCTTTGCTAATCTCTCGCTTTCATCTTTCAAGTAAACCCATACGCCCCAACAGCAGTGTGTGGTGAAGCAGGATTTCAGGGAGCAGGGTAAAAGGATGGACCACTGATGTGAATCGCGTAACCAGAACCGCCCAAAGGGACAACCTGCTCAAAAAGGGGGTGTGTCTGCATGAAGAATTAGATGGTTAGCCTGGTGTAAATGCACCCTGAGTTTGGCATAAATGTGTCTGATGCGCTAGGTCTATGATTTCTAAGGACTGTCCTCTAGCACTCGCTGGTCCACTCTTCTCCTAACCTTCTTACTAGCAGACAGAAGCTCCTGTTATACAGTCTGGGACAGATAAAAAGCGTATGTAGTGAGTGTAGAAGAAAGGAGCGCCGGCCCCTCAAATGCTGCAGCCGCCTGAGGGAGGAGAGACCACGAGGGGAGGGGGGTGGAGGAGAGACCACTATGGTAGGCGTGGGGGGTGGAGGAGAGACCACTATGGTAGGCGTGGGGGGTGGAGGAGAGACCACTATGGTAGTGGGGGTGGAGGAGACCACTATGGGGGGGGTGGAGGAGAGACCACTATGGTAGGGGGGGTGGAGGAGTGGTAGGTGGAGGAGAGACCACTATGGTAGGGGTGGGGGTGAGGAGAGGTCACTATGGTAGGGTGGGGGTGAGGAGAGGTCACTATGGTAGGGTGGGGGGTGAGGAGAGGTCACTATGGTAGGGGTGGGGGTGAGGAGGAGGCCACTAGGGTAGAGGGGGGGGTGTTAGGAGAGACCACTAGGGAGAGTGGGGGGAAAGGAAAGACTACTAGGGGAGGGTGGTGGGGAGGAGTGACCACTAGGGGAGGAGGGATGGGAGAGGAGAGACCACTATTGGAAAGGGGGGGAGGAGGGGAGAGACCACTAATGAAAAGGGGGGAGGAGAGACCCTGCTCAGGAGAGTACACTAAGGGAGGCAGGAGAGGAGATGAGTCCACTAAGGGGCAGTGGAGAGCTCTATGGGATGCAATGGAGAGCTCTAAAGGGCAGGGGAGAGTACTAAGGGGGGGTGTAGGAGAGAGCACTAAGGAATGGGGAGGAGCACCAAGGGAAGGGAGTGGGGGGAGAGAGCACTAGGAGACAGAGGGGAGAGCACTAAGGGACAGTGGGGCAGAAGGGAAGAGCAGTAAGGGACAAGAGGGGAGAGAGACTGAGGAAAGTGGGAAAGAGAAGCACAAAGGGACTGGTAGGACTCAGCCCCTATCCTACCGCACAAACTCTCTCTTTCACACTACACACACAATGCTTCCCCATACATACACAGAAACACACAATGCATCCACATACATACACAGAAACACACAATGCATCCCTTGCACACATGCACAGAAACACACACTGCTTCACTTACACACACACACACACACACACAGAAACACAATGCATCTCTTACACACACACACACAGAAACACAATGCATCTCTTACACGCACACTCAATGCACACCTTAGACACACACCTTGCATCCCTTACACATACAAACACACAATGCATCCCTTAAACACAACCAGAAACACACAATACATCCCTTACACACAAACACACACTGCTTTCTATCCCTTACACAAAAACACACTGCATCTACCACACACACACTGCATCACCTACACAAACTGGTATCCCTATACACTACATTCCATAAGCACACACTTTAGATCCTCTACACAAACACGTAACACATTTCCTACACACTCTACTCCCTGTGAGCAAACTAATGTGTGGAACATCTAGGTGGACTTATGGGCATACTCGCCATCAGCCCATGGGGGCCCTGATTTTGAGCTGTGCAAGGGGCCCCAAAAAATGGAGCTGCTTCACATTCCCCCAGAACATTGACTTTTGTGACCACAGTTACAAACAGCCGCCAGAGAGCTTGTTCTCCACCAGACCAGTGGAGCCAAACTGCAGCCAAAGCCCATCATCATCCTTATTTGGTTGTAAGTAGGCAATCTAGTATATTATTCGTGGCACTAATCTCTAATTTACCTCACATTAAAGGGACACTATAGTCGCCAGAACCACTGCAGCTTAATGTCTATAGCCTGTCTAAATCTTTGCACCGGCCCTGAGTCCACACCAGTTTTGTTCCCCTACATCCCTCAAAAGTTTCCATACTTAAGCAAGAGCATGTGAAGAGTAGTAAAATTTATATATATTTATTCTTTTTTTTTTTTTTAAATCAATGGGCCTATTCTGCATTAGGGATGCACAGGAATTTCACAACGCTGTATAGTGTGGGCAGATGACGTGTCCCACAGGCATTTTATCTACCCACACAAAGATGGCGGCTCTCAGTACCTAAGTCCGGGTACGAAATAAAAATGCAAAAATAGGTAATATGGGGGGCTTAGGGGCATTTGGGAGGTGACTAGGGGGACAATTAGATGTAGTGGAGTTGGGAGGGGGATTAAAAAAACAAAACAGGATTCGGCCATGACAGTACCACCTTAATGTTTGTGTTGTGCCGCTTCTCTGTTATGCAGAAGTGAATTTGCACTTTCACTGTTCAACTTTAGATCGCAATGATAGGCTAAGAGTACTAGACTAACCCATCCCTAACATTCTCAGCCAATCATTGTTGGCCAAATGTAGACAACTAATATGGGAGTCAACTTCTACATTAACAGAGAGACAGCAGGAGGATTGGGCTTTAGTTGATAGATGAACCCCTTTTTCATCTCTTAATCTTAATCTTTATCTTATGTGGTAGGTGGTTATAGTTCCAAGGTATCTACTTGATTGGCTAACATGTTCATCTTGTTGTACTAACTGTCAAGTTCTATTTCATTTTAATTTCCGATCCAACAAATTCACTCAGCAACAAAATACATTTTAATCTAAAATGACAGACTGTTCAGGATCACTTAAAGATTTCTACTCACTTTACAATCTGTATTATATACCAAAGACCAGAATATGAATAATTTGGCTATTTGGTGTAGACAGCCATGAAGATGTTAAGTGTTTTGTTTTTTTCACAGTGCAGCTCTGTGTGCTGTCCCTTCTTGACTTCTCAAGACATACACACTCGTTCATTACTAGGCAGCAAATGCTCATAAACACAGCTTCCTCTAACATTACAAATGGTGTTGGCATGAGCTGTGGATTTGTTTTCAAAGCTGCAAATTGTACATTCCTTCTAGGGATCTGTCTGACGTATGGAGCCTGATTTCAGAAGGGCAATACCATCCTTTAAAGGAAATCCATAACTAAAATAAGCTTCTACCTAAACTACAGATAAATAGACCATGCTTTCTATATATCATTTGGGCAGCAAGTTAATTTCAGCTGTAAGTTCATGTCATTTCTGTTCTTCTATAACTAGTATAATTTTACAAAAATTGCTTGTCTGACTCCTTAGCCCTTTTTAGAGCGCTATAGAATGTTGTCTTTTATATAATATACTGACAGAACATCTTACATTTTGTATTCTTTGTATTCCTGAATTGCTTAAAGTTCTACTAATCGATAATGGAACAGGTAACTCTAACATACACATAAGCCATGCATTTATTTGTCTTTGTGGAAGACCACATTTACGAGGTTAACGAGAATTGTTGGGAATTCAAAGTGTATTTTCACATTTTAGACTGTGGTGGGCATCAAGTGAAAGAGAGATGTGGAGGGTGGCATGATAGCATGCCAGTAACTCAATATGTAATCCTAGGAACACTTGTGGTTGTAGAAGTGGAGTGTAGTTTCAGTGCGCACACCCGATGTGCCTTGGCAACACCTTGATGAAGTACTCCTGTGTAAGTTGAAATACTCTTGAGGGGCTTAATGCAGCAGCAACAACCTTGTTTAAAGGAGCAATCCAAGCACCATAACCACAGCAGTGTGCTGTGTTGGTTAAGGAGCCAGGAATGCTCTGGTGCCTCCTTTTGTAAGGGGTCAAATACTTTTAGCGTGGTTTGACTTCAATGCTGAGGTTAACAAAACAATGTCCTCCAAATCCACTACAGCTCCTGAGCTGAACCTAGCAATCGACTTACTCTTCCAACCCCAAGCAATGCACTGCAGGTCTTGGCACACACGAGTGAACGAATGCTCCTGAGCTGGAGCTTCCATCTCTCACTGAGCAAGATAAGAAGGCCACCCTATATAAAATGGTTTGATTCCTTATGAAGAGTTAGCTCTAGGGAACTCCTGTCACCATAATTACAGCTCACTGAAGTGGTGCTTGGAGTGTTCCTTTTTAAACAAGTGCTTTAGAATAAGCCCAACCTTGACCCGAACTTCCCATCCAACTACCGCCCTATCTCGCTATTGCCTTTTGCTTCCAAGATCCTTGAAAGACTTGTATTTTGTGAGATTGATAGACTTCCTCAAGTCCAATTCTCTGCTCGACCCACTTCAGTCTGGTTTCCACGCTCAGCACTCTGGAAACGGCACTGACCAAAGTATGAAACAATTTACTTGCTGCAAAATCTCATGGTCACTACTCTATCCTACTACTTGACCTTTCCGCTGCTTTTGATACTGTTGCTCATCAACCGCTTCTTCTCATCCTCTGTAATCTAATATTGCTCTCTCATGGTGCTCCTCCTACCTCACCCAGCGCTCTTTTAGTGTCTCTTTCCCTGGTTCTGCCTGTTCATCCCAACCTCTCTCTGTTGATGTCCCCTAGGTTCAGTCCTTGGTCCCCTACTGTTCTCGATCTATACTGCCTCCCTTGGTAAACTCATCAGCTTCTTTTGGCTTCCAATATCACTTCTATGCGGATGACACGCAAATCTATCTCTCCTCCCCTGTTCTCTCCCCGCCCCTCCTGACTAGTGTCTCTTACTGCCTCTCTGCTATTTCTAACTGCATGGCTGCCCACTTCCTTAAGCCCAACTTGTCCAAAACAAAACTTCTGGTCTTTCTTCCCTCAAGTGTTGCTACTCCCATTTCTGTCTCCCTCCACGTTAATGTTGCTACCATCAGCACCATGCAGGCTCGCTGCCTAGGTGTTCTCTTTGACTCCAACCTCTCTTTCACCTCTCATATCTAGTCAATCGCCAAATCCTGCCACTTCCATCTCCAAAACATTGCGCGCATAAAATAAAAAAAAGCAAATTTCATGCCTGATGTTGTGCGAAGATAACCTCGCCGTTTATCAGCATAATACTTGAAACGGTCAGCAGCAGTCCCCAGGATGGAGTGTACTTTTACCCAGGTCTCACGAATGGAAGCAAGATGGTCATCCAAAGCAGGAATGGCAGTGTCAGAAAAAACAGCCGGGAGGACAGTAGGATGCCGGCCATTATTAACAAAAAAAAGGCTATGTCCAGAAGAGTCATGGTCAACATTGTTCCTAGCAAACTCTGCCCATGGTAGTAATTCGGACCGATAGTTTTGAGTGCTATTAACAAAACAACGCAAATCTAATTCTAAAGACTGGTTAGCCCTTTCAGCTGTACCATTAGTCTGGGCGTGGTAAGAGGATGAAAAAGATAATCCAATCCCCAATTGCTTATTGAAAGCCCTCCAAAACCGGGGAAACAAACTGAGAACCTCTATCCGATACAATATTGTGAGGAATGCCATGCAGACGGACAATCTCACGTATAAAGATCAGTACCAGGTCTTGTGATGACGGTAATTTCTTGAGTGGGATAAAATGAGCCATTTTAGAAAAATGGTCAACAACCATGAGAATAGTGATATAAAAAGTTCTACAAGTGGGACCATGGGACCTCAGGAATGGGAAGAGGTTGTAACAAGCCACAAGGGAATTTATGAGGTACCTTGGAAACTGCACAAACAGAACATGCCTGCACGTATTCCTTAACATCCCTCCTGAGGGAATCACACCAAAATGATCTCATAATCGCAGATGTGTATTTATTAATACCCAGGTGCCACGTTGTCATGGAACACCTTCATGATATTTACCCTTTCACCCAATGGAACGAACAATCTGTCTTGAGGTTTACCACAGGGCGTCTGAGACTGAGCCTCCATGATGGAGCCAAGATGAGAAGACAATGAAAGGATAGTGGATGCAATAATACATTTAGGGGGAATGATATGGGATGTTTAGACTCCGTATCAAATTGTCTAGATAAGGCGTCGGCCTTGACATTTTTAGAACCAGGTCTATAAGTTAAGTTATAAGAAAATTAAAGCGAGAAAAGAATAGTGACCACCTAGCTTGTCTAGAAGACAATCGTTTAGCATCTCCTATGTAAGCCAGGTTTTTGTGATCGTTAATGATCAAAAGAAGGTCCTTGGAACCCTCTAAAAGATGTCGCCACTCCTTGAGAGCTAGAATAATGGCCTGTTGCCTACATCATAATCGCGCTCAGCAGGAGACAACTTTCTAGAAAAGTAGCAACAAGGATGCAAAGGAGTTTCCTGGCTCTCCCTCTGGGAGAGAACGACTCCCACCCCCATCTCAGATGCATCAACCTCCAGTATGAAAAGTTTGCTAGTGTCAAAATGTATCACTATGTCGGCGGAGGCAACACTTTGTTTGAGAGTTTCAAAGGCTTCTATAGCCTCCTTAGACCATATCGTACTACTAGCTCCCTTGCGTGTCATATTGGTGTTGGGGGGCTATTACTGAAGAAAATCCCTTTATAAACCTTCTGTAATAATTGGCAAGACCAATGAACCTTTGAATGGCTTTCAACCCAGTGGGTAAAGGCCACTGTAGAACAGACTCCAGTTTTGTAGGATCCATTTGAAACCCAAGGCAGAAATATGATATCCTACAAACTGTACTTCAGATGCATTTTTCTAATTGACAAAAAAGTTTGCAAAACCTGTTTAACATAATTGTGGTGAGTTTGAATGTCAGGAGAATAAATAAGGCTGTCATCCAGATAGACTAAGACAAATGAGTAAATGTAATCCCCGAGTACGTCATTAATAAAATCTAGGAAAACTGCTGGAGCGTTGCACAACCCAAATGGCATCACAAGATACTCAGTGTCCACTTCTGGTATTAAATGCAGTCTTCCATTCATGATTTTCCTTGATTCTCACTAAACTGTAAGCGCTTCTAAGGTCAAGATTAGTAAATATTTTAGCGCTTTGGAATCTGTCAAATAACTCTGCAATAAGGGGAATGGGGTAGGCGTTCTTAATGGTGATTTTGTTCAATGCCCTGTAATCGATACATGGGCGTAACTCACCATCCTTTTTAGATACAAAAAAGAATCCTGCCCCAGCAGGTAAGGATGATTTGCGTATATGGCCCTTATTCAATGAATCCAATATTTTACTCTCTTGTGGGGATAGAGCATAGACTGCTCCTTTAGGTGGCATAGCACCGGGTAGTAAGCTTATGGAACAGTCATATGGTCTGTGAGGAGGTAAAGTATTAGACTGAGTTTTGCTGAATACTTCCCTGATGTCTCGGTATTAAATAGGAACTTCGGGGGTTTGAGGTGAAACAGTGGGTAATTCAATAGTGCCCCCTCATTTGATGACATGGAATATGCACCTTTCATCACAATCATTACCCCATTCCAATATTTCCCCATTAGCCTAGTCGATATGAGGGCTATGTTTACTAAGCCAAGGAAAGCCTAATATAATAGGACAAGGAGATGCAATAACTTGAAATGTTATATCTTCCTAATGTAAGGCACCAATGGTTGTGAGAGTGGTCTCCCATCAATAGCTTCCACAGCTAAAGGTGATCGTCTCTCCTTGATAGGTATAGCATTGCCCTTAACAAATTGAACATCAATGAAGTTTCCAGCAGCACCTGAGTTCATCAGGGCTTTTCATGAAAAGTTATTTTCGGCAAAGGTGATAGAAAAATCAAGGAGAAACCTGTTTTTATTCTTTCCAGAGGACGTCTCCATTACACCTAAGACCTGTCCCCATGAGGTGTTTAGGTGCGGTAGTTTTCCGGACTTATGGGACAATTGCTTCTCATATGTCCTTTTCTACCGCAGTATAGACATAGGCCTTCTTTTCTCCTATATTGTCTTTCTGCTTCCAACAGTCTAGTGACCCCCAACTGCATGGGTTCGGACTGTATAGGAAGTTCAGAGACCATTGGTCTGGAGAACCGGGGTGCTAAAGGCATAGTCATGCGTCTGGTCTTGTTTTCTCTGGTTCTTAATCTATTGTCAATATGCATGACAAAAGTGATGAACTCCTTAAGCTTCTTGGGTAGGTCTTTGGCGGCAATCTCATCTAGCATAGTTTCAGATAGTCCCTTTTTTAAATGCAGAGTTTAACCCACTGTTAGTCCAGTCTACCTTGGAAGCCAAGGTACAAAATTCTATGGCATACTCAGAGATAGACCGATTCCCTTGTCTGATGGGCATCAGGGCAGTGGAGGCGTCATCCTCGCTGCCTAATGGTTCAAATGTTAGTTTAAATTTCGTAAGGAATTCCTGGTAATTGTATGCCACACTCCTATTACTCTCCCATAATGGATTGGCCCAAGCTAAAGCTTTACCTTTAAGTTGATTCCTCAGGTAAGCAATCTTAGCTCTGTTTGAGGTAAAAGATCCCGGTGAGGCCTCAAAATGATATTCTATTTGGTTAAGAAATCCCCGTCATTCTTGAATAGTACCATCAAAATGCAGGGGAGGAGATAGAGATAGTGGGTGCCTTGTGTACTATAGGTGGAGGTACACTAGGCGGAGGTGAGGCAGTAGAAGAGGCCACAGGTTGCAGTTGCGCTGTTCAGGTCAGAAGCGTACTGAAGGCCTGGGCAAATTGATCCATGCAGTGATCATTCTCCTCTAGTTTCCTCTTGCAAGCAGCTATGTGCTTACACAATTCTACAGGATCTATGGCCATGTCGTAATGTCAGGATTACTGTATGATCCAGCATGTAGAATTGTGTAACACAGATGACTAATAGGTAACATATTACCGGGCCTTAGAATGGCCGGACTAACGTACCAAAGAATAGTCAGGAAAAACGATAAAGGAAAGCCAGAGGTCAGGGATACCAGAAATACAGGGAAGTCAAAATCAAAGCCAAAGTCAAAAACCAGAATATACAGTACTTGAATAAGCTCTCAGACAACCACTAAGGAAACCACAACAGGGCAAAGAGGAAAGGTATTTTTAGGTTTAAATACCTGCTTTACTTTTCTGATTGGCTGAAATCGCTCTTTGACCCTAAAACGTGTCAATCACGTGAGCGGATGTGGGGGCATATTTTGCAGTGGATCCAGGTGCAGAGACCGCAAGGTGAGGAAGAATGTTACAATCCTGCCTAGGCCCCTAAGCTCTGCCGAAGACCTGCATCTATCCTCTGTTCATACTCCCACCTCTGATTCTCGCATTCAAGACTTATCTAGGGCTGCACTGTTCATATGGAACTCCCTTCCCTTTTCCATTAGATGCTCACCCAGTTTCCATTCCTTCAAAAAAATCATTAAAAACTCACTTTTTCACAAAAGCATATCACCTGTTAATGACTCCAAAAAAAACCCACACAAAGTCTTCATTAAATACTATTCTACCAATCTACTTCCCTAATACTTCCCTTACCTTTTGGGTCACTGTACCCCACTCCCTCTAGCATGTAAGCTCTGAGCAAGGCCCTCAACCCCTCTGTTCCTTTGTGTCCAACATGTCTGGTTACAATAACATTTTTGTTAGTCCACCCTACGCTATGGAATTTGTTGATGCTATATAATATACAAATTGTCAAGCATATAATAATGGCCTACTCTGTGTTTATAGGTCAATTCACTAAGCAGGAAATCAAAACTTCAAAGTTAACATACTGCACTGTAAGATCAGTGGGCTTAGTTCAGTGGCAGGGACTTCCAGCAAGGGCCACAGGATTTCTGATACAAAAGACCTTCTGTCAGTGTCTAAAAGTGGAAATCATGATCTAGTGGAATCTATGCATGGGCACGAAAATAGAAAACAATATAGAGTTTCCACTCATTCAAATTTATTTCAGAGACTGATTCTAGTGCACCTATAGAATTCTACTTGTATTTTTATTCCACCTACTTTTAGAAACTGTTCTTTTTGTCTTTGTGTTTCAAATCATTTAAAAGTGTGGGAATTCTTACAGCTGGTGCTAGACATTATTTAGCTCTGACCTGTTTTACATCATTTTCTCTGTATAATCCTTCAATTTCTGACCCTAAACTCTTTCCTTCTTCTTGATTAAAGGTGCTAAAGTACAGCACTTGACGCCACAGAGTTGTAATAAATGAAGTGTGGTATAAGGTCTGCTACAATCATTAGGGTTAACAATTTTAAATCTCGCTCGCTCTCTCTAGCTTTTTCCCTACTTTACACAGGTCCTAACATGTCATTGTGTAACAAATTAACACTAAGCTTGAATACGGGTAATCTATTTAAAAAGTAACTATGACACCAACAATTTCCACACAACCCAAAATCTAATTAAAATAGCTAGTGGGTTGTACATTTTCTTTCGTTCTCTCTCGTTCTCTCTCGTTCTCTCTCGTTCTCTCTCGTTCTCTCTCTCTCTCAAAATTTTGTGCAGAATGTTTCCATGGGCGCAATGTCCTAACATACATGCATGTGGGCATGCACATGTTAAGCATCTCGGGGAGATATTGGTACCAATATCCAGAAGTGAAGCAGAGGTAAGTGCATTTTATATGACCTCTGCTGCATTCCTTACCTCATTAAAACTTACAGTAGTAATTATATGGATAAGAGAAAATGTAGTTTACTGTGGTGCAAGCTCCTATGAAATTACAAATTTTAATGCAAGCATCCAAACACGGCCCGAGGGGTGCAATCTCCAAGTGACCGGCAGCTGGGGAGAGCACAGCATAGCATTTTCCCTCCTGCCAGTCACAACACGTAGTGTTGTCGAGCCGACTGTAGGTAGAGGATCTTCTGTGTCATCTCCCCAGTTTGATAGGAAGCTGTGAGGACTTCCTGTCAGACCATGTAGAAGATACAGAAGATATTATTCAAATGTCTGCTTGGCAACCCTATATAGGAGGTCAGCAGGTACAGGAGAAGAGAGAGGGGAGAGACGACGTAGGGAGGGTGGGTGGCATAGACTACCAAGGGAAGGGGCGGGTGAAAGAGACACACACAAAGGAGGTGGGGGAGGAAGTGGCGCGCACACACACAAGCGGCTGGGGAGAAATACACACACAAAAGCGGCTTGGGAGAAATAGGCACACTCAAAAGGGCTGGGGGGAAAAAGAGACCCGCACAAAAGGAATTGGTGGAAAAGAGACACCCACAGAAATGGCTGTGGGAAATAGACCCACACAAAAGGGGCAAGGTGTGAGACACTAGGGGTGGGGGCGGGAGAAGAGATGCACACTAGGGGCTGGAGGGCACACAGAGGGGATGTGGGGAGAAAGAGACACACAGAAGGTCTAGAAAATAGAAACAAAGAGGAGTTGGGGGAAGGGATAATGAGACACACAAAGGGGCTGGGGTAGGGGAAAAGGTGAAACATAACGACTAGTGGGTAGAGACACACAGGGGGGCTGGAGCTAAGAGACACAAAAAAAGGCTGCTATGAGAAAGAGACACATAGAGGGGCGGTGAAGAGAGACACACAAAGGGCTTTACTGTGTTAGAAAGAGACACCTGGGAAAGAGAAATAAGAGACACAGAGGAACTGGCAGGAAGTAAGAGATAAATGGAGGTTGTAAGAGACACAGACCCTCAGGGGTATAAGACACACTGAGGGGAAAATGGGGAATAAGATACACTAAAGCTGGTAATACAACCAAAATAAGTAACACAAAAAGGGGCAAGCTATACAAACGTGGGTTTAAGAGAAACACAGGCGAAGATGCATCTTAATCTGTGTTTCTCTTAAACCCACTTTTGGGACACCCGGCGGAACAGTCCTCGCCATTGGGGGTCTTTGCAAAATATACAAAGACTCCAGACAGTGACAGAGCTACTTTAATGCAGTAATCTTCTCAAAAAGCCAGTAGTTACAACCTTATTATTTTATATGGGGATACCGGCAAGAGAGAACAGGGAAGTTTCATATATAATGTAGCATCTTTTTTTATAGTTATTTTGTATAATTTATTTCTTAATGCAATATCTATATAATTAATTAAATTAGGGTCACTTCGGCAGCATCCATTATGCTGGAATATATATATTGAAGTTGCTGTTTAGTAGATAGGAGAGTGTGCTGGATCTGGTACACACATACACGCACACGCACACACCCGCACACACCCGCAACTTCAATGTTGACAGATTTTATTAGGTGTTTGTTTTTTTTATATCATCTAGGCAAAAATAATGAGGGTTTAGTTACATCCTACATTGCATAAGCCTGCCACAACGTTAATGTACCCTATCTTCAGCACCCTATTTATGCATGTTCAGGTGAGTGCAGCCTCCTGGTTTCATATATATAATTATTATTTTTATTTTCAGAACTGATTAGCATAGTTGTATTATCTATTTATTTTTACTGATATTCTCATGACCCTAGTTGTATTTCGGGTAAACCTAGTGAAGGAACTTGATCATTTATTTTACTACTTAAATGTTAAATCCTCTCATTCTTCTGCATAATGCTCACACTATTTCTAGAATTTGCTGTTTTTATATAGTTTGATTTTCATATGAATGAATGACAGATGTACACATGTCTCTATGAGCACTTATGAATTAGTTAGATTATGATACAAAATCATGACTATATCTATGACGGTCTAACTCCCTTTGACCATCCTGGGTTCCTTTTCTCTCAGCAGATAGTGTATACTCCTTCCAGGCAAAATGTATACACAGGCATAGGGTAACCCCCCACACATGAGCCAAGGCTTAATGCTGGGTAAAGACTCAATTTTAATGGCACACAAGCATCAGATTTATACAGTTTACAGACTCCTCCTCTGAGCCTGGGAGATAATTGAGTTAGAGGATGGGCTAAGCTCAATTATCTCCACGACAGAAAAATACAGTAATTTTAAAACACCCCCAAAATACCCCCAAAATACAGTAAAACCCCACATTATATTGCTGGATAGCTGGGATGTGGGTGACCAATATATCCGAAAATCACCCGGATCCGTTTGGTAGTTTTTCTGTAACATCGCAAGGAAGTTTGACCGGTCTGCCACGAGGGGTATGCCGAAAACAGTTCCAGAAGAAATGTGGCAAGAGCTGGTCTCTATTCGCAAGGTTTTCACACGAATGCCATAGGAGTTATACGAACGCTGATTCATATATAATGTTTACCGCGTTCGGTAGTTTATTACCGAACGGCGTTCCTGGATACGAAATACTATGCGACCGGGCCGTGCGTGGAAGTAGACCGGTGTTCAGGAGAGTGCCTGGCCGAAATCAGTTCCAGGCACTCGACGTCTAAGTCCCGCTGAGTGTGTTAGTATGTTAAGATGGCCACCATCCATTGTTCTCACCACGTGCGTTTGAATGAACGAAATGGCGGCCACCCAGTATAGTGTTCGACAGAATCCCTTTGATGTGGTTTACGAATGTTACATAGTGTTAATAGTTTAATTGCTGTCCCGGGGGGGGAGGGGTCCCTGTTCGCTTACAGAACAATTAGGCGAACATAGTGGTGAAAACTAATCAAATGTATGGGCTTTACATTGTTTTGTTTTTTTGGTTCATTTTACGGTCACGCGAGTTCCCTACGTTCATGGTTTTTATGGCATATTTCAGTTCTATAAAAAGTAAAATGCAGCAACAGTCAGTGGCCTTTATTTTACCTACCTTAGTTCTGAAGTATAATGCACACTTGATTAATAAATTTGCATATGTGTCTGGGTCACCAGCATGCAATGCGCTAATTATGAGTATTTGGGTCTGGCTGGGTTTGAACCTGGGTCTCCTGGATCCCAGTCAGGCACCTTGTCCTTGACTCCACGTATCTCTAGTTCTTTTGAGAGGTTCCTGGGTTCATGCTGTCTGAATCTCTTGGTCTGGACAGTTGCACACCTGTTCCTGGTTCCCTGATGATTGGCTGAGACTCCCTATTTAAACCCCGCAAGGCTGGTTCTCGTTGTTCAGCCCCAGTGCACTGTGTCACAGCCTTGGGGATTTCTGTCTTGAGTCCCCTCTGCCTGTGTCGAATTGCAAAGGGTGCTTAAACTCTGCGTGCCGGACTCCCACTCCAGGTAAGATCCCTGACAATATGTGTGTTTACATACAATGAAACTACATAGAAATGCTGTTAACCCCTTAACGCCGTTACGGCGTTCTATGCCGTCTCGCTTTAAAAGGGCTTTAAAGCCGTTGTGGCGGCATAGAACGCAGCAACGGCTTGCAGGCCCCGGAGTTTCGGTTTACTTACCTCCGCCGCGATCTTCTTCTGCAGGGCTGCCTGACAGTCCAGGCAGCCCTCCCCCGGCAAATGAGGCCACCTGGGGCCATGTGAACGCTCTCAAAGAGCGATCACATGGCCCTCTATAGCTGGCTGTGGATCTGCCAGCAGGGGGACTGTCTGAAATGTCAGACAGTCCCCCTGCTGGTGGGAAGTATTAAAAATAAAAGTTTTTTTTGATTTTTTTTTTTGAGTTCCCTCTGCCTGTGTCGAATTTCAAAGGGTGCTTTAACAATGCGTGCCGGACTCCCACTCCAGCTAAGATCCCTGACAGTACGATCTGACCACATGGAGTCCGCAGAGTTGAAGATTACCATTGCAGCCTTGACCCAGCAAGTTTCCCAGCTCACCCAGGCTTTGCAGGGCTTACAGCAGGAGCTGGCTTCCCTTAAAGGGAGAGTAACCTATGACTCTGGACTCTCTGAACCGCTGGTTGCTCTACCCGAGAAATTTTCTGGGATCCGGTCTAAGTATAATACCTTCAAAGTCGATTGCGACGTCCTGTTCTCCCTGAGACCACTTACCTATGCCACGGACGTCATTAAAGTGAGGACAGCGATTACCTTGTTGTCGGGGCACCTTAAGATTTGGACCCACCAGTTGTTACTCGCCAAAAGCCCAGTCCTGGATTCCTGGGAGTCCTTTATTCAATCCCTGGGTTTACAATGCAACAGGACACAAAAGTCCTATGTACATAGATCACCTCCTGTTGCTTCACATATATTGCAACCCGGACTGGAGATGGACTACACTAATCCTTTCACTAGGACTGGTGTTACAGCTAACCCTACCGCTCCCAAGTCTCCCGAAGCGCCTGAAACATTGTATACATCTGGCAGGGAGGCCGAGGAACCCATGCAGATTGGACTGATTATGTTCCGTCAGTCCTCTCAAGAAGGAGGGCGCATGGACTGTTATTATTGTGGGGAGAGGGGACATTTAATCTAATTTTGTCCCATTCGTCCATCTAGGCCTCTGGTTCTCCATCTGGGTACTACTCTGGCATATCCTATGAGACCTGTCTGCCAACATGCTGCCTGTCCTTGCTTGACCACTCTGACCAATCCTCAGCCTTCTACAGTCGTTGCTCGTGAGGTCGTGCAGGAATCTGTTACTAAAAAACCTGAGATCTCTATTTCTACTAAAGATTCTGCTTCTAAGAAGGCGAGCACCACAACTACTACAAGTCCTGTCGAGGAAGACCCCCCTTCTGGCTGTACCTATGCATCTAATGGGACTCTAGTCCGGAAGGAGGACTTGCAAGTATTTGAAAAGGCCCTACAAGCTATGACCTCCGCTCCTGCTAGTACCACAAAATCCAAGAAGTCCAAAAAGTAACCTTCTGGACTGTATATCGCTTTCCTCTTCTCACCTAACGGCATCTTTGAAGGGAGGGTGATGTCAGGGTCACCAGCATGCTATGCGCTAATTATGGGTATTTGGGTCTGGCTGGGTTTGAATCTGGGTCTCCTGCATCCCAGTCAGGCACCTTGTCTTTGACTCCACGCATCTCTAGTTTTTTTTTGTGTGGTTCCTGGGTTCATGCTGTCTGAATCTCGTGTTCTGGACATTTGCACAACTGTTCCTGGTTCCCTGATGATTGGCTGAGACTCCCTATTTAAACCCCGCAAGGCTGGTTCTCGTTGTCAGATCGTGTTTCCTGTTCCTGTTTGGTTTCACTGCTATTCATCTGACTCCTGGTTTTGATCCCCTGCTTCACTGCTATTCATCTGACTCCTGGTTTTGATCCCCCTGCTCGTCTATACCCCACTTTCAATACCTTGGGTTGTCTACTTTTTCAAATTGTATGCCATTATGGGGGTAATTCTCATTCCCGGTCTCAAAGGTAACATTACTTAACTGGCAACTTTCAGTTTGAAAATGGAACGTTCTATATTTGACCCTGTAACTTTCCAAAACACCATAAAACCTGTTAATGGGGGGTACTGTTGTACTCGTGAGACATTGCTGATTACAAATATGCAGTAAAACCTAACAGTATTATGACATTTACAGCTAAAATGTCAGACGGAAATACATATTTTAAAAAAATCTTATCTTCTCTATTTTTTTAAATTTTTATTCATAATAATTTATGTCCTATATATGAATAGTTAATGATAAATTAAAGCCCTGTTTCTCCTGAACAAAATGATATATAATAAGTGTGGGTGCACTTAATGTGACAGCAGTGAATTACGGTTGAACAGACCTATAGCGCAAATTCCAGTTTTTGTTTACGTTTTGTTTTGATCAGAACGTGCACTATTCACTCCGTCCTGAAGGGGTTAATATTCCCGATTTGCTGAAGGCCTTTTCACCAGACTGCTATAAATCTCATTTTACACGTCTCTAGCATCTGTATTTAGTTATGAGCCCTGCTGATAAGTTTATTAGCTGTATTATAGGCTGTGTGTGCATTGGGAATGTGTAGTTATCCTCAACAACACTTCATCATTCAATGTGTCCTTGTACAGAACAATGCTCAGCATTGACTATTCTGTTACACCTCCACTGTAGATCTCATCCACATGTTTCCACTCCCACCCAACAGCAAACGTCTTTAAAATGATGATAACTCAAAGTTGTACAGCACGTTAAACTAAATGGATTAATACACTTGGATTTATTTTTTTAAGAGGATGCCGTTGTCTGGAGAGAAAGGTACATGGAGACTAATCATCATAACAACAACTGCTCATGTTTATTGGTGCTGTCGGGCTTTGGGTGCAATCCCTCCATCTTTTGTTTAGCGTTTTTTTTTCCCATGTATTTTGACAAAAAAACATGGGATTCGATGGGAAAGTCCCTATTTTAGGATCCTGTCCCACCATTCATGGGTCAGAACAGTCATGACATTCATTTTCATTGGGTGGACCCTGCCCTTTTCTGAGCAAAGAAGTTGCCAGTGTAGCAAGTTGTGTCACTGGCCTACATCCCTTCAGGGCTTGCCCACCTGTCCTGATTCCATACCTCTCAATGTTGGGTGGTACAAGGATGCACTATTTTGGTGTTTCAAATTTTGTGTTATAGCCCAATGCTAGCTTGCACACCCAGCATGCGTCCAATGTGCACAGTCCATCCAAACATTTGGATGAGTAGAGAGAGTGAAATTCCTCATCATTACATCAACAGCGGAGTATGGGCTTGGGGTACCATGGAACCCACAGTTTTGGTCAAATCATCCAAAGCCTAATAACAGAATAACCTCTACAATATGCTTTACTGGTTGTCTGTAACCAAAACACCACACTACTCAACACAAACACACATACAATCCCACAAAGCTTCCAGACACATTCACAATACTCTGTCCTGGCCCTTTGATCCTGTGGTATTTCACTTGGTGAGACACTAGTGTTACCGGAAAACACAGCAAAAGCCACACATAGAGAGATAGACACAAGTTTTATTCAGGAAGTAACAGGTCTTTTATTTACACACCGATCGGGTCTCAGATGAACTCCTGTTCCAAAAATATCTGAGAGGCAGAAAGCATGGTGCAGAGGCCTTTTGTTAACAGCATATCCCCTCCCATACAGTATAACCCCTCCTATATACTTCAGACCAATCAGCACACATGATATTCAGGATCACCTTATATGGGCAGACCACATGGCACTTACAGACAAAGGAATATACTATCCACTTCCGTACATGCTCAGTACACTGATAACTCATTCAACTGTTTGTAATCAGATACTAATTAGCATATGCCATGTGGAGATTTCGACCTACTAAATTTTGACTATGCTGGAATCCCAGCACACTAGAGGCATGTCACAAGACAAAAGCAGCACATGCGTGTCATTAAATTTGCTTGTGCTGCACAAAACAAATAGAGGGACTTTTTCTCATGCCAGAGCTGTTTAAGTTGAGCTCTGCACATGGGCTGCCCTGGAAGAGCATTGAACCAACCTGCTAACTTTGAGCAGGAACATGCTTGTCAGTTGTGATTAAACATGCCCCCAGTCTGGCCCTGCTTGTAACACATTACAATAGGCCTTCTGAAAGCAGGTATTAGTACTTTGCTCATATTTTATGTATGCACACATACCAAATACAGCTGAGCAGTTAAAGGGACGCTGTAGTCACCTAAACAACTTTAGCTTAATGTAGCAGTTTTAGTGTATAGAACATGCCCCTGCAGCCTCACTGCTCAATCCTCTGCCATTTAGGAGTTAAATTCCATTGTTCATGAACCCTAGTCATACCTCCCTGCATGTGACTTACACAGCCTTCCATAAACACTTCCTGTTAAGAGAGCCCTATTAAGGCTTTCTTTATTGCAAGTTCTGTTTATTTAAGATTTTCTTATCCCCTGCTATGTTAATAGCTTGCTAGACCCTGCAAGAGCCTCCTGTATGTGATTAAAGTTCAATTTAGAGATTGAGATACAATTATTTAAGGTAAATTACATCTGTTTGAAAGTGAAACCAGTTTTTTTTTTTTATTTTTTTTATTTCATGCAGGCTCTGTCAATCAGAGCTAGGGGAGGTGTGGCTAGGGCTGCATAAACAGAAACAAAGTGATTTAACTCCTAAATGACAGTGAAATTGCAGGTGAATGATCTATACACTAAAACTGCTTTATTTAAAAAAGTAGTTTAGGTGACTATAGTGTTTCTTTAAACATCTCTGGCAATGATTTTATTGTACAATCAATGCAAAATGAGCAGCACAACCATTAAGAACAAATACACTTTGTCTAAGTCAAATGTATCACCAAGACCTAGAATAATTATAGACACAAATAAACCAATGTTTATTCTATAGAAACAAATAAAAAGTAATAAACATAAAATATCAAAAATGGTCTGAACCTGCTATAAAAAAATTAAAAATAATATATCTATCAATAGACAAACGTAGCCACACAACTTATGAATGGTGAAATAAGTCAGAGACATACACCCAGACTCTATGTAAAAAGCAACAATGTGTCTGAGTGCTTCCCCACCCTAAACCCAGACACAGATGCAAATGAATAGAGGATACACTGTAACAAAAAAGTTATACAAAGAGTACCTTTCCTCGGTGTGGGCCCCCCACCAAGGTATGGGTGAAAAGGCAAAAAATAAAAAGGACTTGAAATAAATGTGGCACGATCTGTATCCTTCGAGGTGGTTAACTAATACACCGTGGTCGGGATCCTCAATAAAGACCACGGTGAGAACAGGACACGATCCCCGCCAAAGCTTGTTACAATTTCAATATCCAGCGAGTTCATCCAAACGAAAGGGAGACCGCCAAAATACGAAATACTTCCTGCTTTCACTCCCAAAATAGCAACCAATAACGGCAGGTCCAAAAGTCAGCCTGTCTACGCGTTTTGTCCCTCCCACGGGACTTTATCAAGACTGAGAGTGATATGTGAACAGCCCGTTATATATACCCCACACAAACCGCGGCAAGGAAACCCCGGGCTGGATTCACAATCCTATTCGACCATAACAAAAAATATATATAAATACACATCAAATTTAAATAAAAACAATTAAAAATACATATAATATATATAGTATATATGCATCATCTTAATATTGAACAAACACAAAAATATATAATAAATATATATATATATATATATACACACAAACAGTGAACAAAATTACTGCTGTGTCAAGAGAAAACACAAATCTCCAAAAGTTAACAAATAAATATAGAGACCCCAATTGCAGTATATGTGACATTCAAAATAGTTCTAGCTCCTCATTTAGGCCATTAGGTGTCATAGAATTGAGCTTAAAGATCCACATTGATTCAGCCTTAATTAGCTCCCTCTTCCTCTTAGTTTCGTCCTGATGGGGGGGATGTGTACTATTCCCACTAATTTAAGGCCAACAGGGTTATTCTCATGAAAAATAGCAAAATGATCCTTGGTGGCCCGTCATTAAGTTACTTTTATTATTGTTGTATCACGATGACCATTCGGTTCTAGATGTTTGGCCTTAGGGCTTATACCTTCTTTGACAGTGTATAGATTTTCTGATTAGTATCTTGTCCTGGTTTCATTTATATTGGAATAAATTGCCTTGGTATTATTTGATATGTCCAATAAAACTGTGCAATCATTCATTGTAGTTTATTTTTTCATGTTGATATATTTACTTTTTCATGTTTTTTTTCATTTTTTTTTATTATTTTTTTTATTGCTTATTTGTTTTTGGAGCACTATAATGAGGATCCGTAGGTGTTGCAATCTGTGGAACACGTGATGTGGTGGGTCTCGAGAGCACGTGCACTTTTCTCCTGACCTTATTCTTTTTTTGACTCGCACTGCACATATTCTCATTTCTGGGTGATTGGGTTGGTATATGACCCGGGGCTTCCGTATCTGGTTCCTACATGGATGCTGTTTTTGGAACGCAAATGTGTTTCATTATATACAATTTTATAACATGACAGGAGCCTTCATATTTTGCATAATCTCTCTTTACTAAAATTCCAGCAGCACAGATTTAACAATAAAGTTTAGTGAAAAAAACATTGCAACAAGGTATAAAAGGCCCCTCCCCCCTGTATCACTTCCTCTTTCTTTTATGCTCCAGCCAAGGTACAGGTCAGAGTAATTTGTTCTGAGCAGATTTTATTATGTTTGTGGTATTGTACTTGGAGTTAGTTTCCTGGATTACTATTTATACTTGTTTGCCCTCCTGTTCCCTCTCCTGTCTTACCCCTTTATTTCTATATCTATTGAATGTTTATTTCCGTTTTTTCTGCTTCTCAGAGCCTGCTCTCCCTGACCGGGTGCATGAGCCTTAGCTCTGCTAGTTTTTCACTTACTCCCATTAGTCGCGCACCACATTTTTTTGCTGCGATCGCGCAGTTTTTTTGCTCTTTCGAGCGTTTCTGGGGCTAGCCTGAGGGGTACTACGGGTCGGGGGGAGCTTGGGGGACTCCATTATGTTCTCCGGCGGGCCGCAATATCTGGGCGCGCTGGCAGAATGGCGCGATCGGCGGCCATCTTGAATCTCACGAGATTCACAGCGGCCATCTTAATTTACCCAGATCGCGATTCACACGATCTGGGCTGTTCTACACGATTCCTACAGGGTTTTCAATGCCTGCTAGGAGTTGTGATATTCATGTAAATAGTGTGTACTGTATGTGTAATAGATGTTTTCACACGGTGTATAACATGTACTTTAGATGGTGTATATGATTGATCACATGATATGTGTAATAGATAATACAAATGTGTATGTATGTATATATATATATTATTTATTTTATTTATTTTTTTATCTATCTCCGAGTTAGCTTAGCGGGCTATGCATCATCAGGAACTGTTCATCTCTTGTGGGTGACAGGTTCAATCCCCAAACTGAGGTAGATTAAGTGGGAATAATTTATTTGTGTAACCAGAGAATTTATTCACTGATTTTATACCTTGTGATTTTTTTCTTATAAAACAAGGTTTGTATAATAGTTATATTATGTAGATCTGTGTAATCACATAATAGGTATACATGTTATATCACGAGGATGCTTTTCCTTATACTAACAATGTTCCCAAGGGGTGGAACCCCATAATTACTCACTTATATAAGTATATATAGTCTCTCACTATTCCACTTCAAACTGGGCACACTGGGGTGACACCCAGGTGGACTTCCGCATCCTGAGACTTATCAATGAAGGGGTGTTTCCCCTTACTACTGGGTGACCCCCCCCCCCACTCACAGATGTGCATTCACCAGCGGCTTACTATGCACTTTATTATTGGGTTGACCCCCCTTACTACTGGGGTGACCCCCCCACTCACAGATGTGCATTCACCAATGGATAACTATGCACTTAATTATTGGGGTGACCCTTCTTACTATTGGGGTGACCCCCCCACTCTCAGATGTGCATTCCCAAAGGGATTACTACGCATACTATTATTATTATTATTGGGGTGACCCCATATCGCTAGGGTGAACCCCAGCATATTTATTTATACACGCCAAGTAAAGGCGAGCAGTTTCTAGGGGTGACCCCCTTTAAGCTGGAGTGACCCTCCCCCCCCCACCACCTCAAGCACTCTATCGTCACTGAGACACTGTAATAGGGGTAACCCCCTTCTTGGTGCTATATATGGACTGCATGCCGGAACAATACCATACCACTTCAACCTCTATGATGCAATAGGGGACACATCTATTCCACGCTGTGATTCTTGTCTGCAGGTAGCATTGTCCTCTAGGGTAAACCGGCACAGTCCTTTGGTTTGCATATAATCCAGGCAGTTTTATTGTTAAACTCACACAGGAGACAGCAGTAAATGAAACAAACAATAATAACACAAATCCCTATAAACAAAAGCCTAGCTCGTCTGAGTACTAACTAACATCAGACTCCCTCTCTCTCAGGGTTTAAACTAGAACAAAATAATATTTGTGTTCACCAACCTAGTGCCTTTGTCAGATCTCTGCACTCCAAACTCGGTTAGCATGTGGCTTCCATTCCTTCTAGAAATAAACAAATTTCTCAATCTTTTCCGCACTCCCAGTGCTCCAAGCCAGCCTTGACTGCTTTCCTTTTGCACTCCCAGTGCTCAGTCTCCTTGACTCTCTCACTGGAGAGAACAGCCTCTCTCCAACCTGCTTCCAGGGAGGAAGCCAGCAATCCCCCCTTTACCTGCATAGCAGGGAGGGGTTTATTCCCACTGCTGCAGCTGATTACCTGCAGCTGGGCAATGGGATGGAGACAGTCCAAAAAACCCTGGCCTGGATCTATGTCTCCCAAGAAAACCGCTAAACTGCGGAGTGGAGCATTGGCCCACCCTGCTCTCCAAATGCTCCACCCCAGGGGCCCATAACTAAATGTTGGTTTGTGTTGCCTACAACACGTACTCCCCCTGGGGTTAAATGTTATAGCCCTATCTGCCTTCACTTTATCACAACGCGTACTCAGTGGTACTGGACCTAACCTATTGGGACATAACTAGGGTGAATCCCTAACACAGTGTTGAGACTCCTCATGTCTCCCTATTTCACAGGGGCTACCACCCCATTTCAACTCGACAGTTATTCCTGGTCGCATAGAGGGTGACCCCTCTTCTGGCTGTCTGCCATTACTGTCTCAATTACAGCGGGCTGAAATTGCCTGCTACCCTGGATGACCATCAGTTGTACATGGAGGCGCACTATGTGTCCTAACACTTTTACACATGTACCTAAACCTTATATATATTCCGCAGACCGAAAAGTTCAACAAGACTCACATCGTTAGGAACTCGCCCAGTCTCGCACTCAAGACTTTCAGCCTATGTTAATGCTGCAGTTGCAGCCTCAGTACAAACGGCAATCCCCAAGATGTTGGGTCAGGGTCTTGCAGAGATGGTGAACCACGGTGCCCCACCAGCCAATGAATTTATGTGCTACAAGGCCCCTAGGCCAAGCACGCATAATAAAAGGATAAGGGAAAGATACCATCATGGATAAACTCCCCTTTAAAAGGAAGATTTCTGAGACTCCACGGTCAGAAAACACATCAATGCGAACAGAGGACGCATGTCTCCAACCTGGACCAACGCAAGGGGCATATGCTTGCCTCCTTCTCGATGTTGAGTCCTTGGTCACCGTCGCATCACGGAGACCTAGGTGACACGCACCTCGCCAACACAGCAGAATCAAAGGGGTTTCCCGGACCTATTGACTCAATTTCTGGACTTTCCACTGCCCCGTCCATTGTCTTCCATTTTATCGACAACCCACAAGATACCATCTGATACTTTGGTGGCTTACGTTCCACTTCAGGACCTTTCGTATGTCGCGAGGCATCATACGATCCAGAACCAGTCTCGAAATACACTCGGTTATGGATCATAGATGTGGTTCTCTATTCCCTGTGGATTTGGCCAACTGTTTTGGATCTTCACTCCAACAAACTCTTGGGGAAGCTCATACTACTTTCACATTATGTGGCGTTGTCTACAACTGTTCGGCCTTCACAATCGAACCAGCCTCTCCTTTTGTATACCTTACCTTTTTTTTCAAACCGGTGACGACCACCACTTTAGCTGGGTGGGTACTTTGACTATTGTTCATATGGTTGTGGAGATCTGTTTTATCGGTCATTCGGGGCGCGGATGCATCTCTGGCATCCACGGCGCATGTTTTCTTCGCCGATATTCGTCGGTTTAGTCGCGGGAAGAGACCATCAGAGTATTTTACTTTCTCAGACTCTTCACGCATCTTGTGTTCTTTCCATAGCGTTAAAAATGCAAAATACGACCTCCTGTCATGTTATAAAATTGTAGATTATGCTAACGCAGTGTACCTATAATCTTAATTTTATTAAGGACAGGAGGCGAGTATTTTCCCACCCTTTTTTCCCCTCCCTATTTATTTGAATCCTTGGTTTGTACTTCAATAAAGATCTGAATTCAGGGGTGTGTGTTTATTTCATTATTATAATCTTAAGATTACGATTATTATCTGCTATGATTACTTATTACATACAATTTGACTATATATATTAATGTATATATCCTCAACTACCTATTTCGGTTACAAAAATGTTATTGTCTCATTTGGTAAATTCCCCCTTTTTTTTGTAAAGCGCTGCGGAATAAGCTGGCGTTATATAAACAGCAATAATAATGATGATAATAATAATGACGAACAGTTTGTTTCCAAGTCACTTTCACATCTTGTTTCTTTTCAGTTTGATTCTTCTACATGGATCAATACACGGGATCGTCTTCACACTCTACGACGATCATCCATTCGGGATTTGGATCGTTTACAGTCTGATTCTTCATTGTTAGCGTTGTTTATTGTAATTACAGGATATGTTTATGGTTATATCGCATCAAAGAAAGAGGAAGTGATATGGGGGGGGGGGGCTTTTATACCCTCTTGCAATGTTTTTTTTCACTAAACTTTGTTGAATCTGTGCTGCTGGAGTTTTAGTAAAGAGAGATTATGCAAAATACAAAGCCTCCTGTTATGTTATAAAATTGTATATAGTCTTTTGTTCTTGTGCCTTCACAGTGCCCTGTATAACCTGAGCTCGAAGCACCGCGCTGCTCGGTTCTCCTCGTCCAACTCTCGCATGATTGCTGTGATAGTCTCTTCCGGAGGATCTGGGCCATACTTAGCTAGCCGCCTCTTTACCTCCTCAATATAAGCGTCGCTCTCATAGCAATACGTCATGTTTGCTTGGCACCCGCTCTGGGCCTCTAGCACTCCGATCCTCGCCCTTGGGATTCCTCTGTAGACAGGGACGCTGCACGGTAGCTAGCTCTATCCCTCTACTATAAATCCACTGGTATAGTTTTAATCGGAAAACTGACTGTGGCATGTTCTGTGTGGCAAAATGACGCCCTCAACAGGTAAGATTTGTGTTTTGTTAAAGTGCCATGGTGCCAAGTGCTGTGAAGTAATGTGGAAATTGTTATTGAGTGAAGTGCTGTGTGGGCAGTGTGATGCTGTGGCAAGTGCTGTTGGGTGGTTGACCTTTTTGACAATTGTGCTGGTGCATGGTGACTCTGTGGCCATATTTTTGCTTGTGGTGTGCCATAGAATTCTTGGAAGAGCTTCTAATTTTGTGCCTTGGGCGAAAAAAAGTCCTGGGCTATATAAAAAAAAAAAAAGAAGAAAAAAGAAAAAAGCAGCCTACAAGTGAAATACATGGCAAGTAATATGGCACTTGCAGAAAAAAAAAATTAGAATTTTTTATAGGACGTGAAGTAGAAATTACATCCTTTTAGTCACATTTGCTGAACTCAAGAGACATTTAAAAAAACAAGATTTGAAATAAATGCCTAAAAATGGGTAACAGCGTAATACACCTCCCTATTTTTTTTCAGCCCAAATCCCTCTGTACCCCTTTTCTATCTTGAGGTCTCTTTTCTAGAAGCTCCATATTGTTGTTGTGTCTGAGTCTATAACAGAACTCCATCTGTAAATAATGTACACTTTTCTTGATCTAAATTACATTTAATTGCATGAATGGTTATTAGGAAGGTTAGTCACCTGGAATTTCACAGTACAGGCCACACTACCACTTACAAACCTAATATTAACATATTTTGTTCATTTGAAATGTTGGGTGTAATCGCTTTTCCCGTTGGTTTATGCCCTTTCCAGAGCATCTCAGAATGCTTTCATTTGCATGTGACATTAGAGTATACATTTCCATATTTACATGGAACTGATCTCCCCCACAAGGACAGTTCAGATTCAAAATGCCAGGCATTAGCTCTTTTGTATGTCTAATGTGTTTGAAGCCTCATTAATGAGGTATGGCAGCTGTACATCAAAGTATGTTAGGTTCAGACTGTAAGACTCTTACATAGTTCTTGGCAATAAATATATACTCGTGGTTTAAAAGGTCATTCCAAGCACCAGAACCGCTTATGCTCATTACTTTAGTAAATACATCCTTCTCCCTTCCATACTTTGTGAAAACCACTTTTAACTAAAATAAACCACAGGTGGAACTTATGTTTGCCTGTAGTTGTAGATTTTTCCACCTTTCATTCCCAGATTTTCTTGAAGGTACTGGTGTCACGATAATGCATGAAAGTATGTACAGAGATATTTTTTTTTCAAGCTGGTAGATTTATACCACAGCTGCTAATAACTTTTGGCAGCAGTTACATCCTCATTTTCTGATCAGTGTAGCAACCTTCCCCCATCAGGGGTGTACAACCCTAAAATGTGTAAGGGGCCTGGCCCTGTGCTGGAGTCTGCAAGAGTCCTATAATGCTATGTGGTTCTGTTGGCGACTGGACCATATTGCAAGATGCATAAGTCCCTTCAAAGTACATGTACATATTCTCATTTATCTCTAGCACGGCTGCACTGGGAGGAAGTGATGTCTGTATTCCACTGCCCAAATTAAATTATATTAAATCACTATTAAGTAATAATATACTAAATGAAAACATGCATATATCTAAAAATACATTTTTCCATTGGGGGTATAGCTAAAAAGAACTTGCAAAAGTTTGTCTCTTGTCTACAGATTCTGAAAGCCCCCCTTCCTCCCCAGCCCAGTGTTTCTTTGTGTGTCCAATCACAGACTTCCCAATGCAGCTCAATGAGAAGTCTTTGCAAGGTAGGTGCTCTGGGCTATTGCTGCCTTATGAGGTTAGCTCCACTGAGCGATTCAAACCAAAAAGTAACCGTTATAATTAACAGCTGAGGGGTGTAATAAGGTTAACTTATACAAGTGCCAATTTCTTTTGAAATTTTGAAACGTGCACTTTGTAAAACGAAAAAAAGAGGACAAACTCTTCACACATATGGCATTTCAGCAAACTAAAGTGCTTTTGGTGTGCAGAGTGTTCCTCTAACTGCATTATTAAATTTTACATTCGTATTGATGACACTGAAGTGGCGGCCTCTTGAAAATGTGCTTCCGTTACAATGGTGCTGAATTTTTACTTAAAGGACCACTATAGTGCCAGGAAAACATACACGTTTTCCTGGCACTATAGTGCCCTGAGGGTGCCCCCACCCTCAGGGTCCCCCTCCCGCCGGGCTCTAGGGTGAGGAAGGGGTTAAACTTACCTCTTTCTCCAGTGCCGGGCGTGGAGCTCTCCGCCTCCTCTCCTCGGCTGAATGCGCATGCGTGGCCAGCCAGTCCATAGGAAAGCATTCACAATGCTTTCCTATGAACGCTGGCGTCTTCTCACTGTGAAAATCACAGTGAGAAACACGCAAGCACCTCTAGCGGCTGTCAATGAGACAGCCACTAGAGGCTGGATTAACCCTAATATAAACATAGCAGTTTTATAGAAAAAAGGGTTAACCCTAGCTGGACCTGGCACCCAGACCACTTCATTAAGGTGAAGTGGTCTGGGTGCCTATAGTGGTCCTTTAATCGTTTAAATTCTCAATTTTTGAAGATTAAAATTTAGAACCACTGGTTGTGTTTCTTGATTACTATTTATCAGCATCCTGTAATCATTATGTCTTCCTTTTTCACAGAAACAACGGAAAAAGAAGCAGAAGGAGGTCCTTGTAGAGCTGAATGATGTGGCTGGTGAGAGGAAATGATTATTCTCTAGATATATTCACAGAATGAGTTAGAATTAATAATTACTATCCAACATATTCCAACTATTGATTAATTTTGTCTTACAATAACATTTCAATATAAGATAATTTTAGAAGCTGGTATGTTTGGATTTTTTTTTTACATACTTGTTGCATGTTTGCTTTGTATTTTGTACCTCTGATATGTGCCACTGTCCTAAAATCCTCCGAATTATGCTCAGTTACATCTTCTGAGTAAAACAAAATGCCCAATGGATAACCTAGACACTATTTTGTGAAGTTACATTGCTGTAAAAGAGACGTGATAATATTCGTTTTTTTAATCGCTTATAATTTTTTATTTTTAAATGCTTATTCAAACAACCCCATAAAGGCATACCGTTTCTTAAAGAAGACCATTCAGGGTATTTCAAAAAGCACACTTTGAACCTTAGCGTTGGATAATTTTTCACTAGCTTTTTTTCTACATTTTTGACTCCCACAGTGAGTTTTTACTGTATACTTTGCAAATCTTAAGTGTGCTACGGCAGTATAATACTTCATATGTTGCTCAGCTATGTCATCTGAGTACAGCAATTCCACCATAAGTATATTTGCCAGGTATATGTTGCTGTTGAAGGGGCAAATTCAGACACAGCCCTTTCAGTATTTTTTTCAAACTTTTGGACCCCCCTACTCCCTGGCATGCAATCAAGGCATCCACCCCAATGCAGTGGCGGTACTAAAATAGAAAGAATTTTATTGGGCCCCCCAATTGCAAGGTTGGACTAAAGGTAAAACCCCATCTGTCGTTCAACTCCAACATTGCTTTGACAGCTGGGACTCAACCAATTTCCATGTTTGCAGGATTGTATTTAGCACTAAGCAGTGCTTATATTGAGTATGTTTGTGTGAATGTGTTTGTATGTGGTATTGGAGTTTGAATACAAGTGTGCATTTATGTGTAATGTTTGTTTTTGAATGTAGGGGTATGTGTGTGTGTGTGTATATATGTGTATATATGTGTATATATATATATATATATATATATATATATATATATATATATATATATATATATATATATATATATATATATATATATATATATATATATAATTCTGGTGTTCAATACAGGAGTGTGTTTGTATGTAGTGTTGAAGTTTGAATGGAGGGGTGTATTTGTATTTAAAGTTGGTGCTCAGACACACAGGTTCACACGCTGTCACACATGCAGATACACACACACACACACACACACACACACACTGACTACATACAGATACACAGGCACATACACTGACAGACATACTGACACACACATACACTGACAGACGTACTTACACACAGATACATATACTGACACACACAGACACATACACTGGTAGACACACTGACAGACTGGCACATATACAGACATACTGACACAAACGCGCGCACACACACTGACAGACATACTCACACAGGCACATATACAGACATACAGACATACTGACACAGACACACATATACTGACAGACACTGACAGTAATACTGAAACACACAGATACAAACACTGACAGACATACCGTGTTTAAATAGGTAGGTAACCACGCCCCCTAAATGTTTTCGTTCAAACACCTTGGTAGGCCGTGGCGTTCTTGGCGTTATGACGTCGGCGCTCATTAGCCGACTGTGTCATGCTGTGTGTCTGTGTCATGTTGTGTCTGTGTGTCTGTGTCATGTTGTGTCTGTGTGTCTGTGTCATTGTGTGTCTGTGTCATGGGGTGTGTGTGTCTGTGTGTATTTAAAAAGTGTTTTTACTCACTTTTTTTTTTTTTCTCCCCACGCCGTGCTGGTCTACCCTCGACTGGCCCTGCCTCTATGGCTGAGATCATCAAGCTTGATGATCTCAGCCAATCCAATGCTCTGCCATAGGATTTGCTGCAAAGGCCCTGAATGTAGGTGCTGCACATTGTGCAATTACACTGTGCAGCACTGACACAGGAAGCGCCTCTAGTGACTGTCTGAGTGACTGTCACTAGGAAGCAATGTAAACACTGCCATTTCTTGGAAATGTCAGATTTTACATTGAAAATCCTGCAGGGACAGGCTATGGGCACCAGAACCACTACATTAAGCTGTGTGTGTGTGCCTGATAGTGAGTGAGCTTGCTTCTGTGTGTGTGTGTGTGTGTGTGTGTGTGTGTGTGCGCCTGCTAGTGAGTGAGTGAGCTTGTGTTTTTATGCCAATGAGCTTATGTATATCAGTGACTTTGTTTGTCTATGAGGCTGTGTATCAACAAGCTTGTGTGTGTCAGTGAGATTGTCTGTCTGTGTCTGTATATATGTGTGTGTGTGTATATATATATATATATATATATATGTGTGTGTGTGTGTGTGTGTGTGTGTGTGTGTGTGTGTATATGTATGTATGTATGTGTGTATATATATATATATATATATATATATATATATATATATATATATATATATATATATATATATATATATATCTCAACCATCTGGGGAGGCAAGACATTGCCTTACATATTACATACGGCAATATATGGCGCAATGACTTATGGGGCTGGCGTAGATTTTTTTTTTTTTTTTCAGGTTTGCTTTGTATCCCCAGTCCGGCCCTGCTGGGGACAAGCTGAGAGTTGATAGGAGTGTCCCCAATACCCTGCAATGTGACGCCAGCCTGTGACATGCCCTTGACTGATACACAAGGTAACCTGACACACAGACATACTGACACATACACAGACTGACACACACATGCACACACACAGACAGACAGACTGGCACACACATGCACATACACTGACATACATACTGACACACACACAGATATACACACACAGACATACTGACACACATGTAAAATGTAAATTCTTAAACCCACCCTCCAGTTTCCTACCTTTTGCTGGAGGGTGGCTTCCCTGGGTTCCAGTTTGGTGCCTGAGGTTGATGGGAGTGAGGAGTCTCCATCATCACTGCAGCCTCGTGCTCCCTCCCTGGCGGCGACTCCTGCCAGCTTCTGTGCAGCTCCTCTCTGTCACTTCCTCCAAGCCGGCTGACGGAAAGCGCTCTGAGTGACTGACCAAATGCCAGAACTATGAGGGTGCTCTAAAAGTGCACTGTATTGGTACAGATGAACGAGCTCCCGCACTGGACTTCCAGGGATCCAGTAAAATCTCCACTGAAACACCAGGGAAATTGCTCTCCCTCCACTGGCCCACTAGGAAAGGTAGGCAAGGGGTAGGACAAAACATACATACACAACACTAAACTAGAACACACTCTGCTCCTCCCATAAAGGTCTCCATTTCCTCCACACACACAAAACGTAGCAACTACACACACTCTCCCACACAGAATTCTTGGTCAACACGCACGACACTCATAGAAACACAGCCCAGTGCTCTAGAAGAGTGCTTCAACCTCAAACTCTACCTAGGGCCCTTGACAACCTTAATCCGGCTCTGGCACTACCATGTCACTGTTAGCATTCCAGAGAGTGATACATAGTGCTAAAGTATAATTTCAAATACCTTTATTTTGGAAATATATGATTTAACTGTGTTTACTGTATGTGTGCATTATGCTTGAATGCAGACTTTCTTTTTATTTTCTGTTGCCATTTTTAATAAGCTGTACTGCTAGTAATGCATACATGGTCCTTATAATTGTCTATAATTGTCCATTTTTATTTATCAATTTTTGTTACACCTACTGTATGTGAGAAAAATAGTTTTTTTGCTTTTATACATACATTTCAGATCCTATGTGAAATATTTCAAGATAAAGACACTGTATACTGTTTTAATCTTTTCATTTCCCAAACCTTTTTATAAAGGCTGAGCAAATAAGAGAAAAGTAAAAATTGTGTACCTCTACTTAATTTTATTTTTTGTTTGTTTGTAAAGCAATATAATCACAAAAATGTTGTTTAATATGTTTATATTCTAGCTCTGAATCCAGATAGATGTCATGCTAATATTCTTTCAATACTCAAGTATTCAGCATAGTATATTGTTCTTGTCATTCAAGTAGTTAGAACATGTTTTGGTTGGTAAACGCCAAGAGGGACAATACAAAAAATTATTTTGGAAAGTGATTTATTTTATTTATTTTTTTTGTTTGTCATCTTTAGACCAAAGTCATGGACTTAAGGACTTGCTCCAGAAGATCACTGAACATGAGCAGGAAATTAAAGCGATCCTTCAAAAACATGAGGAAGAGAAGACAACACTATCAGAAGCCCATAAAATTGATATGGAAACTCGAACACAGGAATTAATGAAACAGGTATGGTGGGAACATCAAAACTACTAATGTGTATAGTAAGCCTCAAGCTTAATCAGTGTGTTTGATACAATTGTGGTCTATTCACCAAACAGTGAATTGTGATGACTTGAAAATTGACTTGTGCAGATAAAGCTAAATTAACAGACTTGCAAGAAATATCTAACGGAGAATTTCTACACCTCCGATCTTTTAGCATACATTTTTAAAGTTAATTATCGATTTCAAATTCATCATTTAGAAAGTGTACTGGATAACATGTTTTCACCTTTTTCTGCCTTTTCTCCTTGATCATATTACATTATAGTAAATATGTTTAACGTAACAAGAAACTCGTGAACTTTGAGTTGCTCTGTAACATGAAACTAACTCCTATATTGTGTTTCTGGGTGTGTTAAATAGAATTATTATATACATACACTAACAAAGAATGTTTCTATGATGTTAGTAGTGCTTGCTCCTTTACATTGTAGATTGTCACTGATGGCTGGATTTAGGGTCACTTTGTCCCAGATTATTTTGTTATGATACAGTGTCTTTAATTATTTCTCCACTTTGATGTGCTATTACTGGGTCGCCGTAAATCCTGTCAACGTGGATGTTATCTCACAGCTATGTACAATATGAATAATTGTTACTATGCTATGTTTAAATGTGCTAGAAAGAAGGGCTGAAGAAATCTATCTTTATCAGTGGCTGCAGAATTTATCAAAGGTCATGCACAATGCGTAGTGGGATCCGTGCATTACATATAACACCAGACAACTGGCCTACATATAAACATTTATATCAAATGAATAACCAGAATTAAGACCGCTGTTTTTATAGGTAATATACCTACACTGTCAGTGCATCGCTATAGCTCAGTTTTGGCAGACCCTACTAATCTACTGTTGTTAACAGGACGTATAGCCCACTAGATTGGACCTTTTAGTTCTCCCTACTTTAAATGCGCATTAGGAGTCTAATGTAGCCTCTATTTTTCTTAGTTGGTGTGCACAGAATTTTCCTCTTGTGCAAAATGTTTTCCTGATCCAAAATATTTTGGACACTGAATGTTTGTGAGAATGTAAAATTATTTTTTGATAATCTTCATACAGCCTCTCTAATATAGTTAATAACACTACTTGACAGTATTACTACATGCTAATGTAGTATTAGCAGTGGCGGATCCAGGGGGGAGAAGGGGCAATGGGGCAATTGATCTAATGGGACACACTCTCACTAATTTGAAACACACTCGCTGACAGACACACACACACACACACACACACACTGAAAGACACACTCACATATTGACACATTCTTGCACACACACTCAGAAATAAATTTTATTTTATTTTTTTTAGGCCCATCCAGGTTCGCCTACCTTTAGTAGAGCTGGTGTGGTTCCTCTCCCTGGTGTTCATTGGGGATATTCTCCCTGGGGGCCAGCAGGAAATGGAACTTCTCCCTACAGTCTTCCAGTTATTCAATGCTCCATCACGTGCACCCTCTGTAGTAATTTTGGGGCCAGAGTAACATCATGTTCTGGCTTCCTGCATCACTGCAAAGGGCATGCGAAGGAGCAGTGAAGAACTGGAAACACATTATCAGCGCTTCCTCACCACCGCCTTCTATTCTCTGTATATTTTGGCAAAGTAGGCTCCTGCCACCTAGTGTAAGCAGGTGCCTACTCTGCATTACTGACTTAGTGCCCACTTCCTGGGTGCCCTAAGGTGGCCAGCCAGCCACCTCATGGGCTTCCAATGTTGGCCAGTAAAGGTGGAGGATGCTGCAAGGCCCACCTGCCGGTGGGTAATAGTTTTTTTTTTAGAAATAAATCTGCAAACTCTTTGTGCGCAAACTCTTACCCTGCGTGTGCTCCTTCAAAAAGGTGTGCGCACGCACACCTTAGAGGGAACAGTGATTAGGACCACTAAATTTTATTCTTTTTATTACTTTTTTAGGTAGAAACTATTGTTGAGATATATGTATCAGGCATAATCACTTATCTAAAAGTCTGGTTAAGGCATCAAGTACACAAAACATATATATATATATATATTTTTTAAATTATCTTTATCTGCGTTATGCGTCTTTTACATAGCTCTGTTCCCCAGCTCTGGTTATTTTTAGCATCTATTGATATGATTTGAAGTTCTAACCAAACTTACCTTTGGTCTCTCATAAAGTATTTAAAGAGGCTCTGTCAACCTATGGGTTTAAAGTGCAGTCTCTCAGCATTAATTTGAGGGTATTCACATCCACATTGAAGTGAGGGTTAAGGAATTGTAACGCTTTAATTTGTAGCCCCCTCTTTCTCAAGGGACAAAAAGTAATTGAACAATTGACCCAAAACCTGTTTTATGGACAGATGAGGGCTGTTCCTTCATTATTTCTTCACCATTATTTCTTATGCCTGTCAGTTCAGGCAGTCCCCCTGCAGGCAGCACTATGGAGGCCTATTGCAGCCATGTGACCGCTCTTTCAGAGCGATTGCATGGCCTGTGGGGTCTTAATTTGCCAAGGGGGGACTGTTTGGGCTGTCTGACAGTCCCCCCAGTTGGAGAGGAGTACAGATCGCGGGGGAACTGCGGCGATCTGCGGTAAGTAATCCGCGGTAAGTAATTAAGAATACCGCGGCCGTACTAGGTACATCCGCTGTCCTGGGGGTGGGAGGGGTTTAATACTTGTATGTTTATTTTTTTTTCGCACGCAGGCAGAGCATCGGAAGCCTGTCTGTTGGCTATCAATGCTCTGCTACACTGCCACGTGAGGTGCCAGGTAAGGGATCATCCGGCGGCCCGGCAATCAAGGGGGATATTGCAGGATGCCTCGACATCGAGGCATCGCTGCAATACCGTTAGAGTGGCTGGAAGCATTCACATTTGCCGCCGACCTACCAGATATGTCCGGGGTGGTTAACGGCCATTTTTTGACGGATGTACCTGGTACGTCTGCGGTCACTAAGGGGTTAATGAAATTAGAATGCAAGGATCAATACAAACTGATCTTTTGAAACGAACTGTTACAGGAATCTATTTCCCCTGAATAAAAGCTGGAAAGTACTCAACTTCCACTGTAAATTGTAGGCCAATCTTTCATTCATTCGCATATTAAAATCTATTCTTCAGTATTGGCAAACAGATTAAAAGCCTTAATACCATTCCTAGATCAAATTAGGAATGGTATCGATTGCTGGATTTAATTGACTATTTGGTCAGGACCAGTGATTTCCTGCTGACCCTGTAAATGATGCTGAGAAGGCATTTGACAAGATCACTTGGGGATTCATGGCTAAGACCATGGAGAAATTTGAATTCAACAATCCAATAAGGTCGGCCATAATGGCTCTTTATGTCGACCCGACACCCAGGCATCTCTGCCAAATTTCAAAACGACACTGGCCCCTTTGCTGTGTGTTCTGACTCTGGAGCCTTTCACTGCTAATGTAAGAGCTAATTACCAAATGGAGAGTGTTTCATTAGAAGACACCTATTATAGAGTCTATATACAGACAACATCATCCTCACTTTGACAAACCCAGTAGCCTTGTTGGCCTCCTTGGTTCCAGAGATCGAAAGGTATAGTGAAGTGTCAAACTACAAGGTAAATATGGGGAAATGCCAAATAATGCCCATCAATCTGAGTTCTACTGTAATGGAAACTCTTAAACAAGTCTGTCTTTTTATATCGTCCTCTGATGGGTTTATATACTTATTTTTCTCAAAATCTAACTGAAATGTGCACAAAAAAATGTTGAAATCCTATTCAAAGATACCAGTGAAAAACTATTGAAAGAATGGAACTATATTGGTATATCCTTGCTGGGAAGAATAAATATTATCAAATCATATTTCCTTTAGAAATGGTCTTACATTTATAGGATGTTAACATTATCTATACCTATAATGAGACAACATTTTTATGAACTATATTTGGGATTCTAAGAGACCTATAATTTCAGCCTCACATCTAATAAAGGGGGTCTGACTATTCCAAACATGATTAGATATTATGAAGCCAGTAAGATGTTCCATCTACAAAGGTGACAGGCTTCGGAATCCGTCGACAAATAGGCTAGAAACTGGTATAAAGTAGTTTCTAGCCTATTAAAAGTTAAGAACCTTTGTACTCTGATTTGGCTTGATGAAAGAGCAAGTATCAAGCTTTTAGCCTCAATTGTGAACATCTATCTAAAAACTTTGTTATAGCTGGTTTAAATTTAAAAAATAAATATAAGATTCAAGATAAAATATCTAAAGGAAGTCCTATTGCTGCAATTGAATATAACATATCTGATTTATATTTAAAAAAAAAAAAAAAAAACTAGCTTAGAATTAATACTCTGACAACTTCAGATCTTATAAATCAAGGAGAGGCAACCCTTGGCACTCCAGATGTTTTGGACTACACCTACCATGATGCTTTGCTAGCATTAAGGCTGTGAGAGCATTGTGGAAGATGTATTCCCCAACATCTGGAGTGCAGAAGGTTGCCCATTTATGTTCTAGATCAGGGGTTCTCAACCCAGTCCTCAGGACCCCCTACCAGTCCAGGATTTGGGGATTACCTGGGTGTGTCTCAGGTGTTTAGAAAAAGGGAAAAAAAACACCTTAGATTCTAAGGTGTTTTTTTTTCTTTTTCTAAACACCTGAGACACACCCAGGTAATCCCTAAACCCTGGACTGGTAGGGGGTCCTGAGGACTAACGTTGAGAACCCCTGTTCTAGATGATCATAAAATAAAGTCCTTTGCACAACTGCAGCAGACCCATAATATACCTTCAAAAGAGATTTTTACTTATCTTAGACTAAAAAAATTATATAGGAAACCATATTCGTAATGACGATAATGCTATCCTAAATGAAAAAAAAAAAAACAATTTGGGAAGGATTTGAACTGTAAAACCATACCTTTCTGTTATGATATCCTGAGGTTAGAGGATAAAGATCTAAAACCCCAAACTTGGAAAAACTGGGATAAAGAACTTGGCGCTCCCATACAAATTGATCAATGTTATAAATTTATATTAGTAGACAAACAATCACCATATTGTTTGTACCTTATCGAACTTCATTATGAAATACTCCATCAGTGGCATTTGGTTCCTAAAATTATGAATAAAATAAATCCAGCAGACTCCCCATTATGCTGGAGGCGCAAACGAGGTAAGGGTAGTACGAAGCATATATGGTGGGACTGCCATCTCTTAAAACCCTCTAGGGAGTGGGATATTAAAAGAACTAGCTGCATTAGTTGGTCATGATTTAGGGAATAATCTCCAAGTTGTTATCTTCTAATTTAATCTGTCTGGTTTAACGTCTCAAAAAAGATATTTACTAGTTCAACTGACTATGGCTGCTAAAGTTGCAATATCTAGTTATTGGTTAAAACCAGAAATTCCCTCTTGGGCATACATATTAAATAAACTAAAATACCAGTACACTATGGAAAAAGGAATAGATTGTTAGAATGATTGGTACGAAAAAAGATGGCATCCCTGGCTTGGCACTTTAAAAAAAAAAAAAAACAAACAGATTTTTTTGCCCTTTAAAAATACTACTTATCACCGAGCATAGTAAAACTCAAAACAGAGGATGCCAGAAAGATGGATAAACCTTCTGCCCTGCTACTCAACATCACTACAAACTACAATACGTTTTGGGACCTGTAGCACCTCGAGTTCCCCCTACCCACATAGGGACCTGGGTCCAGCAAGTCACCCAACCTCCCCAGTCATTCACTCACCCTTCCTCCCCCCGCCCCATCCCACAGCAACCCCCGCCCCCCTTTTTTTTCTCTTCCTCCTTTAGTTCCCTGGATATTTTCAAGGCACTATTGGAATATATCCCCCCAAAAAACATAGGCACTCTCGAGATGTAGGGATAACGCATCCTCGACTCAGTGTTGCTTAGACCAAACTGGACAACGACACCTATGTTTCATCCATTCAGATGCTCTGTATAACTTAAATGCTAGATAATGTTGGACTTGTAGGCTACTATGTTTCCCCTCTTACATTATGTACTGATGTTGAAACCATACATGTAACGGAATAATGACAATGTATTCCTTGTCACCATGCGCCTTTGTATACCGCATCACCCCGATTTGCACGTGTTACTTCACGTCATGTACCCTTTAACACCTACAATTGTAAGTTACTACATTATACTATTACCATGTTTTTACCCTGTCGTAAAAAGAAACAAAAATACTTTATAAATAATTCCAATAAAAAAATACTACCTTTAACTTTAAAGAACTAAAATAATATGCTCAGATTATTGTCCTAAAATAACATACAATAAACAATTGCCTAGCCTCATTTTTCTAAATTATAGTCACTATTTCTCCCTTATTTCAAAAAATTTCTGACTTTAACCCTCATGGATACATTGATCAAATAAAGAATGCAATTTACAAAGATGAAAACTTATTGAGTGGTGCATGATAGGTTAGTGTCGGCAAGGAGAATGCATGGGTGCTGACAATAAAAATTCCCCCTGCTTTCAGATGCATTCGTAGAACATGCTACTGATGATTATCTGGTATGCTTTTTTTATTCATGAGAAATTTGACTTTGTGCTGGTTACCAACATGTACAACAGTAACAATCCTATTACTGATAATCCTGAGAGACAGGAAAAACCTGGAGGATTTAAATCCAAGCAAACGGACAGTGAAAGAAACAGGAATGTAACTAGCTGTCATAGGTGCAAAAACATATACTGAAATGAAATTTCACCCAGTTTCACCTGTGCACAATTCTGACAGAATTGTTAAAAACATTGTTCAACAGTATAAATGCATACTCAATGCAGTGTACAGAAATACACTCTCAGATGCATTCATACAAGCACACACACATACTCATTCACAGATACATACAGAGGCCCTACCTACAGACTAACACAAACAGATACACACATACAGAAAAATGGCCAGATGAAAATCTACAGATGCACAGATGCGCAGTCACACATGTAAACACAAAATCACTCAAACACACTGTTACGGTTGCCCCAGGCTAGCTGAGGATTACGGTTGCCCCGCCTAAATGTCCTTGTCCCTGAGCTTGGAGAGCGGTGAAAGGTTTCACTTCAGCAACTACTGATATCCCTGGAAATGTAGAAGATGCTTGGAGCTCTGAGCAGAGCTAGTGATTAGCATTTCCCTACAACACGAGTCAAGGCTGCGAGTTTAGGGTAAGAAGACTGGTTTATTGAACATTTCTTTTATACACATTTTCAGGCCAGAGGCACACCCCTCTGGACCTGATGGAACACAGGGACATAAGGAACATAAACCAATCACAATAAAGTGCATCTTTCAGAACCCTCCCCTCTATCCTCGAGATAATTGGCTTAAGTGACCGTAGTAACTTAATTATCTCCAGGTACAGAAAATATTTTTAAGTTGAAATTGTAACAAAAACCACATAAAAATACATAACTCATATTATACAATATTCAACCCCTATGTTCAACATATCCTTGGATAGTTTGGATCAGAACGCTCAATAGGTCCGAAAAGTGCTCAGATCTCACGAATACAGTTGGTTAAAGTTTTTCTCAACGGCCTACCGGCATAATTCAGCCCCGGATTAGTTCCACGATTTTTAGTCATAAGGTCGATCTAGTTTCTGTAGTATGAAAGGGCCGAACGGCGCTGCGTTTGTATGTTTAGAAACGAACGGATGAAAGTCTGGAGGTCCCAGCGGGGTTCGTGTAAAATAGTGGCTGAAAACAGTAAAATGCGGTTGACGGAAAAACCTCGCTGGGCTTTCGGCAGTTAAAGATGACAGCCTCCACGTGTTTGTTCATACGAACAATGACCACCCAACCGTTCGTCAATTAAGCTGCGGTTAACCGCAAACCACAGCTTCTGGGTGGCTAATAAGTGGCACACTCCCCGTGCAGGGTGGTCGGTCGTTCTGCATTTTGTTAGGTGGTTTGGAGGTGAAAAGGGTTAAAAAGGCAAACCGCAGCTACTGGGGTACTAATAGGCGGCACATTCCATATGCCGGGTGGTCGGTCATTCATTCATACGAAATATGGTGAATTTATTTTGTGGTTTATTTAGAGGAAAGGAACATACACATTGTAACAAGCGGCAGATTTGTAACATACACAAATACGCAGCCATACATTTCAGACACACATTACACATACATATGCACACAAGCTGAGAGATCATCATTCATGATTATGTGATTATCTATAATTTAACCAGTGCTTCTCAGAAGCATTAGGGACCTATAGCACATGGCTGGCAAATGCCACTCTGAGCCACCCAGATGCTTCATGAAAAACATTAAATCAAATGCTTCTCTATAGAAAACATTAAGTGTTCAGCCTCAACATACTGGATATGATGAAGCCAAATGTGCACTCATTTCTTGGAGAGTGTAAGGGCATTCTTTGGTTGACAACCTTACAGCCACTAGAGGCATGTACACTTACAAAATCAAATATTTCTGTTTCTAAGAAATGACAATTGTTTACATGTGTGCCATCATAGTTTTGGCCATGTAAAAACCCTGGAGTCTTATGTTTTAAATTAAATGTGGCAGTATAAGTACTATCACCACTATAGAACACTGTCCTAGTGTTGGTGCTAGGTTATCCCTGAAGATGCAAGAACAATTTAATATGGGCTTATCTGCATATATGTTACCATGGGACAGATTAGAGTTGAAGATTGGAGTCATATTTGCAACAAAACAGAGCTTGCCATTAAAGATTAATACACCATATTATAATACTCAGATCAGTGGTTCATTTTATCCAAGCCTAACGATTATTGAGTCTCCCCCTCACACATCAAGAAAATAGTTATGTGGAAATACATTTCTGCTTACTGACTGTCTTAATATTTGACTGTAGAAATATACTTAATCTAATTACCCTATTCTGTTTGTATGTAATTGCCAATTGACCTTTCTATCTGGTATCTAACTATACTAAATACCTATATAATATGTTCATTTTTTTTAATTCTTATTATTAACAAAGCAGTGCATGAGGGGTGTGATTACAGAAATAAATCAGAGTTTGGAATGCTCGGCAAACTGGAACATTGTCTTACATCCAAATTTATTAAACAAAATAAAATATTTGCTTACGGATAGTATTGTTTAAGACCATTTTCAATGTTACCCGAAAGTGAACTTTCAAGTTATTTCAAGGAGAGCATATTGTACACAAGTGTTTTAATGTGAGCTGTAACATGTACAGAACGAGTATGAGATGATGACGTGCCATTAATTGTTACTGTGATATGAGAAAGTTTTTTAAAACTGAAACATCAAAAGGGATCTGTCATCGTGTCTTTTTATATACACAAGCTGACTTTGAATAGAACCATTGTCTGTTTATCTATGACTTGTTAGAAACATTACGCATCAAACTAGATCTAGAATGACTATGCATATATTGATTTACGTGTGTGTATTTATTTTTAGTGTGGCTTACAATGAAGAATACTTTGCAATGTTTTTGTTAGGGAGAACATTTGTTTCACATAATTGATTTTTTTTTTTTTTTTTAAATTAATGGATACATTTAAAAAAAAAAAATGACAACCCATTTGCAGTTTTTATATTGTTTGTTTGTTGGATATTCAATGAATTTTGTTTTTCAGGCCCAAAAAGATGCTGATGTTAGGATAGAAACGTATCTTTCAGAGCACACTTTGACCATGAAGAGAGAACTGGATGAGAAATGTGCAGGTAAATAAAGAAATATGCTAGTAGTATTTTAATAAATCTTCTTGTTTACATTATGATAGAAAAGTGATTCTTATTTGGGAATAGGATCTGTATTAATTTACCTGATATTCACAAAATCTAATTATCGAAATACCAAATGGCTTCTTAGTTGTCTTGAGAAATTTGATCAACAGCTGCTGTGGTGATGGCTAACCATGATTGGCTTAGATAAATCATATGATACTAATAACATCTTGTCTATAAGGAAGGTCATGAGAGAATGGCCAGAGCTTACGACAAATACTTAAATAACAAGTATTTAAAATAGAGGTGTGAAAAAGAGCATCTCTCTTTATATGAATGGCGTGCACACAACATAAAGCTAATGGAAATCATCATCAAAACTGACAAATTGCCATTGAAACCACAATCCTTTGAAAGGGCATAGTTTGGAACAACAGTTGGACGCTAACATGTATAAGTTAGTTGACATCAATGTAAAATAGCATTTACTTGCAGGGGATTCCTGACAAATAAGCTTTCAACACCATGGATATTTTACACAACTAATTCCATCTGCCCCAGACATGTTAGTGATAGACCATATTAATAGTAAAAGCAAAGCATCCATCAGATATTTCTGCTGCAAGTTCATTTTTACCAAGGAAGTATAAGCTCATGACATCCAGATGAAGGAGCTACCACCTGCTACTCTCACTTGCAGATGTTCAGATATATCCCCAGTGATCATGGGCCTTAGATGCACATTCGCTACCTTCACCTCAGCACAACATGAAACTGCATCTTCTTTACTGATGCATCCCAAGAGTCTAATTGAGATGAGCATCAGCATCACTACTGCCATAAGCTGTAAGAAGGAATTAAAACCCTAAACATGTCAATGTGCCCTTACAAGTACCTTACCTGGCTCTGATCAAATAATTTACCTTTGTAACTTGAACTTTAAAGGTAGGATATGCTATGTGTATCCAGTTTTGTTTCAAGGATACTAATTGTCAACGTGGGCCCTTTACTCTGGCTAATATCTTCTATAGCAGATACCTGTTGGTCTGCTATATACACTAATATATACAAAGCCAAAAATATTTATCTATTGTTTTGTTATTGGTGTAAATAGCCTAATTTACAGGTAATGCATACTGCCAGATATGCCCTTACTGGTTGCATTTTGTATTTTATTCTTCTACCCACTTCCCAAAATAAATACCCCAGAGTCTCTTGGTGTATTTGTTTACTATTGTGGGAGACCTCAGAAAAGTTACTTATTTAGATTTAGCTATAAGAGGTAAACTTTTAATGGGAGAACGGTTATCCAGCTACCATAGTTAACGTCATATCTTGTAATAGAATCCATTTCTTAGTTTGCAAACACATATCTTTCATTCTAAGGGCTAGAGTCTATCATAAGAGATAAGCTTATCTCTGGTAACTAAGTAGATTCTTTCCCATAGATGTCAATAGGTGAACTGATAACTAGTTACCAGAGTTAAGTTTACCTCTTACAGTATAATCCAGCCCTGCAAAAAACCCTGAGGGCTCTGATCTGAATTTGCTCTTTGATGTCTTCTATATAATAGTTAATGGCTATTTCCCTAGTACAGAACACTGTAACATTTTAGCCAAAACTTTCTTTCTAAGGTGGACACTATGGACTCCACTTTAGATACAACTACATGGAAAACCATGCAGAGCTAAGGAAACCACAAAACATGGATTTAACGTTGTAATAACCTATATGATGATGGGTGAAGATTAAATTCCATAGCAAGAGACTGCTACTTTTTATATCACCATTTACAACATGTACTTTACAACAGATCTTTTTTTTTGGTCCCAGAGAAGGGCTAGATCAGTGACAAGGCAGTGTAGGTAACTGTCCAGGACCAGCCTCGCTAAAAGGAGCCCTGCTGAAAAGTAAAGCTACGGTCTGATTACGGGAAATTGATCATTTTAACACCACATATGTTGTTCCTGCAGTGTGAGCAGTGAGATCACTTCCCCTTTATTTCTATATCAGTAAATGGAACTTGGCTGTCTGGGGAAAGTTGGCAAAAATCATAAGCATCTTTACAGTACTCCTACAATAAGAGCCTTCTAGATGGATCCCACAGGTGGGAAGAGACATGGGCACTGTTAAAAAAACAAAGCCAACCGCTATGGGGTTCCTATCTCGCCCTCTTTCAGCCTGGACTGCCACTTGCGAGTCTCTGAGTCATGAGAAAAATGAGAGAAGGAAGGGGTAGAAGAAATAGGGTGTATGTGCATATGTACCTGTATCGTGTGTGTTTGCAAGTTTGCTCATTCATGGTTGTGTGTATGTATAAACCTTTCTCTGTATGGTGAGTGTGTGTGTGTGTTTTAGCTCATTTTGCTTGGATACTGATCACAGGTCCCAGGAGTGGCCATATTTGTTTACAGCATTTTTATTAGAGGTAAAGTGAATGAATTATATTTGATAGGTCTTGGGTGGATATTCATTCTGTTGAATCCATCCATTCTGGCTGTTCTGGAGGCAGTGTGGGTTCATCAAAGTTGTTTATTGGTGAACCTGATGAAGTGGTCACTCACAGGGTTATTCACTAAACTGTGAATTGTCAGGAATGTGTTTGAATAGATATAAAGTATTAATTTTCTATTAAAAAATGTTTTGGCACAAACATTTAATAAATTCAAAAGTGAGATGCCAACCTTATGGGATCTTCATCTAAGCTAAATGAAACCATTCCAAGTGTTGCGATATATATCTTATGTCTATGTTTCACATGTTGGTAACACTATAGCTACAGCAGAAACACAATACTATAAATGTCAAGTAGGAAACTGTATATCACAACTGAGTGTATTTGTTTGTGTTTAATTTTGTATTGTTTCCATCTTCTTAGAATTGCAGAAATCTCATGACCAGGAGAAGTCTCTGCTGAAAGAAACATATGAAGAAATAACCAGTGCTCTTCAGGTCTGTTCTTGTCTCATGTTTCTGCTGAAGTAAACAATTATCTGTTTTCTGGCATACTAATTCCCATAGAAGAAATGGAATTCTTTTTTAGTACATTATGTGTGTCTTGTGTATGTGTTCAACCCACACGTTTTATCTGATAAAGTAGAATTTTGCATAAATATACAGATGACAAGGAAAAAGAAGTCAGGATCAGGGTGGAAGAGAACGTTAGCTTAAAGGAGTAGTTCTTGTGAAAAGAGCCTGTCCCTGCAGTCACAACAATGCAAATACTGTTTTTTCTGAGAAAAAAGTAGTGTTTACATTAGTTCATTGTATGGAGGTATGTAAGTAATAGAGAAAAGTGATGTTGGTTAGAAAGTAATAGTAAAATTCTAAGTGTCAAGGAGTGTTTCTTGAGTTGTGTCCAAGAGAGTTTGAGAGTTAGTCCCAGAGTGTCCTGAATATCTGTCCTGGATCTCTCTGAATGTCCAAATCTGAATGCCCACACTAACCTTCTCTCTTCCCTTTGTCCTAACTTTTAAAGGGCCAGACTCTCTCTACGTCATTAGTTGATAAGGCGAATAGGAAACTGTAGGTGTGGTAAACCTGCAGATCGCAATTTAGATATTTGATCCATAGAGGGCAATCTCGCCTCACTAAACCTTCCTATCCAGGAAAGAGTTAACTTTTCCTGATGATTTTGACTACATTTGGCTTATCTAAAATGACTACCATAACTTACATTTGCTGTCAGTTCAAAGCGTTTGCCTCAGTCTTTGTGGCAACGACTTTGATCGCAATTTCTAAAATTGACAGTTCTAAACTCAATTTCACCCCTTGCGTACAATGGGACCTTGTAAGATTTAGAAAGTAAAATTAATTACTTAGTCTTCTCTGTCACTAGTGTCTGTGTTTAAAATTATTTCTATTCCATTAACATTTAAACAGAGCATTCCATCCCCCTGCTTCATTGCTTATAATTTGGCTAGTTACAGAAAGGAAAGAAATTTTGTGTCTGTCTTGCCTGAAATCCAAAATGGAGTCCGCTCTGTTCTGAGTGACTCTGGCAATACACACTTTTAATTTCTATCTTAGCACAAACTGTCTGCCGATATAAATATCCTGACAGGACGTACCTACTAAGTCCGAGGTATTCCTAATTACTTACCCGATCGGTGTTCCTCTCCGTCTGGTTAGACTGTTTGACAGCCCAGGCAATCCCCCCTCAGCAAATTGGGACCCCATGGGCCATGAGATCACTCTGAAAGAGCGGTCACATGGCTGCAATAGGCAGTCTCCCTGCTGGTGAAAAAAGTTAAAAATAAGTTTAAAAAAAAATAAAGTGAATAAATATAAAAAAAATATATATATCTTATATACACCCTGTTCCAAATTATTATGCAAATTCTATTTAAGTGTCACAGAGATTAAATATTTACTTTTTCCAGTTTAACTCATGGATGGCATTGTATCTCAGGGCTCTTTTGATCACTGAAAACAATCTCGGACACCTGTGATAATTAGATTGCCAGGTGAGTCCAATTTAAGGAAAAACTACTAAAGGAGGGTGTTCCACATTATTCACCATTATGCACCATTTTCATGCAATATGGAGAAGAAAAAGGATCTATCTGCTGCCGAAAAGAGTGCATTAGTTAAATGCCTTGGACGAGGTATGAAAACATTAGCTATTTCACAAAAACTTAAGCGTGATCATCTCACTATTAAGAGATTTGTGGCTTATTCAGAGCACAGATGGGTTCGTGCAGATAAAGGCACATTGAGGAAGATTTCTGCCAGATCCATGCATCGGATCAAGAGAGCAGCTGCTAAAATACCATTACATAGCAACAAACAGATATTTAAAGCTACTGGTGCCTCTGGAGTCCCACGGACATCAAGGTGTAGAGTCCTCCAGAGTCTTGCAACTGTAAATAAACCTTCTATTCGGCCACCACTAACCAATGCTGACAAGCAGAAACTGCTGCATTGGGCAGAAAAATACATGAAGACTAATTTTCAAACAGTCCTGTTCACTGATGAGTGCCGTGCAACCCTGGATGGTCCAGATGGATGGAGTAGTGGACGGCCACCCTGTTCCAACAAGGCTGCAACGTCAGAAAGGCGGTGGTGGAGTCTTATTTTGGGCCAGAATCATGGGAAGAGAGCTGGTCGGCCACTTTAGGTTCCCTGAAGGTGTAAAGATGACTTCTGCAAAGCATGTGGAGTTTCTGACTGACAACTTTCTTCCCTGGTACAGAAGGAAGAACTATGCTTTCCGTAATAAAATAATCTTCATGCATGACACATTCTACATGCATATTTATGTAATATTATTACATAATTGAGTAATTTTATTGATTGCAATTTGAGGGTCCTGCCTGACAATCCAGGCAAAAAGTCCAGAGAATTTAATTTGCTAGCACTATATTTAACGCTGTAACTTTCCAAGACACCATACAACCTGTACATGGGGGTGCTGTTTTACTTGGTAGACTTTGCTGGACACAACTGTTAGTGTTTCGAAACAGTTAACCATATCACAGTGATGATATTGTCAGTGAAAGTGACATTTTTTGACTCTTTCACTGATGATATTGTTGTGATACGTTTTACTATTTTGAACACTAATATTTGTGTTCAGCAAAGTCCCTAGAATATAACAGTACCCCCCCCCGCCATGTACATGTTTTATAGAGTTTTTGAAAGTTACAGGGTTAAATATAAGTCTTGATTTTCCATTTTTTCACATTGAAATTTGCCAGATTGGTTATGTTGCCTTTGAGAGCTTATGGTAGCCTAGGAATGAGCATTACCCCCATGATGGCATACCACTTACAAAAAAAAAACAACCAAAGGTATTGCAAATGGGGTATGTTAAGTCTTTTTTAGTAGCCACTTAGTCACATACTCTGGCCAAAGATAGCGTTCATAATTATAATATATATTTATAATAAAATATAATTGCTAACTTTGGCCAGTGTTTGTGACTAAGTGGCTACTAAAACAGACTGGACATACCCCATATTGAATACCCTGGGTTGCCTACTCTAAAAAAAAAAAAAATGTACATGTGAGGTGTGATTCAGAGATTTATGACAGATAAGTGTTACAATGTCACTATTGATACATTTTAAAAATATATATTTTGAAACAGTAATTTCCTACTAGTACTTATAGCCCTACAACTTGCAAAAAAATTGTTTTTTTTTTCTTCATATTTTATAAAAAAAAAAGTATAGTAAATGATTTGATATGATGAAAATAATGGTATCTTTAGAAAGACCATTTAATGGCGAGAAAAACTGTATATAATATGTGTGGGTACAGTAAATGAGTAAGAGGAAAATAACCGCTAAACACAAACACCGCAGAAATGTAAAAACAGCCCTGGTCTTTAACGGTAAGAAAATTGAAAAACGGTCTGGTCACTAAGGGATGAAAGCAATGAATGAAGACACACAAATGGGGGATTTTATGGAGGCACAACTCAAGATAAGTGTAGTAGGAATGGGGGAAGGTGAGAAGAGAAATGAATGGGGGAGACATACAGGATTGCAGCGGTGGGAGATGGATGCAGGAGGTTGGAGAATAAGGAGACCAGGGGGTTAAAAGATAAAGCACTTAGAGACTAACAAACCTGTAACACACAAATGCACACCTACACATATACTATTGCATCCACACACACAGATTATCCATACAGATATACTCTTGTATCCGCCACACGGCACATTAATATATCTCTACATCCAAACTCTCACAGATGGGCCTTTCAAAATATAAGACATTGGACTTAATTTGGAACATCACAGCACCGATCATGGGATGGATTACACAATGACTGAAATATGCTAGCATTGGATACCATATAATAAATTTGGTGCGTTATAATTTAGGATGAGAAATAAAACGGAGGTTACAAGACAGAGAGATTTTGTCTGACATTTAACATGTCAAACTGGGAAGAGCAAACTTGTTAGGCTGAAGAGGGTGCCTAAGATAATAGGAGAGAGAATTTATAGGAGAGATAATTTATCAACTGTTTTAAAAAGTGTATTTGTGTTTTGAACTCTGATCTGTTTATATTTATTGACTTTATTAAAAACTGTCTAAAATGTGTTGGATAGAAGGATTAATAAATCCATTGTGTTTATGAAAAAATGCCATACATTTGAAAATGACTGCAAGGGTTCAAAAAAGGCTACAGTTGGGCGTGGACTGCAGCGGAGCTTAATGGATTCACATTGACATTGCTCCCAGTGATCCTCTTTCTAAATTACCGCACCATGGGCAACCCTAAGAAACACCAGGGGTCTCAAGGACAAGGAGGGAAAACTCCTATGACCAAAACAGGCTCCCTAAACAAATACTTTAGGGAAAATCCAGACCGAGAAACGGAGTCTGAACCCGTGGCCTACAAAATGGCCGACACTGAGGTGACTCACACCTTGCGGCCTGACAGCCCAGCTACATTGGACTGCTCACATAATGCCTTAGACACCAATATGGACCCAGACATCAAAGCAATCCTGAAGAACTTACCTTCGAAACATCATCTCCAGACGATGATGAGTAAACTGGAGGCTACATTCCTTTCCAAGATGGAAGCGATGGGCTCCAACGTCCAACAGCTCAACCTCCGAATGACGGACCTGGAGGAAGAGAGAGAAGTCATGCAGGCACAACTCACCAACCTAACCTCAGTGTTGGACTCCCATCTACTTCAATATGCGGCTACACAACGACATATCGATGACCTGGACAACCGCAGCCTTGGAATTAATCTACGAATAAGAGGTATGCCAGAATCCCAGGGAGAAAACCTCTCATTACTCGCGGAGCTATTTAACTTAATCCTGGGTACCCCTAATGACATACAAATCAGGTTTGATCGAGCACACCGCTCCTTAAGACCCAGAAACCCGACCCTGGAGGCCCCGAGGGATGTCCACCACTTCCCCATTAAAGAAAGCATACTCAAAGCGCTCAGAGATACTACCCAAGCCCTCCTGTTTCACAACAATCCTATCTAAATCTATCCAGACCTGTCCTGGTACACTCTCCAGGCACGCAGAGCCCTCAAGCCGATTACCGACCTCCTGAGACAGAGGAACATCAGATACCGGTGGGGCTACCCATTCATCCTAATTGAATCTAACAAAGGCAACAATCTAATAATCTCCACTCCACTAGATATCCCGCCTTTCCTACAGGCCCTAGACCTCCCAGACACGCAAGTTATGGATTAGAACATACCTCCTTCAAACCACGAAACAAAGTTGGAAGGCTAAAAAATGGAGATAAGCATCGATCTGAAGGTCTCATAGTACAGGTCGTATAACAAATAATGACATATCACCTTGTATTAACTCCGATCGAACTATGATGTATCAGTTTCAATTAGCACTGCATGAATGAGAATAAACCGATTTCAATTGGCACTGTGAAAACGATGATATGCCTTTCTAGTTGGCGAAGCATGAATGTTGTTATGCCACTCTCAGGTAGCAATGCATGAACAATGATATGCCACTTCAGCTACCACTGCATGTAAAACGATATGCCTTTTTCCAGTTGGCACTGTAGGAATAATGCATGACTACTTTCAATCAGCACCGCACAATTAATAATATGCCACTTTCACTTAGCGCTGCATGCATGAGGTTATACCACTCTCAAATATCACCACATAAATAATGACATGCCTTCTTTAGAGGACACTCCATAAATAGTGGCAAACCAATCTCTGTTATCACTGCTTAAGCACTGACACACCAACTTAAATTCGCAACCCATAACTGACTGCTATGTGAGGATAATTCACTGGGACCAGAAAATTACACGGCGACTCTCCATGCCCAATGCATTTGCCCATAGCCAGACATCTTGATAAATCAACTAATACTGCCTAACTTAAGGATATACCGCCCACAACAGAACCGTCCGCCCCCCAATTTGTCCAAGACCCCTCACTTTCCCACACTACCCCACACTACCTGATAAATGGACAGATCACCCATGGCAGAAGCACTGAACCCATACCCTTCATCATTACCAGTCCACGAACTGCACAGTAGCCAACGGTGGAAACCATACTCAAAAGATGTCACTTTGCAATCTGGCTACACCACATAATTACCCTTCACAACTACCTTAGTCCTCCTAGTGAATATCCCCATACGTCCCGGAGCGTTGAACATCCCCTCTCACCACTCTCTCTCCCTTCACGTCTCTTTTCTCTCCCACCCCTCACCTAAAATCTCCTAACTTCAAAAAGAGATTGACCTTACCACATCGGAGGAGTAGAACCGTACGTATATAAAAGAACAAACAAAAAAAAACTGAACCTGGTATCTGAGCGACAACTCCTTTTATTACTGTACACATTACAACTATTCTTCTATTGTTAGGTTCGATATTGTACTGTAACCCCTACGTTTCCACTGGTTGACTACGAGTACACAAACTACCGTTTAGGTATCAAGAAAACCACTCGCGATAAGCGAGCCCTAAACCTCATAGCCAAATAGAGACAGCGCTAGAAAATAGACAACTGAAACCAGCTCGAAGCTTAAAAACAGTCACTAAAATCACTACTTAATTCATACCGAAAGACACAATCCCTTAGTGGAGCATAAGGTCACTACCCCTTAGCTATACCTCTATAATTAACCCAACCAAGTCACACACACACCCTAGATACACATCCCAAGCCTAACTGTCAGAGAGCCTCCAGGAAATCCAACCCTCCTACCATAACCCAAAAAAAAAAAATATGACTTCAATAACCATACTCACCCAAAATGCCAGAGGCTTAAATACACCAGAAAAATGCTTGATAGCTTTAACAGATTTCCATAGAAACAGGGCAGATATAGTATTTATCCAAGGAACCCATTTTCGTAATGATGTAGCGCCCAGATTACAAAACAAGAATTACCCTAAAAGCTACTTCGGAAACTACTCCAACTCTAAATCAAGAGGAGTGGCGATACTAATTGGCAATAAAAACGACTTTACATACCAAGACCAACACACGGCAGATTTATCTTTGTAAAGGGTAAATTGGGAAACACCCAAGTCACACTGGCCAATATATACCTCCCCAACAAAAAGCAGAATGCAGCACTACAGCAAATATTGTCTAATCTCTCCAACTTCCACAAGGGTATGCTGGTGCTCGGAGGAGACATCAGTGTATCTCTAGACGGAAAACTAGACTCAACCTCCAAGCCACATCCAAACTCAGAATTAATTAGAAAACAGATGAACAACACCCTGCATAAAGCTCAATTATATGACTGCTGGAGGGCCATACACCCAACCCGAAAAGACTATTCATTCTTCTCATCCAATGCGGGAACTTACTTCCGAATCTCCACCATCTTTCTGCAACACAGACATCTGCCTATGGCCACATCAGCGTCATATGGCCCAATATCATGGTCAGACCACGCACCCATGTCCTTACAAATCACAATCCCCACCATACCAAATCCATCCTCACAATGGCGACTTAACGACCTACTCCTCAATAATACAGAAACCATAGATAAACTCAGAGACTCAGCCAACACCTATTTCACCCTAAACGCACAACCAGATACCCCACCAGCTCTGGTATGGGAAGCAGATAGCAGTCCTGAGAGGGGAGCTTCTCCACATCGCTTCTTCACAAAAACGCAAAAGAGAACAACAAATCAAACAACTAACTCAAGAACTAAAAACCCTGGAATGCAAACAACACCTAAATAAAGAATCAATGGACACATATAGATCGATACTAACTAAAAGAACAGAATTAACAACGATACTCCAACTCCAAGCAAGATGTCAATTGACACTTACAAAACATTACTACTTTACAAAAGGGGGAAAAGCAGGAAAACTTCTCGCTCAATCCCTCCAACAAAACAAATAATCCACATTTATAGCCGAAATTAAACGAGAAGACAGGACTGTCACGAACCGAATGCCAGATATTATAAAGCGTTCCACGAATTCTATACAGACCTATATAACCTCACACAAATCCAACCATCCGTGGAAGATATCCTGAACTTTCTCAGACCAAGGATTAAAAACACACTCCCGCCCAACGAATCACGATTCCTAGATGAACCAATCACACCCGAAGAATTTGAAAAAACAGTGAAATCTCTCCCCAATGGCAAAAGCCCAGGCCCTGATGGCTTCACGGGCAAATACTACAAAACTCTCTCACGAACACTAGCACGACCATTCACCGAAGCATTCAATGCACAAAAACTCACCTCCTCACTACCCCAATCTGCACTAGAAGCAACTATTGCCCTCATACCTAAGCCTGGCAAGGACCCCTCAACGTGTGTCAGCTATAGGCCAATCTCACTTATCAATATTGACCTAAAGATCTTAACCAAAATCATGGCAAACAGACTAAAACCATTCCTCCCGAATTTAATCCACCAAGACCAAGCAGGCTTTGTGCCTGGACGGGAAGCTAAACTCGACACAACAAAAATAATAAATGCGGTTCACTGGGCTCAGACACATAAAACACACAGCGCCCTACTCGCGATTGATGCCGAAAAAGCATTTGACATTGTGAGCTGGGCCCTTCTCACCAACATGATTAGTTTTCTGGGATTTGGGTCGAGATGGCAGGAATGGTTGGCGGCTATCTACTCACAACCCGCAGCCAGACTTCGCATTTCCCAGCCAGTCGTCATAACCAATGGCACTAGACAGGGCTGTCCCCTCTCACCCCTCCAGTTTATCCTAATCCTGGAGCCCTTCCTACAAGGGATCAGAGATAACACGCATATTCACGGCCTATCAATCGTAGGAGAACAATATAAGGTCTACGCCATTGCAGATGACCTTCTCTTTACCATCTCCAACCCCCTCTCCAGCTTACCCAACATTCTCAAAGAAATGGAAATCTACTGCAAGGTATCCAATTTCCGAGCAAACCTCACCGAACTACTGCCTATGCACACTACAAAATTCCTAGATACAAAAATGCGTGAGAATTTTCATTCCTCTTGGGAACCTAAATCAATAAAATACCTAGGTGTCCAAATTCCGAATAAACTATGCCACCTATACGAACAAAACTTCCCTCCACTCCTAACGAAAATAACCAAAGATCTTCAATCTTGGCATAAACCCTGCTTCGGGTAGCTCTGCAGATCCAACATCATCAAGATGAACATTCTCCCACGACTACTATACCTCCTACAAACGCTCCCGATAATAATCCCTAACAAATTTTTCAATGCTGTCAAATCCATTATCACGAAATTCGTCTGGTCTCACAAACAACCCAGGATGGCCTATAAAACCTTAATAAAGAACAGAGAAACAGGTGGAATAAACCTACCGGACATTGTCACATATTACCAAGCAGTCCACCTTACCAGAATACATGACTGGTCATACTCAGTGAACACTCCTCATTGGGTGAAAATGGAAAACGCAAACTCCAGGGTCCCTATTGGGATGTGCCCATGGCTGGGTACAGACCAAAACCAACACCCACAGCACTACAGCAATCACCCAACAATTACAGCCACCTTACAAGTCTGGTATAAACTACTACGAACAACAGAGATATCCCCTACTCAGGGACCTACAAGACCCAAAACTTACCACACAGTGGGAAGATGAATTTAACCTGAATCTCTCACCACAAGAATGGAAAACCATATTCAAACTCGCCCACAAATCCTCATCCTCCAATCAAGCCCAAGAAAGCAACTACAAACAAATCACCAGATGACACTACACTCCAGCGACAATCCAAAAACTATACCATACACCTTCAGACACATGCTGGAGGTGTCAGGAAATTAATGCCCATCACTCTCACATTTGGTGGCAGTGCCCACTAATATCAAGGTATTGGACCAGGATACACAAACTTAACCAAATAATCTTTAAGAGCGGATTCACCATGGACCCTAAACAATACATATTCCTACTTCCCTTGAAACACCACCGAAGGGAACAATCCACCCTTCTCAACTTTCTAGTTATGGCTGCTGCACAACTTATCCCCAAATACTGGAAACAAACCCCCACCCCAACTTTTAAGGAATGGTTTGCGAGAGTCGAAGAAATTAAACATATGGAGGAACTAACACACGCTAAAACAAAAAACTACCAAACATTCTCCAAAATATGGTCTCCTTGGACTGAATTCCTGACAAAGGAAAGAGAAAATGCACTCCTGACTGGCGAAACCAACCTCGCAACGAAGCATTGGGGAAGCCTGGTTGCTCGCATGTTGCCCTTGGACTATGGCCCCATGTTAAAAAGCCTTCTTTTCCCCTGCAGAAAAGGCTTGTTCGTGCCTTTCTGCCCAGCGTTCGGTAGGTTCAATCTACCGAACAAACAACTGAATGACTGGACCACCTGTATTGGGAGTGTGTCGGCAATTTAAGTGTGTCGGCAGCTTAATTGACGAATGCTGGGTGGCCTTTGTTCGGTTGCTGAACACGTGGCGGTGGCCATTTTAAAGTCAGTGGTGTTCAGCGCCCAAACTATGGAACTGGAAACGGACACTTATTTGTGCGAACACAGCTGAGCCGTCAGCCTCCTTGCTTCTGCATTCGGTCATTTAACCGGATTCCTGTTCATTTGGTAGTTTAACCGTATGAACAGCATTACCCCAGATAGCCATGCCATGGAGCCTATTCGTGTAACGAAAGACTATGTGAAAGACTTTGGCTCCATGGTGATTGAACTGTATGTATGTGATCTGAGCGCCATCCGGTAATAATGTGCGTTTAGATCTAAGCTATCTGGGGATAGGTAGAATGTATATGTTTTGTGCAACAGTTGTAACTTTATACATTTTTATGTCTTTTACTGTCTTTTTACTGCCATGTGGTTAATGGAGTTTTGCCTCTGTCCTGGGAGATAATTGGATTACTTCCCAATTATCTCCAGGACAGAGGGAGGGGAATTAGGATGCATTGTGGGGATGTTTTACCTCTGTGTGTCTGTCATTGGTTCATGTCTGTCCTTTGTCACAGTCTCTCATTTGGTCCCCTAGGGGAGTGTCCACCAGCTGGGAGATCTGCATAAATACTGGGCAGGTAGCCCTCAATAAACCAGACCACTGCTTGACCCACAACACAGAGCTCTGTCTCGTTTTAATGGTGGGGGATTTACTGTATGCGGATAGACTGATTGCCAGGAGTGTAAGCTGCATGGGTGCTTTTCCTGTTCGTCTTCTAGCAGCTATTTGTGAGGTTCCAGTTCGGGAGTTTGGAGTGCTACTGTATGCAGTTCGGGAATTTGGAGAATTCCCTTGTATGCAGTTCGGGAGTTTGGTGTTCTGCAGTAGCTGTGCCTGTGTCTCTGGAAGGGAAGATCTACTAAACGGCAGTTTAACCCTTTTATGCCTGGGGGTGCCGTTACACTGACCATCCCTCAAAACCTAAATATCCTACATAATCGAGAGCCCACCCACACACACCTGAACAAAGCAACTACAAATATGACCCCATCCCCCACACCGATTCACCCAAACTAGGGTTCAAACATACCCACTTGGCTAAAGAGGTAACTATCTAAATACTGCTCACGCACACCTAGATTCCTTTAATGCTTCCTTTATCTAGTCTTAACGAACGGTTTACAATACGCTGTAACAATCTCTTGTGTCAACGACAAGGCTCAGGGTAGAGACGTGACCCAACTATCCAATACTCCAGTACCACCGCCTAACCGAATCAATGTTAAGTACCAATACAGATAACATGTACTTTACTTTATTTCTATGCATTATTATTTTAATCCCAAACTTGTCACTTTTGTCAACAAATGTAACAATTGTTTATTGTTGATTTATGTATCAAAAAATAAAAAACTTTGAAATAAAAATAAAAAAAGGCTACAGTTGAGGAAAACTCTACTGAATTAATAAATTGTGCCAAAAAAGGTGCAAAACTGTCTGTAACACATTTTCATACATCTCCCCCATATAGTATGTTTTAAGTATGTATGTATGTGACCAATTCAGTGTGTTATCAGTCTTTACTACCCCTCAAAGAATTAGGGGCTTATTTACTAGACTAGAGAGTGAATGTGAATTTATGGTAAATTGAAATTAAAAAAAAATATTTTAGTTTAGACTAGTGCCATTGAAGGGTTTTTGCAATGTGTTTGTGCCAATTTGCCATAAACCTCTATTTAACACTTCTGATTTATTTTTATAAAGATTAGTATATGAAAACAGTCAGTGCCTTTTAAAAAAAAAAAATGTATTATATGTATTCTATAGGTGCAATCCTGGACGATACATATGAAGATATTACCTCTTCTCTGAACTGTTGTTAATATTGTGTATTTTCTCTCCTTTCCAGTGTAGGTGGGAGGTGGGGGTTGGTTAGGGGGCCTAAGGAAGAATTCACCACTAGTGCCAAATACTCTAGGTACGCTTTGCAATCAACCAAGCTATGTCTCTTTCTATAAATATATATAGGTGGGGGTTGGTTAGGGGGCCTAAGGAAGAATTCACCACTAGTGCCAAATACTCTAGGTACGCTTTGCAATCAACCAAGCTATGAAATAGACCATAAGAAATAGACCATAAATAAAGCAGCTGAACTAACTGTAAACCTTCTCGGATTCATCCTGTAGGAAACAGTGGAGGGGTTAAATTCTCAGCTGGCCTCCTTCCAAGAAAAAATGAAACAAGTGGAGGAATTGGTCTTCAATCAAGGTTACAAGAAACACATTGAGGTACAGACTCACTCATCCTCCTATCTTTTCCGCACTCCATAGTCTATGTTTAAATTCCAGTCAAAGAAGACAGACCATTCGTATTTATTTATTTTTCCATTTTTATAAATGTCATATACTCCTTTAACTATATGTGATAAATACACAAAAAACACCTTGGCTGGTGTATTTGTCTTGTGCCTTTTAGACACATATTTCTAATGTGCACCCTGCTGACAAGTGAGTTTAATGAATTTATTAGCACAATGTTTCTGGCATTCAAAAATAAAATTCTTAGATATGTATATTCAAATTTGTCGATTGCATTTGTATATATGTACATGCTTGCGTATTTCTGCTTGTAATGTATTATTTGGATCTGTGAATTTATGTAGCTGTGTAAATGCATGCAGGGTTAAGGATAATAACCTCATTGTAATATTTTTGTAAAATCTGTTCAAATGATTTTAATATGATTTTAAATATTAAAATGATTTATTTTATTTATTTATATATATATATATATATATATATATATATATAATTTATATTATATTCATAATAAATAATTAAAAAAAAAAAAACTTATCCAAAAACATTTAAATTGAGACCGATGTTAGAAGTGGTTATGGCAAAGGGTTTAAAGTGAGTCTGTAGCCACTTACCTTGGCCTCTGCTCCCCTGCCATGATGACATTAGTGAGGTCCAACACCCAATACAAGAATCTCCACTTAAAGGGACACTGTAGGCACCCAGACCGCTTCAGCTCATTGAAGTGGTCTGGGTGCAGTATCCCTTTTGCACCTACATGATCATTGTTCATAACAAAAGTTGTAAGACTGTACAATATGCATTAAGAAAATAGGTACTGCTGTCTACAAAACAGCCACTACAGGGCTTCCTGGATCGAAACGGACCTTTGGTCCGGTATCTGAGGCTGGACGTCTTTATGCTCTGCATTTTTTCCCCATATGAAAGCATTGGTTCAGTGGTTTCCTATGAGGAGGTCTAACGCGCGCAGGAAATTTGCGGGACGAAGGAGAGGGCAGAGCGGCGACTCAGCGCTGGGGGACATCTGTAACCTTTTATTCATCTGGGTGGGGGACGCGAGGGAGGGGGCTGTCAAGGGGCGCGTTGGTGCAAGGAATACAGTTTTGTATTCCTGGCACTATAGTACCCCTTTAAAGAGCATTAATAGGGACCCCTAATACCAATATAGACTTTATTGAAACATCAAAGTAAAATAGTGTAAAGTGCAACATTGTGTATACTTTTCAATAGGCAGGTCAACATACCATAAATGCCTAGTATAAATTTAACTATTGCTAGTCACAGTCCCTACATCCCAAAGTTATTCTCAGCACAAAAAATTTATTGATTATTTCCGATTAGAAATATGTGAAAATCGCTGGTGGAAACTGAATAGGTGAGGCTAATACTATTGTTTTCAGGGTATCCTCTGCCTTGATTAAGTGAACTTGAAATTAGATTTCTAAAGGCATTTTAAATGTATGAATATACATTAGTATCAGCCTTAACTATAAGGTTATTATGGTGATTTCTAGTTGGAAGTAATCAATATGATCATTGGGCAATATAATACTTCTTACACCAAAACATCAGATGTTGCCCAAATATGCACACACTGATTTATATCCAAAATCAACCTTTTTTTTTTTTTCTTCAGTAAATCAGATATTCTCAGGTATAGAAATGTTCAAATATGGTGACACCTGAAGTGGATAGAATACAATTAATGGGAAAACCAAGACAGCAACCGAATATTATTATTATTATTATTGGTATTTATGTAGCGCCAACTAATTCCGCAGCACTTTACAATATTATGAAAGGGGTGGTGATTTACAATAAATGAGACAATTACACATGAACAACAGGTAGATAAGGGCCCTGCTCAAACCAGTTTACAGTCTAGAGGAGGTGGGGTACAAATAAACAACAGGGCAGCAAGGGTGACAGCCACCAAACAAGGTGGAAAAGTAGCAGAGCTGGAGGTAAGAGTGGAGTATGGCTCTTTAGGAGAGCAGGAGACAGATTTGGATAGGTAAAGATAAGTTACTCTGGGTGTCCATAAGCATTTCTGAACAGATGTGTTTTGAGGGACTTCTTAAATAATTGAAGACTAGGGGAAAGTCTGGTGGGGGTAGGCAGGCTCTTCCAAAAGAAGGGTGCCGCCTGTGCTATGTCGCGCAAGTTAGCAGGAAAGGTGCGAGCAGAGGACAGGAGAAGGTCACCAGCAGAGCGGAGAGACCGAGAAGGGGCAAGTCTATGAATTAGGGAAGAAATGTAAGAGAGGCTAGGAGCAGTGTAAGGATCGACAAAGGGGCAAGATATGGGAGGAGCGACTGGTGAGAAAGATCAGCCTGGTGGCAGCATTCATTACCAATTGTCAGTTCGGCTTTTGGGGAGACCAACTAGGAGAGCGTTACAGTAGTCCATGCTAGAGATTACCAGAGCATGAACAAGCTCTTTGGCAGCATCTTGCATGAGAAAGGGGCGGATGCGGGCAATATTTTTAAGGTGGAATAAACCGGTTTTAGCAACATACTGGATATGTGGCGCAAAGGCCAGGATCAAAGATAACACCAAGACAATAAGCTTGCAAGGACGGACTGATGGAAGTACCATCGATTTGCAGGGAGAGCAAAGGAGGAGGATGAGCATTATGAGGGGAAAAAATAAGAAGCTCGGTTTTAGAGAGATTGAGTTTCAGAAAGGGGGAGGACATCCGATCAGAGATTGAAGAAAGGCAAGCAATGACATATTGCAGGAGCGTGGGGAAAAGATCGGGGGAGGAGATATATATGTATGTGTCGTCGGCATACAGATGGTAGCGGAATCCAAAGGAGTTAATGAGTTTACCAAGAGAGACAGTATAAAAAAAGAACAGAAGGGGACAAGAACAGATCTTTGGGGGGACTCCAACTGAGACGGGGTGAGAGGAAGAAGTGTCTTTGCAAAAAGAGACACTGAATTAACGTTGGCAGACATAGGAGGAGAACCACGAGATGACAGTGACACAGAGACCGAGGGATTGAAGAGTTTGGAGAAGGACATGATCAACAGTGTCAAAGGCAGCAGAGAGGTCAAGAAGAATTAGTATGGAGTATTGGCCTTTGGATTTAGCTGTGATTAGGTCATTTGTAACTTTAATAAGAGCAGTCTCAGTAGAGTGGAGGGGGCGAAAGCCAGATTGAAGAGTATCGAGGAGGAAGTTGGAATTTAGGAAGTAAGTCATACGAGTAAAGACAAGTCTTTCTAAAAGTTTTGAAGAAAAAGGAAGCAGGGATATGGGATGATAGTTGGAAGGGGAAGACGGGTCTGTGGATGGCTTTTTTAGGATGGGCACAACAGTAGCATTCTTAAGGGGAGCAGGGACAACACCAGATGAAAGAGAGCAGTTTAGGATGTGTGTTAAGGACGGTACAAGACAAGGGGGGAATACAGCCGAAAGAAAAGCCATTAAAGAACTAATTGATAACAAAGAGACAAAGGGAACATTGGCATTATGTCCTCACTACACTAGGAAGAATCGGCTTCTAGGGGATAAAACTACTTATGAAATCCTAAACTAAGATCCACTTGGAATTATGCAAACCTCCTTAACATCTCTCATCACCACAGCCAAAGAAGAGGAAATTATCACAGAATTAAAATTCTTGTACATCACACATCCCACAACACCAGTGTTTGATTTTTTTTTTTTTGCAGTATTTTGATTTCTTCCTCCAGCCTTATGTCTCCCAGGTAGAATCACATCTGAAGGATACCAAGAGTACTATTAAGAATTTATTGGACATTACGTGGCAGAAATATAACCTTTTGGTGATGGACATCGCATCACTATACATGATCATTGACCATAATTAAGGGTGTAAGGCTGTACAATATGCATTAAGGAATGAGCACTGCTGGAAAAAGAGCAAATCTGTTTTATTATTAAAACTATAATATTCATTCTTACCCACAATTACTTCTGGCACAGTGGCTCTTTTTACCTTCGGAAGAGAGGCTTAATTTGTCCTGAGTTTTTTTTAATTTGTTCATGGGTAGTGATGTCCCGAACGGTTCGCCGCGAACGGTTCGCCGTGGACTCATCATTGAGTAAACTTCGACCCTGTACCTCACAGTCAGCAGACACATTCCAGCCAATCAGCAGCAGACCCTCCCTCCCAGATCCTCCCACCTCCTGGACAGCTCACTAAGAATGCAGCTTCACAATGAATGTAAAATGGATGCTGTCCAGGAGGAGGGAGGGTCTGCTGCTGATTGGCTGGAATGTGTCTGCTGACTGTGAGGTACAGGGTCAAAATTTACTCAATGATGAGTCTGTGGCGAACCGTTCGCGAACCGTTCGAGACAGTATTGGGAAGACCTGTTTGTATGGAATGACCGCAGATGGACCAGGAATATCATTATGTATAAAAAATACATAGATTATATATTGTTGACTTGGCAAGGAGGAGAATCATTCCTTGAGGAGTTCTAGGACATCTGAATTCAAATAACTAGGGAAAACACCTGAACACCACCTATAACAATGCAGCATTTAATTTCTTTGGTCTTGAAATATACCTGGAAGATGGAACGATCAAAACGAAAACCAATTTTAAAAAGTAAATGTTAAAATAATTTTATTTTAAAAGGGAACCACCACTACTTAACTTAACTGAGAAAAATGCCTTATAATGAATTAAGGAGCCTAAGGAAAAATTGCACAGAAGTGGAACAATACAGAATACAGATAGACACCATCAAACAAAGATTCATAGAAAAGGGCTAAGATGAAAAAGAACTGGACAAACAGATTGCACGGATAGAGGCAATTGATAAATCCACTTTACTGGAGAATAAAATTAAATAAAGGTCTGAGTTGTAACACACAAGATTAAAATATCTATCATATTGGATTTCAACTGTGAGAATGTAAAATTGAAGATCATAAAGCATGGGAACCTGTGGAATAAAGACTAACTCTAATAGGATATTCTACTGGAAAAGCCAAGCATTGTGTTAGGGGAACATGGAGCATCAAGAGCCACATTACAAAAAAAAAAACACGGGTCCAACCAATACTAAAATATGGATGGCTTCTATAAATGCAAAGAATGTGCAGCTTGTTGAGAAAGTATTAAAACTGAAAGGAAAATCAAGGAATTTAGAAGTTCCAAGGACAACAAATTATACAAGATAAAAAGATGTGCAAATGTCTAAGATCACCTATGTTATTTATTTGTTGGAATTCCCTTGGGGACTCTAGTATATAGGCAGAAAAACAACAAAGTTATCTTTTTTGGGCACCCCTTCCTTAGAGGACAGGTGCCTTCTCTGCCTAAATGCAAATCTGACCCTAAATGCGCCAATACCATTTAAAAAAAAAAACATTAATTTGATTAGTGTCTACTTACACTGTAAAATTAGCATCTACCAGTCAGCATTCTAAATCCAAATAAACTACTGTATGCATCTAATGGATCCCTAGCTGAACAAACATATCTCATTGGCTGCACACAACTCTATATGGGTATAACTGCCCTCCCTTCATAATTTTTTTTTTCTCATCTTTAGTAGATGAAAGATAATTATAATTAATTATCTTTCATCTACTAAAGATGAGAAAAAAAAAATTTGTCCTGAGTTTTTTTAATTTCTTCATGGGTAGTGATGAGGTTCAAATAATACAAAAGCAGAAACAAAACCAAATTGAATTAAATCTATTTTATGACATTGTGACAAACGCTCCTTCCTACGAACGTTTGCCATGGACTCCTGGATGAGTGTGGAGGCTGGCCTCCTGCCCACCGAATATGGTCCAAGTCTAAAACACTGTTTGGGAGTTGCCCTGCCCAGCCACCATTAGCAGCCTTCCCTGGGTGCCCATGGTTCGTCACTTTCCCTTCTCAGGAATGGAACTGAATGCTAGTTCTCTGGCAGCCGTTAGAATGAAGCAAACCCACGAATGGTCTTCAGCAGTACTTAGCCGCAACCACTATAGAACTAATTTCGGTATGAGGAATTTGTCGGTCCCCGGTCACCCCAGCAGTACTTAGTCATGAATGTTATGGAACTGTTTTCGCCATGTGGTTCCTGGACGACTTGGTCCGGAGTTATTAACCACTTTGCAAACTGCCAGGAGAGCGCTTTTTGGAGGGAAGGTGCCGGAGATTAAGGGGAATAAACGCTTCCGGAGAGCCAGGCAGAGCACCCTGTATTGCGGCTGCAAGAGCTCCTGAATGTTGACTGGCAAAAGCACCAAACGCCCTGGAACTATTTTGGGCATAGGACCACATGAATGGCTGGTTAGAACTTTAACACGGTGGCGTTTCCCCTACACTGCATGGGTCTGCGCGCTATTTGGATTACTTGGGTGCTCAGATCATGGCTATTATGGGATGTATTATTCGTGGGGTTATTGTATGTTTTTATATTTTGTGTTGGGCTCTCTGTTCCTGGGGGATAATTAGCTTACCAGTCTTTAACTCAATTATCTCCCAGTCCAAGAGATTCCTGGGAGTGGCTTGTGTTGAATACAATGGAGACTCCGTGCTGGGGTCTGTGCATAAATGGACGAGTTTGACTCATTAAAATCAGTTGTACTCCCAGAACTATGTGTCGTCTAGTTACTGGCAGGGGAAAGGGCTAATCACTGCTCAGCACTTTGTTCCAGCTTGTGGAGGATTCGGCGTGGAAAGTCTTGTAAGGTCTACAGCTCCCAGGTCTGTATGTCGTCCAGTCCCTGGGAGGGAATAGAGCTAGTCCCCTATTCTGTTCCAGGATGGAGAGGCTCCAGGAGGACCCCAGTCAAGCCATGGCGACTGGGGCAGAAGCGCTGAGGTTTTCCCTGGTTCCAGCTAGGAAGGGGTCATTAGTGGAGGTACCCTGCCGGAGTACAAGGAGCTCCACTACAGTCATGTCCTCCTGTTAATACAGAATTTGTTTTGTTTGAGGTGCAAAAATTACTTTACCATTTCTGTCAGTAATTATTACATTTTTAATAGTCTAAACCTATGCTCACAGAACTTGGGCAAACTGTTTTAAAAGAGGAGTAGTAACCATAGATACAAGTAGAATGAACATAAACATTCATTTGGTTTTCGTAGTGTCACCTCCACATTTCTGTTGCCTTTGGGTAGTTTTCATGAAATGATGAATTACAGTGAAAGGGGTTGTGCGTGACAAAAGAGAATATTTACAGGTCAGCTATTTTAGCCTACATATTCCTCTCAGTTTTTAAGTTTTCTATAGTTTGAAGTTCAGCAAATGTATTGCAGTGGGTTTATGGTCTATATATATATATTATATTACTTTTATATTTCCTAGTAGTTTTTAAAATACATTTCTGTTGCCTGCTGTTTGATTTGGACGTGAAGTTATGTTTCTCTGTTATGCCCTAGTGTCTATTTTGGCTGTGTTGCTATGGTCTGTGTAAGATCAAACAGTTGGGCTAGGTGTCCTTTCCACAATTCCCACTTGTTTTCTCTATTTTTATCTCTCGCGTATGTTATCAATCATCACGTTTCCATTTTTCCTTCTCACAATTCTGTCATCTGTGACCATGTTTTCATCTCTTTCAATTGTTCTATTCTCTCCCAGACAGGAGTTATTTGACACTTACGATGTGTTCACTTGGCACAGAGAACCCCCTCAATCTCATCCTTATTGCTGTTTGGTTTTCTAGGGAAGAACCTCCTTAATCTCATGCTTATTGCTGTTTGGTATACTGGGGAAGAACCTCCTTAATCTCATGCTTATTGCTGTTTGGTATACTGGGGACGAACCTCCTTAATCTCATGCTTATTGCTGTTTGGTTTTCTAGGGAAGAACCTCCTTAATCTCATCCTTATTGCTGTTTGGTATACTGGGGAAGATTTATAAAAATATCATAGAAAAAAAACAAAACAGAAATTCTTAAAATCAACTAATTTCTATCAAAACAATAGAATAAACCGTAACATTCATTGGTCTCCATTGTAATTACTCCCCTTTTAGAACTTTGGGTCATATGTCTGATTGTATAATTAAAGGGTTTCTTCAAGCACCATGACCACTTCACTGATTTGCCTGGAGTCTATATGTGAATGTTACACTGCTGGAGGTGTAACTCCAGTCCTGGCAGCAACGTACACCAGCATACAAAGCATGCTGGCGCCAAGCACTGGCCTTCTCTGTGCTGCTCCTGTCCTCCCCTACATATATTCATTCTTTGCCTGCAGACAAGGGGGAGTTGTGTTAGGAGAGGGATGGAAGGAGGACCTGGGAGATTGTGTGCTCCTCCCACAAGCAGGCAGTCCGGAGGGATGTCGCGGCTTACCATGGCAATGCTCCGACACAGCACTCTGCTCTCGTGAGGAAATAAAGAAAACTCAACCTACATCCAGAGGAACTGCTGGCTAAATTTTCATCGCCACCACCAGTGGTTGGAATGTCCTCCCTCCCTGGCCAAATTTAAGAACAACACAAACACCACCCCCCCCACCAAAATATAGATACGCAGATGTTTTAAATCTACAACCATGATGTATTACATGCTTTTGCATGCATTTAGAATGACAAAGCATCATGTAAGCTGTAATTTTAAAACATCTGTGAATCTACCTTGTGTGCACCCTTGATATAGACCCAATGCTCCCCTCACACCCACTGTGTTCCCATACACACAGTGCACCCATACACACACACAGTGCACCCCCTGCACCCTTCACATGCGCACTGCATCCTTCATGTGCGCACTGCACACCTCACATTCACGCACGCACCTTCACCCCTCGCACACGCACTGCACGCCTCACACACACGCACAATGCACATATACGCACACACTCATTCCCTAAGAACACACTTTCTACAGCTCCAACACACTCTACATCACTTATACACACATAATCCCACAAACAGCCTTCAGACACATGCACAATACTCTTTACTGGCCCTTTCTCTGGAATCCCACTTATGGAGACACAAGAGGTGAGTCACAAGCAAACGCAGGGCAAGCATGTAATTACATTTGCATGCACTGCAACTTTTTCTCATGCAAGAGTTCTTCAGCAGGGCTCTGCATATGGGCTACCCCTGAAGAGTATTGAACCAACATGCTCACTTTGAGGGTGGGGTATGCTTGTCATTGGTGATGACATAAACCCCCCTCTGATCCTGCCACTGGGCTGCTGTGGTTTAAATTTTTTTTTTTTAAATGCCCTGTTGAATTTCTTTCCCAGTCTGGATACATCTTTTCAAAATATTTCATACAGTATGATCCAGAGTTTCAAATGAACAGGTTGGACAAAATCCAGTGAAAATAGCTGAATTCTTATACTTGCCTAAGCGAATCTGCAGCAGTTGCCCAGATGCATTCAGAGACCAGATTAAAACTTTCCTTACAGTAATAGGAGGGTGTTATTGACCTCCATAGGCTTTTTATTTATATGTAACTATTTATAGTTTATTTATAACTAGCCAGAATGCACTGGCCAGCCGCCACATAATTAAACCTTGCCTGCCAGTGGGAAAATAGGTCAGACTTTTAAAAAAAATAAAAAATATTGACCTGGACTTGCAGCATTCGGTCTTGATGTTAGCTATTTGGCAAAATTCAGTCCACGTGAATTCCATACGAAATTCAGGCTTGTTCAGGGCTTAAATTGCAAAATCCAGACAATATTACTAATACAAATATTAAAGAGAATGGGTCCAAGTACAGATCCTTGAGGTACCCCACTGATAACAAGACCTTGCTTCAATTATCCTCCATTGACTACAACCGTCTGTTGCCTGTGACTCAGCCACTGCCTAACCCATTCAACAATATTGGAATCCAAACTTAAAGATTGCAGTTTATTGATAAGCCTTCGATTTGCGACAGTGTCAAAAGCCTTACTGAAATCTAGGTAAGCAATGTCTACTGCACCACCCTGATCTATTAATTGTTACCCAATCAAAAAAATCAATAAGATTAGTTTGGCATGATCTCCCTGAAGTAAACCCATGTTGTCTCTGATTTTGTCTCCAAAACGGAATGGCTGCGGTACATGGTCATCGAGTGTCTGGATCTCTGGGAAGGCTGCGAGAGCCCGCGAACGATGGAGAAACCTGTACAGCTGTTCGTTCCTCTCCCAGATGTGTTAGGAGAACGGCGTTATGGAGATAGAAACTACTGAAAATGGGGAGCATTTGCTCCCTAAAAGCCAGGGGAAGCGTTCTTCTGTATTCGTACAGGAACCCTGGAAAATAGAACGGCTACCCACCCTTTTCTTGTGGAACTATTCTGGGCTATCAGTTTGTGGCCGGCTGGTCAAATCATTTCCCAAATGGCGATTTCGTTCTACCAAACGGATCTGAGAGCTATTTGGACAATTTGGGAGCTCACGTCCAGGTTATTTGGGGATGTAAGATTTGTGGGGTTCCTGTAATAATTTGATATGTTTTTTGAGGTATTTTGTATGTTTTGGTATTGGTTCCTGTAACTAAGAAATAATTCAGTGAGCCTTCTTTTGACTCAAGTATCTCCCAGAAACAGGGATACCAGGGAGGGGTTTGTACTATTTCCAATGGAGACCCTGTGCATAAAAAGCCAGTTGTGTCTCAAACGTCAGTGACTCCCAGAACTGTGTGTCGTCCAGTTACTGGAAGAATCTACTATAATTATTGAAAAGCGCTTTCTTCCAGCTCCAGAGGACTTCAGCGGCGATATTCGCAGCTCCACTACAGCTCCACTACAAACATGATTATATTATTAGTGTTTATTATTTATATAGCCCCAATATATTCCACAGCGTTGTACATTCATAGAATTGGGGTAACTGACAACAAGTAATTGACATACAAAATATTAACAGAGACCAGAGGTGCAGAAGAACCTGCTTAAACCTGTTTACAATCTATAAATATTATACTTGCATAATTTTTAAATCTTTAATATTCATCAATTAAACATCTTTTTTTTTTCCATCCGGATTCATACGTGGAACTCTAATTTCCTTTTGTGGTTTCTTGGTAGGATCATGGGAGTCCAGGTCCTTTCTGGGAGCAAGAATTGCAAAGCTTACATTTTGTAATTGAAATGAAGCGTGAGTTGATCCATGAGCTGGAAAAGAAGCAAATGAGCCATGAAACAACAGTGAGTTCCATACTAGTGTACTAGTGGCTAAATCCCCCCACATCCCCCTCCGCCCCCACAAAAAAAAAATGGTCTAGATTGCTGCAAAGTGAAAATGTTTAGCATAAAGTTCAGTGATATTCCATTGCTGTTGGCAAGAAATTAGTATTTACAATCATACAATTATTATTTGGGGTGTTTAAAGCACATGGATTGGAACTACATTTGGGATAAGGATAACCAGGAATCAAAACAATATGCTTAGAATGTTGTCATTTCTAACATGCTCATGATCGTAGTATTTGCTATCTAATGGAAGCTTGGCTTGCAGTTCCTGCTCTGTCAACACTCAATGGGCTATCCACTCTAATTTATGCTAAGGTCTAAAATTACCTTCATGTTCTTAGGGAATTCATGAAAGTGAAAACAGGGCCACTTTCTAGAATATTGTCAAATGCATTAGTGGATATTTATCAGTGTTAATGCTTTTACATTTAATCTTCGAAGATTTTTGGATGAAATTTATCAGATCTATTGGATTTTTTTTCATCTGTCTCTGTTTTGTACTCTAACAGACATCTTTTTATAAATGCCATTTTTCAGCAACACAACAGATTTATGAATTTACAATCAATTTATCAGACAGACAAGTGTTGTGTTTCACTTCCCTTTTCCCTGCTGCTCTAGGTCTGGCATAATTTACTATAAAGAAAACCATCACTTTTTAGAACCATTTTTGAACCCTTTAATAAATGTGATCAAAATAATAACGGAATATAGCCATCACTTTTGAGAACACATAAAACATCCCCACATTGAGTTTTAACTAAAGATAACAGGGATGCCTGTTGCATAATAATGGCTTAATGTGGGTGTAAATGACTGCATTAGGCTCTAGTATTCCTCTAATGGCATCTCTTTCCACATCTGGCACTGGAGTAGGGACTAAACATGGTAATAAAAATATTTCCAATAACTGGAAATGACTGTGTTTTGTGCCAAGTGTATAAATTTTATTACTTATATATTCAAAACTGATGACAAATTGTCATCAGTAGTTTTACGTGCTACTGAATAGTGAAAAAAGAAGGAAAAGTTAAAGTTAAAAACATTTTGAAGTGTACATCTTTCTTTTGTTCTTGTGTCTTGTCATGAAAGATGGATCGGAACCTGGCACTTGAAAAAAAAGTGAGGAACATGGAACAGGAAAATGAAGCTCTTCGAGCGCAGACTCAAAATCAAGCAGCAATCACCATGTGAGTATCACACTTACTACTTTTTCATCCTTAAGGGAATATTTTGTGCATCCATCATTTCTTAATGCATGAGACCTATGTAATAGATGTGCAGCAGTTCTGGCTACCCCAGCCCTCCAGGGCCAGGTGTTCACCATGATCACATCGCAGCAATAGGAGTCTAGGAGCTGCCAGCACGGGGACTGTCTGAGCTGTCAAACTGTCCCCCAGGCTGCTAAAAAGTAAAGTAAAGTAATGAAAGCATTTTATAATATATAATGCATATATATGATTTCATTACCAGTGTACTATATATCTCAAAATACACTTATAATCATATATATATGCATTATGTATACTATATTATAAAATGCTTTCATTATAATATATTATACACATATATAGAGAATAAAAGTGTGTGTGTGTATGTATGTATATGTGTGTGTATATATATATATATATATCTATATATAAATGGAACAAATTGAGAGCACTCATTGGATTTAGTAAACAAAAAAAATATATTAAATCAAACGCATATAAATCAACGTTTCGACCGTCTAGCGGTCTTTATCAAGATGCTATGACATGTGAAAATCTCAAATATATACAATCTAATGTGTTAAACTTACCCAATCACCAAGTGCACCCTGTTTGTCCGGTCTGCTCTGTGAATAGAGCCGCAAACCGAGGACTGTCAAGCATACTGCCGAAAAGTGACATAAAGCACAGCCACCAAGTGTTGCCTAGAAACGGCAAAGTTGTTTTAAAAGAGAAAACAAACGGAGTAAAATTAAAAGCATGTATGGAGGAGGAAGAAATAAAGTTTGATTACATGGTCTTAAATGTATATGAGTGTGGAATGTTAAAGACAGCAGTATGAATGAAAATGGGTTAACCAAAGGTTAACCAGAACAGGTTAATGTGTGTATGCATGCTGAATAAAGAAAAGTTTTCTTTTATGGTATGTTTTTTATTCTACAGTCTGCACTATTGGTCTCCCTTTGTACTTTTTAGGTTGTGCTTTTTATTGTTTTAACTTTTGTCCAATGCCAGCAGCCGTCAAAAAGTATGGCTGTGGATTCTATGCTTTTATCTATGTATGATCCTGCAGTCTCGCAGATTCCAGTGTTTTATTCTCACGGATGTGAGCTGAAGCTCGAGGAGCTGAAGAGTACCTTCATCATTAACATGGCATTGGCTGCAATGGATAAGGAGAGGTAAGTAATACTCCCCACCTCTGAAAGCCGGTGGATCCCCACCGGAACCGTCCGTTTTGGGGGTCTTTGCAATATGCAAAGACCCCTAAAATTGACAGATCCACTTTAACATCTGCCAAGCAAATGGGACTCGTCATATCCCTTCATAGAGCATTATTTAACTTGATTAAAAGAATCTTGTGATTTTGTCATCATGATAATGAGAAAGCGGGTTGTTTTAGTCATTCTTACCTGACTCCATGGTCTTTTCTATTTGCCTTCAGACGTTTGACTGAGGAGTTACTCAATACCCAAACCACCTTAGAAAAAGAAATGCATCTTCGGGAGGAACTTCAGCGTGACAAGGAGCAGCTCTTACACAGGGCAGTGTATGGAGATAGCCACCCACCATTTTCATTGCCAACCAACACTCAGGAAGTTTCCATGATGGTCATCTAGATCACGATACTGCAGAAAAATAATGGACTATACTGCAAAACCACTATATATATATATTTTTAAAAAGTTTTATTCCATCGCTGACAAATCGTGACCTCCAACAGCATCCCTTATTTCTCAATTATTTATTCTGTTGTTGTTGTTTTGTTTTTAATTTTCTTTTAATGCCAGTATATTGATTTTACTGCTACTGCTGTCCATTCCAGCCATCAGATATTTGCTTTGTCCATCAATGGCACAAACTTTTTCTTATAGCATCACTTCAGTACTATACACTCAAATAATGCCCTACACAGACACTTTGTAATATTTTTGACATATCCCTTTATAGTTGAATCACTAGAGGTTTTTATTTCTGACTACGAGGACATTAGTAAATATCTGTAATGAGGTTTCTTGAAATGAAGCCTGGGAATGAACACAGCAGTTGTCTCTTTAACTAGAAATGATACTGACGGACATAGTTTAGCATTTTCTGATTCAGCACTGAGGAATTTCTTGGCATTTGTGTAAAGAGACAATAACATTAGTAATTATTTTATACAATTGTATACATTTCAGTTTTGATAAACTGACATTATTTTAATTAACTGGCCAGTGTTCTCTCTTCTCTTCTAACACATCTTCTCAAGGACTTCTTACAGAGTGGACTGAAGGGATATTTTGCTTTGTTCCACCATTCGAAAGTAACTTTATAACCAAAGATGGTAGGATATGGGATGACATATCTGCACAATAGCACTTTTTAAAAAATGTAATTTGTCACCTAAACACTATTTTCCAACGCAGTGCATTAGACAATCGCTGCATTGTGCAGGCAGCATTACAAACAAAAGATGAAGAGGAAAACAAAGGTTTTGCTAAAAAAACAAAATATCAGAAATGTTTATTTCAAATCCGGGCATAAATTGTTTTGGAAAAACAAGCAAACAGAAGATTCAAAGCACACATAAACCACCACTCAGCATAGCATAATAAATTTCCTTATTTCTCTATTACATTTATATGTGAGTAATGCTCATTACATACAATTATTTTTATCAAATTATAAGTGAGTAACGTATGAATAATAATGTGTGGGCTTTGAGTGCTAGGAATTATTTGTAAAACCATGTAAAAATTGTTTAGAAAATAATGGAGGGACTTCACCAACAGCCTCCATGAACCATAATCACTACAACGAGCTGTAGTGGTTATAGTGTTTGGACTAATGCGTGAGCTTTTATTTTTTTTAAATAAAAAACGGACTATATTTTGTTCTATTAAATCGCGCTGGTTAAAACATATCTGCTGTAAAATGCAATAGGTCCATCTACTTTTTGACATCATTACGCTTCCTTCCCCACTCACTATTATGTCCATTAATAATTTTATTACTGTATTCACAATTATATAAAATGGTAGATTGGTCCAAACATTTCCTCTTGATATTTACATTTGTTTGTAATTCTGTTTTGCAGAATGTATTTTTTAATGGTTTATCAGCTTGCTCCAAACTTTTTATATGATAAATTCTTTTTAAATCAAACTGTAATGAGGTTAGAGCGAGATATTGTGTGGATTTTTTATTTTATTTTATATTTCTGAACAAGAAAAGAGTTGGACACCAATTAATACAGTTTTAGAGGTAACCGTCTAACTGCACACATTAAAATTTTAACATGTTTTAAAGACAAAGTTTTAATTTTGCACATGAGATTCATACCTGTTAAAGAACTGTTTTATACAATCCAACATCAAATAAACTTATGGAGAAGTTTAAACAGAATGTTGTTAACATATGATGTATTGTGGTGCTATTCTGGACAATGTTTGATTATGCAGCCATATTGTACATACTTTAATCTGAATGGTAGCACTGACATATTTAGTTGATCAAGCGAAAATTGAGCGTTGGTGGACCAAAAAGGCATGTCACAGGTAGCACTGTTTCTTTTGCACAGGTTACTAACCTCTGATTGCACAAGTCAACTGTCTTCTGCTGAGAAGCCAAAATAAATAAGTAGGAATGCAGAAGGATGCAGAAAACACTTCTAAGGTGTAAATAAAAAATATACAACCTTATAATAAAGCAGCGTGGTGGGCAGTATCTATACAAAAAAAATTATATATAAATCGCACATAGTGTGATAAAAGTATGTGTGTGTGTGTGTATGTATATGTGTGTATATATATATATATATATATATATATAGAGAGAGAGAGAGAGAAAAGAACAAATAAGGGTGCGCCTAAGACAAGTAGAATGAATGTATAAAAATATATATCAGAGAGTCCGAGCAGCGATACCTTGTATTCCAAGGGGCTTAGAGGGGATTCCCCTTTTCCATAGGTGTGCTGCCTTGCTGTCATATTCTCTGTTTTCCTATCAGCGCTGAACCTCCTTCCTGATCTCGAGATATATATACTTTTATCACACTATTTGCGATTTATATATTTATTTTTTTTATAGATACTGGAAGGCAGAACGCTCCTCCCATGAGCAGGCAGATCGGAGCGTTGCCGCGCGTTACCATGGTACTCGCTGGAGGAGAGTCTGCAGGCTGAACTGCACACATATATATAGATATAGTGTAAAATTTATTCATACTTACCGTAATTTTCTTTTCCTGGCTATTATTCATGGCAGCATATACACATGGGTTTGCTCCTCCCCTTACAGCCAATAGGACAGGTTTAAACAAATTCTTATAAAAGGAGGATCCAGAGAAGAGACCCTCAGTCAGTAACAAGCACTTACAGAAGAATTAGATCCATAAGGGCAGGTTGTATATGCTGCCATGAATAATAGCCAGGAAAAGAAAATTACGGTAAGTATGAATACATTTTCCACTTTCCTGGCTAATCATGGCAGCATATACACATGGGATTACCCAAGGGAGGTAATACCTCATAGGGAGGGAAACAAGAGACACAATGAATGCAAAAATTATTTTATTAATGCAGATAAATCTACATATACGTATTACGAGCGTCGAGAGGAGCGGACTGAATTAAGGACTTGGTGACCAAAATGAGAGTCCACTGTAGCTCTAACATCCAGCTTATAATGGCGGATGAAAGTGTTCACTGAAGACCAAGTGCCAGCCTTACAAATCTCATCAGGAGAAGCATTTGCCACAGAAGCCCAAGATGCAGCGATAGCCCGAGTAGAGTGAGTTCTAACTCCAGTAGGAACCGGCAGTGATAAGTATTTGTAAGAACATGAGATGGCCGAAACCACCCATTGTCTCAATGTAGAGGTAGAGGCCGCTTCACCCCGCCTGTGGCCAAAAGGCAATACAAATAGTCTGGGTGATCTGCGGAAGGGGCTGGTTTTCTCCAGATAGATAGAAAATGCTCGCACCACAGCCAGAGTGTGCCGAACTTCTTCTTCAGGAGAAGAGGGATTTGGATAGAAGGATGGTAGAACAATTTCCTGGTTCAAGTGGAACTTAGATATTACTTTAGGTAAAAATTCCGGGACTGGTCTGAGGACTAAACGGTCCTGAAGTATCCTCATATAAGGTGCTTCGCAGGATAATGCCTGGAGCTCACATATCCGTCGTGCGGAAGTAACTGCCACCAATAGGAGTACCTTTTGAGTGAGTACCAGCAAAGGAGCTTGGTCAAGTGGTTCAAAGGGAGAACTAGTCATGGCCTTTAAGACCAGAGGTAGGTCCCATGCCGGCAGAAATACCTTCAGAGGAGGCCAGATCTTTATTGCCGCTTTAAGAAAACAGATGACCAATGGTTCCAGTGCCCATCGGGTACCTGACAAAGCAGATAGAGCTGATACCTTGAGTTTCAGAGTGTTGTAGCTAAGGCCTTTGTCCAGGCCAGCCTGAAGGAAACAGAGCACTGAAGATAATGCCAGAGGTTTAATCACCAACTGGTGTTCTTGTGCCCAGCAAACAAAGGTATGCCAAATCCTATAATATGTGGAGGAAGTGGATATCTTACGAGGCCTCAGGAGAGTTCTAATGACTGTGTCAGGAATGCCAGCGTTCATCAGAGCTTCCCGCTCAATCTCCAAGCCCTCAACTTGAGGCTTAGCGGGTTTGGGTGTAGCAGTGGTCCCTGTGATAGTAAATCTGCCTGGAACGGGAGTACCCTCGGAGGTTCCCGACTCATCCGTCTCACCATAGGGAACCAGGGTCGCCGGGGCCAGAACGGGAGGATGGCGATGACCTCTACCTTCTCCTTCTGAATCTTCTTGATGTTGGGAATATGATGTTGATGTCTTCTGTTGGGAATATGAGAGGTATAGGAGGGAACACATAGGCCAGAGTGAACTTCCAAGGTTGGGATAGAGCATCCTGTCCCCTGGCTCTGTGATCGACCAGTCTGGAGAAGAAGGCTTCGACCTGGGTATTCTCGGCCGTTGCCATGAGGTCTATATCTGGGGTTCCCCAAATAAAAGACCGCTCCTGAAATACTTCGGGGCTTAGATGCCACTCGCTCCTGTCTATGGTCACGCGGCTCACGTAGTCCGCCATGGTATTCTGAATTCCCGGAAGGTATACTGCAGAGATACCCTGAACATTTTTCTGGCACCAACTCATGATGGGCCACAGTTCCTTCATCAACAGTTGGCTGCGAGTACCGCCTTGATGAGAAACATAGGCCACAGCCGCCTGGTTGTCGGACTGGACTCGTATCCATCTGTTCTTCAGGATCCTCCTGAAGTGTATGAGAGCTGCGTGGATGGCCCGTAATTCCAAAACATTCCCCGGAAGAACCGACTCCTGTTTGTTCCATCAACCTTGAGTCGTCCGGTCCTGACAGTGGGCACCCCAACCATGAGCGCTAGAATCTGTTGTTAATAGGACCCACTCGGGTTTTATCAAAGGAAAACCTCTTTCCAAATTCACCCTTCTTAGCCACCAGACCAGGTCCATATTGACTACATGAGAGATCCTCAAGGGTTGATTCCAATCCATAACCCACCGGTTGAACTGGTTCAGGAACAACCTCTGAGGAACTCTGAGATGCCACTGGGCCCACCTGACTAGTCCTATAGAAGAGGTCAGATTGCCCAGCAGTTGTGAGTATGTTCTTGCTGTTATCACACGAAGGTGCAGAATCTTGTAGATGAAGCGTAAAATCCTCTGTATCCTTTCCTGTGAAAGGGAGATAGAGTTCCGGAGTGTGTCGAAGTTCGCCCCCGGAAACGTAATCTTCTGGGATGGAATGAGGCTGCTTTTTTGTAGATTCACTAACCAGCCGAATCGATGAAGTTCTGATAGCACAAATTCTCTGTGAAGCACCGCCGTCTGGACGTTTGGTGCTACCAGCAGAAGGTTGTCCAGATAATGGAACAAAGAGATTCCCTGAATCCTCAGCCGTTCTATAAGAACAACCAATACCTTTGAAAAGGTTCTGGGTGCTGTGCTCAGACCAAATGGAAGTGCTCTGAATTGGAAGTGGTCTTCTCCTATAGCAAATCGGAGAAAACGATGATGTTCCTTGGCTATCGGGATGTGATAATAGGCGTCCCGTAGGTCGATGGATAGGAGCCAATCTGCCTTCCGGATAGCTGGGGAGATGGATCTTATAGACTCCATCTTGAAGGATCTGATTAGAAGTCTCCTGTTGATCCTCCGCAGGTCCAGGATAGGTCTCCACTTGTCCTTGTCTTTCTGGACTAAGAACAGAGGTGAATAGTGCCCCTTGAATCGTTCCTCTTCTGGCACGAAACGATAACCCTTTGGGACCTGAGGTTCTGAACATAATCTCCCAGAGCCCTGCTTCTGCCCTTGTCCGTGGGCAGACCTGTGGGAATGAAGAAGTTGCTTCTGGGTCTTCTGAGGAATTCCAATCTGTACCCTCTTTGAATTATAGCTTTGACCCAGGCATCTTGTATGTCCTGTGCCCAAACCTTCCAGAAGAGGGAAAGTCGAGCACCGACCTCTGACGGATAGTCAGAAGTTCTTGCCTCCACGAAAGGAAGGGTTTCTACCTCAGGAAGAACGTGAAGCATATGATTGGCCCCCACGCCAATTATTACTCCTGTTAAACTCTCTACCTGGTTGATCCCTCGGAGGTCGCTTATCTGACCAAGAGGAGCCTGGTCTTCTGGTTCTTTTCTCCTGGGGTAGAAAGACCTTATGCCCCTCAGCAGCTTTTTTAATTGATTCCTCTAGGGTCTTTCCAAATAGAAGCTCACCCTCAAAAGGTATGGAACATAAATTGGCCTTGGAAAAGGAATCCGCACCCCAATAATGCAACCATAAAGCTCTCCTAGCTGCTACCGAGAGGGCCATGGTGCAGGAGAAGATCCTGGTGATATCCAGGGCAGCTTGAGCGACAAATTCCGTAGCTATCCGAAGGTCGTAAATAGAATCCCTGAGGTTTGTTCTCTTAATTCCTCTTTCCACATCTGTATCCAGGTCTTTTATCCAACTTTTCATGGCTCTGGACACCGCCATAAGACAAACAGCTGGATGGCATCCAGTACCTCCCGCTGAATATATCTTGGAAAGATCAGAATCCAATCTCTTATCCATTGGTTCCCGCAAGGAGGCTGTACTATCCAGTGGTAGACTAGTTCTCCTAGCAAACCTAGAGATGGTAGCATCAACGTTTGGAGGTGTCGTCCATTTTTTTGAAGTTTTCTCCTCCAAAGGGTAAAGCCTGGATAGCCTGCCCTGAAATGGAACCTTTTTATCAGGTTTTTCCCATTCTGCGGTAACCACCTCCTTAATGGCTCTGTGAAGAGGGAAGGAAGGCTTCTGCTTCCTAAGATCCGCAAAATGTTTTTCAGAAACTTCAGGTTTAGGAAGATCTTCTGGTAATTCTAGGGTCTTTCTTACCTTCAGGATGAGTTTATCCACCGTCTTGGCGCCTAGATATTCCGACAAGACCTCTTCTTCGTTCTCACTAGAATAAATTTGATCGAGAACCTGAAATTCTTCAGCTGAACCCTGGTATTCTGAGACAGATGATTCTGAGGATACCAGTCTCTGTCTTGGTCTTTTCACGGACCGATTACTTGCCTCCATGGCCTCTGAGATGCCCTGAGCCACCTCCTGTCGGATCCAAGTCAGGATATCTGGTGCCTGAGTGGGTGTTACGGCTGCTGGAGTGGCCACCTTCTGCAAACAGTTTAAGCACAGCTGTTTGCCTTCCAATGCCTTCCCATCACATCCTGCACAGGGGTCTGACTTCTGTCTCCTCTTTCGTGGGGGAGATGATATACACTGTTCTCCATTACTAAAAGTAGTATAAGTAACTGTTAGTATATGGAGAGTAAAAACATCATTAACGTTATATATAAAATATGTATGGAGTCCTACTCACCTAGATTCTGCTGAACAGGGTAAAGGGTTCCTACTAGTAGAGCTCATAATGTGCTTATTACAATAAAGAATTTAAAATAATTCTTTTAGAATACACAAAACAAATTATCAAAATAAAGGGATACATGTATATCAGAAATACACAAACCTGTGGCAAAGAATAGAAATGATTCCAGAGTTCTAGCTTCTCTTTTAGATAATCCAATTCAAATTGTAAAATAACTGAATCCACAACAACCTCTTCGAGTTCCAGCTTCTTTTAAATAGTACCAGCCATTTACTAACCTGTTTCTGGCGTTTTCTGCAAATTACCTGTAATTTTTGGATTTTGCACATAGTAAAGAAGGCCACCGCGACCTTACCCAGACTGCATTCTGGCGCCAAAACGAACCGAGCGCATTGCGCATGTGCAGGCGTCCTATCCGAGCTCCCAACCTGGGAAAACCGAGGACGGAATGCCAGGGACCCTAATTGCAGTTAGGAAGACTCCTAAAGGTCTCAGGACTGACCTGGTAAGAATAAAACCGGGTAAAAAGGGGAATCACCTAGAAAGAGGATTGTAGGGATTAATTAAATCATACACTGTGCACTTTACAGCACACTGCAAAAGAAATGGTGAAAGTAGTAGAGTATTTAAAATTATAGAGGGAGCTTAAAAAAAAAAAAAAAAAGCTCCCTTCCTAAGGGCTGTAAGGACAGGAAAAAGACTGAGGGTCTCTTCTCTGGATCCTCCTTTTATAAGAATTTGTTTAACCCCTTAAGGACACATGACATGTGTGATATGTCATGATTCCTTTTTATATAGGTGTCAAGTTTTTCTTTTGCCCCATAAGGGCTTTTTTTAGTATATGTACATCCTAGATTTATGCCCCTTCATGATGGGACACTTCTTAGTATGCTGTATGTTTCATGATCCCACCGGCAGTTTTTTCCTGCGTTCCAGCTTGGAACGCATAGCACATTCATTGCCGAACCGGAAGTGATGCCAGACTCTGACGTGCGTTCCAGCGTGACACGCACGCAACGCATCTACACCACAGGTTGATTACATTTTATTATTCTGGCAGCATATTTATACGAAGGTTTCTGAAAGAGTTAGTCTACATCCCTGAGGAAGTGCAGTGGAGGAAACGCATTGGATTTTTACGTTGGGGACTTGCAGTGCTGTATCCGTTGCTCCTCCTTGCAGTGGATATATGCTGTTTTTATCTGGATTTTTTGTAAGTGCATTTGTAATAAATATTTGCTGTTTTAAGTCTCATCTGCACTATCTTCTGGTTTCTTTCTATTTACAAGTGCTAAAGAAGATCAACTCCATAATATTCTGAAGATAATTTCTGATTTAGGATGATAGGCCTGATATTCACTTACATTTTGTGAGTTAAACCAAACATCTTGCGTGTGTCTGTGTCTGTCTGTCTCTCTCTGTCTCTCTCTCTCTCCTTTTATCACACTGTGTACGATTTATATATTTTTTTTATAGATACTGCCCACCACGCTGCTTTATTATAAGGTTGTATATTTCTATTTCGCTATACTTAACAAATATGCATTTGTGAGGCTTTAAAAATAAAAATTAAATGTAGAATATTTATCCTGAAACTGGGTGCTTGCATCGTTATTCCCTGACAGTCGTTATTAAAAGCTTTGTCAGCCCAGATAAAATACACATAACAGGGCTGTGCCGTCCATAGGCTCGAATGGGACCATGTGACCATGGTTCCAGGCGGCACTTAGCCAGGGTAGACATTTTGAATTTGAGCTCAGGAACTTAAAAATACAACAAACCTTTTGACTAACAATGATTAGTGTGACCATAATTCTATGAATAGGGCATCCACATTGTTAAATGTGTTTTCTAGCTGCCTGTAAGCAATGTTACCCTGCCTTTACCCTTTTTCTATGTCTGCTATACTCAAAACATGTCTCATAATCAAAATAGAATCATAAAGTGGAGTACTTGAAACTATTGTAGGTATGTAACAGTTATTAATAAAGGGTTCTGTTGTATATGGAGGTGGTCTATATTATAAAGGGTGAGATGGTTGCAGGCATCATTTCAATAAGTGGCTTGTTTAATCACATACAAACTAAAGAACCACAACACATGTTCACACTTTTTTGAGAAAAAGATATATTAAAGCAATGTTACAATAAATTGTATAAACTTCAAAAGGTCCCTCTCCTCCATCCCCTGTGTCTTCATAGAACAATGACTGCAAACAACGTCTTGCACAATATTGCCACCTACAGACCACAGTCATGTTTGCAGAATGTCTATAGTTCGTAGAATAGCTCTGCTTTACATTGATGTTGGCTAAAATTCTAGCCAACATCAATGTTGGCTAAGTGAATATACACAAATACAGTAGCTTCACTATATTTAAGAAGTCATGATTTTAAAAAAACTGTCCTATTTTGCTATAGTCGCAGCTTGCTTATTTTAGCATATCATTTGGTGTTTAAAGGACCACTATAGGCAACCAGACCACTTCAGCTCAATTAAGTAGTCTGGGTGCCAGGTCCCTCTAGTTTTAACCCTGCAGTTGAAAACATAGCACGTGTGGGGGCACACATGGGACATACATCTTGAATATTGGGTTACTGTAAAGCGGTAGTGGGCTTAAAGGGACACTATAGTCACCAGAACAACTACAGCTTATTGAATTTTTCTGGTGAGTAGAATCATTACCTTCAGGCTTTTCGCTGTAAACAGTGTGTTTTCAGAGAAAATGCAGTGTTTACATTACAGCCTAGTGATAACTTCATTGGCCACTCCTCAGATGGCTGTTAGAGATCCTTCCTGGGTCATGACTGCCTAAAATGCATCCAAACATTCAGTATCTCCTCCCTCTGCATGCAGACACTAAACTTTCCTCATAGAGATGCATTGATTCAATTCATCTCTATGAGGAGATGCTGATTGGCCAGGGCTGGGTTTGAATCATGCTGGCTCTGCCCCTGATCTGCCTCCTTGTCAGTCTCAGCCAATCCTATGGGGAAGCATTGTGATTGGATCAGGCTACCACTTCTGCTGATGTCAGCAGGCAGGTCTAAAGGAAACAGGCACAAAATAAGCAGCTGCAGACTTGAATACAAGTAAGATTTTACTATATTTAGGGAGGCATGAGGGGACCATGGTGGTTTTATCCCTATAGGGTCAGGAATACACTGACCCTATAGTGCTCCTTTAACACAATATGGCCATATGGTGGAACTGAATCCCCACATTTGTTTGATGAGATGGGCGATTTTAAGTAGGCTTAAAGAATTTAGAAATGTTTTTTATGAGTGCGCTGTTCCTTAATCTGTATTGTGAATAACGAAAAGTATGACATTTAAATGGGACTTTTTGCATGACAGTTTCCCTTTATTAAATTCAGTCATCTAAAAGAACAGTCATGAAATTCTGTTCCTTTAAAGGATTTTTAATAGTATGTTTGGTTATCCCTATACTTTACAAATATGCATTGTGAGGCATGATAAACCAAATTAAATGTAGCTTATCTACACCTTTATATTGTACCACTAGGCACCCCCATCATTGTTAAAACTCTGTCCATTGCACCTGTTAGTCAGCACAACCTAATCATACAGGCAAGAGAAGAAATTAAACAATGTTTCTATTTCTCCTCTTCATTTAAGTTTGCCCTGGCTTTGCTTTGTCCCATCTGGTATGTGATGTTATTTGCTTAATATTAAATTGAGAAACATGGTTTACATACGTTATGGATGATTTTTAATGTTTTATTCAGCAGTGTTAATTCCATAAAAGTGATAGTTCCCATTTAAAATTAGTAAAATAATGGACTGCAGGGAGTTACCAATGTTGGGTGAAAATTGCATCTGCTGATATGTCATACCATAATATTTATAGACTTTGCTTGTCCTCAAGCAGTTATGTCTATGAAGGGATTTCATGTCACAAAAGTGAAACCTTAGAGCAGTGGTGGCTAAGTCTGAGCATGTAGATATTTGTGAATTATATTCCTCATGATGCTCTTGTTAGTTTTACTGAATGAAATGTAATTCACAAACATGCAATGCCACTGATGGCTACAAGAGAATGTGTATTTGCTGTATATCACATTGTTCTAGGTTCGGAAAATAATGTTAAACAGGTATGCTAGTATTTTTTTTCATGATTAATTACCAACAGATAGGACCTTGGAGGCTTTGGGATGTTTGCAGGTTGGTCTTATTAGTATTGTTACGCTATCATTTCAGAAGAATGATGCCTAACAAATTTCTCTGGGAACTAGCTGCACGGATGGTTAACCCTAGGAAGATACTAATGTTGATTTATGTCCATTTAATGGATTTCATAACTGTTGAGTGAAAGATGATCTTTTTATCAAGGAATTTATCGAGCCTCAGCTTGTTACCCCTGGCTTCATCCTCTGGTGGTTGTAGCAGGTGCGAATACAGTGACTCTGGTGGTTACAGATGTTGTCCCCTGCAAATTTTGAGCAGTGCAAGTGTATGTTCCTTCATCCACCGCTCTAGCCCCATCTACAGACAAAATACTCTTTGATTCCTGCATCAGTTGGCCACCTCTGCGAATTTGTTCTGTATACTCTCTTACATAAGGAGGCCTTCCGATCTATGATAAAGCAGTGAAGAGTTAGGACAAATACATTTTAAAAATACAAATCACTAAAAAAATTTAACTTCTTCTAATGTTTCTATGTTGAATTAATTCACAAAATGTGACCCTGTACCTGTTTTTTCTTGTTCTTCAGTCTCAGTGTGGAGATAGGATCGACCTCTCAATATTCTACACTGATTTTATGATTTAAAAAAAAAAAGCTTTAAAACATTTTCTGTTTCTATAGTAGTGAATCAAACTTTCGGTTTGGATGGTGATGATCTCAGGTGTCTATCCAATCTATCACAAATTAATGAATTGAATTAAAATACAACAGTTATCACATCTAGTACTTTTCAAAGTAAGCATGTATTCAAGCAACCTGGACTCAGCTTCTCAGATGCTAAGACTGAAAAAGATCTCAAGAAGTATTGAGTTTTTGCCAGTACTGATACTCATAACCCCTTTAAAGGTGCTTTCACTGGTGGACAGGAGTCAGCAAGTGCACTCTGACTGCTCTGCAACTAGGCAGCCCCATACATGGTAAACACTGTGTGTTCCAACACCTTTCTATCATTGCCAGCATTAAGTTTTGCAGCAATTTGAGCTTCAGTAGCTGTTCGCATGATTGGATAAGATGGGTTTGCTTTCGCTCTCCATGTGCATCAAGGAGCTTGGGAGTCATGACACTGAGATCGGTTGTCCTTCATTGCACCAATTTTGGTAGGTACTAACCACTGCAAACCTGGAACGCCACACAAGATTTGCCATTTTGGAGATGCTCTATCTATCACTATTTGGTCCTTATCATCTTTCTGAGTGTCCATTTTTTCTGCTTCCAACACATGAAATTCAAGAACTGAATGTTCATTTGCTGCCTAATATATCCCACACCTTGACAGGTGCCATTGTAATAATATAATCAGTGTTATTCACTTCATCTATAGTGTGATTTTAATGTTGTGGCTGATCAGTGTATTGTACTTTTTGTCTTTTTACTTGTACCAATTGTACCCATGTATAGCGCTACGGAATGTGTTGGGACTTTATAAATACAATATAATTATAACAATAATACCCTTACCTGCTGCCCAGGATACTCCCATGTAAATTCCACACCGACCTCTACATCTCCCAAAACTGTGCAGGTGACAACAAAATTTTCTCCTGCTTTCACTGAGTTTACTGACGCTTCTACGGAAGGATTAGGTGGGGCAGACGGATCTGGAATAAGTGTAGCAAGAATAAAGTTAATTCTTATAAATTGGTTATAAGTGTGCCATGTCTTTTATGTTATGTTCAGATTCAAAGCTAAGCAGACAAATTCTTTATTGCAATGCATATTTCATATAAACACATGTTAAACAGTTCAATCAAGCAAACACGTTTACAGAATAATTTTAAACCCTCCCACTTTAAGGGTTAGTTAAAAAAAATTACTCAATAATAAACTGTACTATGTATTTCTTCCACAAGGACACTTGTTTCATAGTTACACTATACTGTCAAGCAACGTGTTGCTGGATTCTGTAAATGATGTGCGTACACAGATGGCAAAAACAAAGTTATATCAAATGTGGCGGACCACCCGAGTATCGCAGCCACGGATTCCCTTTCCCTAATGTGAAATAGCGCTATCCAACCGATTAAGTGATTATAGCTGGTATAGCTTTCCCCCCATACATTAACCGAGACTGAATGTTAGGTGTACATCTGCTTTATTAGCTCAAACAGACATAATTTATACACTGTATTTATAGTCTGCATTCAGCTCCTTTTTTCATGACTGTTTGTCCATGCCTTCATTATGCATACATCTATCAGCCCCTTATATGTAAATCTCTCTCTTATGTGCTAGGTGCTAGGTCTAGGTGCTCATCCAGCCATCCAAAGTGCTAAAAGTACTTTTCCCAAAATAACCTTTGGTACTGTTCATTGATAACCAGCTAAAAAGAGCCTATATATTCCAAAGAGCAAACCCAAATATTGCAGAGAAGGATGTACAGTTTATAACAAAATCACTAGGTCCTCATTTACTGGAAAATTATCTAATCAGAAATAGCTAACCTCTGGGCAAACCATCTACTGTGATTTCTATCCCAAGTACAACATGCATCATTAACATTAATAGGATGACGCATATCTCCACGTACCCGTGCTTAGTTAATCTCTATACCTGACCAACAACTGGAAGTACAAATTAAACCATTAGCTTTCTTGCATAAGACTATGCAAATATATATTTTCTATTTATATAAAATAGATTATCTTTAGGACATTAGACCAGGAAAAAGTTACCCTTTGTTGAGTGATAGCATCCCATTTGTTTATATTTTTAATGTACAATAATAAAAACAAACTATATTCTCCTGTAAGACAGATCTGGTGATAATGAAAGAAAGGTGCTCTTACAATGAACGTAGATCAACATATACTTTGTGGACATTTGACGAAGGTTTCCTAGCTCTGCAATGCAGTACAGGGACCCTGCGAGAGACAGTTGAGGCTGGTAAATGACAAATCCCTTTTGGAGATCAAAGGCAATCTTTACCCCATCAACACGGATCTGCTCAGGAGGAAATTCTCGATGCAGGGTTACTTTGGCAAGAGGGTTTGTCACCTGGCATGGAAGAAGAGTTGGCTGTCGTGTCCGCATCTGAACAACCACATAATAGTCTTCGGTAGGGACAAAGAGTTCCTGGGGGTCTAAATGGATATTGAGAAGATTAGTAATGGACATAAGGAGGCATGCTAAAATAAATGTAATAGTTAAGCTGAAATAAATAATAAGCTATTTCATAGCATTACACGGGTTAATAGTGTTATAGTGTAATATTTATATTTATGTATGCACGCCACAATATTTTAGTACACCTTGCTAATACATATTTTATTACACATATTTATATGCATTTCTGCCATGACAGGTTCTAACATCATACACAGTCCAAGAGGGTTATTTACTAAAGTGAGAATTCAAAATGAATTCAAACTGATATTAAAATTTAAGGTCAAAGTAGCTGAACTGGAAGTATGGCTAAACTATAGCTTTTTCTCCGGTTTGGCTATTTTGACTTTAAATCTGAAATTCACTTTGAATTCTCACTTTAGTGAAAAACCCTGTCAGTCTGGCCATCGATCAAACCAGGCAAAATGCCTGAAGCCAACAGGGATGATCAAAGAATCTTCCCAGCCAGCCCCTGTTGGATCGACACTACCTGAGTGCCTGCCCATGGAGGCCAGCCCAGTGTTATGAAGGGGCGGTCATTGTGTGCCTGGTATCTGCAGTCCCAAGTGTGTGCAGAGCGTATAAATTGCTGTGGCCAGCATATCAGTGTGTTGTCACTAGTTACCATGGAAGTGCTCTGATACCTTCCACAGTGGTGGCACAACATTAGACCACCAGGGCACGAATTCCCCTCTTCCAGGCCTAAGATAAGAAAGAGGGAGTGGAACACAAACTTTTTTTTTAACTACATTTTTTGCACCAATATAACTGCAGTTTCTCCTACAGTCTCCTACAGTCTATAGATGGTTCTACCCCACACATGTCAGAACCTATTTCCCATCAAAACACATACTTGGGGGCGGAGCCGACTGCTGCAGAGACTGGTCGCACGTTTCTAGAGCTCCTCACCAAGAAAGCCAATATCGGGTGAAATATTCAACTTAATTGCACCCACAGTGTTTAAGGGGATCACCCTCGCCAACAAGACCCAGATGGGACGCAGGAACAAAAAGCTCAGACCAAACAAGCCCAGTCCAGGGCTAACAATTGGAGACCTATGGCGGCAGGCGCATGGTACCACTGGGCCCAAGATGGCCACCCTCACTGGAGGTTGCTCCGAGTTTTCTGAGGACGACTCACTAGGAGATGAAATGGAATACCCGCCGGCATCAGAGAGTCTCATGCGGAGATCACAGGACCCAGCAGTGACTAAATCCGACCTAAAAGAGATGCTGGCCGAGCTCCAGAGAAATATCTCAGCGGACATAGCCACAATCCGAGGGGACCTGAGGGGCATCACAGGCCGCATCGGGAAACTCGAACTCACCACCAAGGAGCACTCCCAACAATTATTGTCGCTCCAGCAAACAGTTCAGGAATTACAACACCAAAACCAGCTATACGAAGAGGGCCAATTCCGAGTACCCAAACCCATCAGGGCCCCAAACAATGCCCCCAGGGACCTGGTGGTCCAGTTTCAAAGCGGGTCAGACAAAACCGCTGTCCTAACGGCACTAAGAGGACACTCACCTTATAATTTCGAGAACATGCCCCTCACAGTCTACGCCGACCTCTTGGGGAGCACCCTGGCATGGAGGAAAACGCTCCGGCCGCTGACCGCGCTCCTACAACAGAAAAATGTCCCCTACCAGTGGAAGCTCTCCCGCACATTGCTGGTGCACCACGGAGCCACTCCACACGCCATCCACAACCTCCAAGAGGATGCCGGACTTCTATCAGCCCTGGGGCTACCCCCAGAAGCCCTTACCCGAGACACGCAACCTGAACTAGCGCCCTCTAGCTCCTGGGACCCCACGAAGATTCCCCCCTTTGTCTCACGACGGATCGCCTCGGACTCTTATGTAGCTGCAACCACCTGAACAGGAGCAGCTGACGACCGGGACTCACATGGACACCAATTCAGATAATATAATGTTAATTTTTATGTTTATGATTATCACTGTCAAACCCAGTGGCATCGGTTTCTTATGTTATACGTAGCCTGGTCCCCACTCTATGGCAAAATAACTTGTTTTTGTTTCCCACCCCAGTTACCAGTACAGGGTGTACCTCGATTAAGAGATACACATGATGAGAACTAACACTGATTCAGACAATAACCTTACATGCTTACCATAAAGGAAAAAGATGAAGGTGCCACATACCTAACTGCTCTGCAGACGGTTACACCAGGGAAGCCTGCTGTCATTATATTAACAGTCTAGATATTACTGCAACCTAATTCTAAATAACAAGCATAGCCTAACAGTGCTCCCTGCGCACTATAACCTTGAGGGTTTTTTTGTTTTGTTCTTGTACTCCCCTGTATAGATACATTTTGGCCGGCTAATCATATGCCATTTTACTTGTTTTCTCTGTTGATTTAATCTGACTACAGCCAGGCTCCTAGCGTATCTGCTAAAGTGGAAATGTACAGTTAGGAGACGTCTTATTTTTATTAACACGCTTACCAGATGATTCTACAATATAATATGTTGTTGTTTGGTTTATGTTAACTCTCCCTTAACAAGCGCTCTACTAATTACCTGACTCAAACCCACTATGCGACTCCCACAGCAGGTGCAGACTAGTAATGAGCCAGGAGTTTTCAGAGTCATGCAGTGATACCATAGCTCGAATCTTACCTCCACCATAACTGTGCATGTGATAACTAACGGGGAACCCAGCTCACATCCCCCTTTTGGTTTCGGGAGAGACAAATCATTCCTCATACCAAGTCAGGGATACCAAAACTGTCACACCCAAGAGGATTATGAGACCTAATGCCCCATCTCTAGACCCGTAACCACAATGAGATGTCCCCCCAATTACGCCAACACTTTAATTAGTTTACTTAAATGCCCAGCGGTAATCACACACATGTGACATATAGAACGCAGACTAGCCAACACAAAGTAAACCTGTTAAAACCAGCAATTAACCTGCAACAAATGAAAGGTCTAGCAATTACTTCTCTTGTTGTTTATTTTTTTCCAACCAACATGTACCTAGCCAGTTTTGTTAACCAAAATTTGTGCGTTTTTAAAACACAGCAAGCGAATTGTACATTACTGTTTTCTCTAAGTATACAAGCCTGTCGATCTCACATGATGATTCAAGCTAGTCGCACTAATTTAGCTTAAACCATATTGTTGATAGCTCGTTTGCTGTATCGTTACCCTTTTCACTTTAAAAAAAAAATGTATGCATACCCAACTTGCCACAATACTGCTATCATATGTCTATAAAAATCGAGCCTGCTAATGCTGTTGTGGCGACACAGGCACTGTTGTAACTACCTGCATACTAAAAATAAAGAATTAGAAAAAAAACTAAACATACTTATCCACAAAAAGCACCTGCTCTTGACTCCATCCCTCTTTTGACTTGTTATTCCCCATATGGAGACACTAGAGACAAATCACAAGCAAACACAGAACAAGCATTTAATGAAATTCACTTGTGCTTTGCTACCAACACAACAAGTACCCTGCTCCCTCTTTTTGGACTGCTCTGTCTTGCCCGGAGTGAATTTCTGTCCCAGTCCAGCCCTGATCATGCACTTTACTTATCAATCATGGTTGTATTCAATGCTAGCTCTAGTCATTTTAGCCAGTGTAGTTCTAATAAATATATTTTCATTCTGACAGTAACTCACCTGTAACAAATACAAATGTCTTGCCTGTTTTCTCAACTCCATCTTGGCAATTATTACCTTCACACTGGTAACCCCCACAACTGTATTCACCAGTGTCTGCACCTGTTGTATTTGCTACCAGGAGCTGGCTATATCGGCTGAAATGTTTAATCCTGAAATATAAAGTGCTGGTGTTAGCCTATTGGATGTTTCTAAATGCATCTTGTGTTCCACACAATAGATTAGTGTTCAAACTCAAAGAAATCTGTCTAAATGAAAAATCTTGTTCTTGGGTAGAACATTGGCTTACAAATAAAGTACAAAGAGTTGTCATTAATGGTAAATTTTCATGCTGGACAGAGGTGGCAAGTGGTATCCCTCAGGTTTCTGTTCTGCGACCCCTTCTATTTAACATGTTTATAAATGATCTTGAAAAAAGCATTGAAAGTCATGTTTCAGTGTCTGTAGATGACACAAAACTCTGTAAATTAACACAATGTGACCAAAATATTACTTTGCTGCAAAGGGATTTAGATAGGCTGGGGGTCTGGGCACTCAAATGGCAGATGAAATCTAATGTAGAAAAATGCAAAGTTATGCACTTCGGTGTAAAGAATGCACAAGCAACGTATACCCTTAACGGAAGCGAATTAGGGATAACAACACACGATAAGGATTTAGGAATTGTTATAGACAACAAACTATGCAACAATGTGCAATGTCAATCAGCAGTGGCTAAGGCCAGTAAGGTATTGTCGTGCATGAAAAATGGCATTAATTCTCAGGATGAAAATATCATTTTGCCTCTTTATAATTCACTGGTAAGACCACATTTTGAATATGCTGTGCAATTTTGGGCACTTGTTCTAAAGAAGGATATTACGGCACCAGAAAAAGTGCAGAGACGGGCTACAAAATTAATAAAAGGAATGGAACATTTTAGCTATGAAGAAAGGTTAACAAATTTAACCCTTTAGTTTAGAAAAATATTGTCTCAGAGGGGATATGATAACATTATACAAATATATCTGGGGCCAATACAAACCATTGTGTGGAAATCTATTCACAAACCGGAATCTACATAGGACATGAGGTCATGCGTTTAGACTGGAAACGGAAAGAACAATAAGGATGTGGAATTCTCTGCCTGAAGAAGTGGTTTCATCAGAGTCCATACATATGTTTAAACAGCAACTAGATGCATACTTGCAAAAACAGAATATTCATTTATATAATTTTTCAACTATAGGATCAATCTGACTGCCATTCTGGGGTCAAGAGGGAATGTTTTCTTCCTAGTTTGTTGCAAAATTTGATGTGCTTCAAATTGTTTTTTTTTGCCTTCTTTTGGATCAACAGCAAAAAACAAATGTGAGAAAGGCTGAACTTGATGGACCCGTGTCTATATTCAGCCTATGTAATTAACTAACTAACTAACTAATGGTTTGTGAACCAAATTGGGATAAAAAAAATGACTCCTTATTTATTTCAGTGAAAATTTACATTTTCTAGATTTTCATAGCTTCTAGTTTGAAAGTAATCAATATGTTTAGAGAAATAATCATCATTATTATCACAAACAGCAGAAAAAATATTACCATGGTTTCTATATAATGTAAATGGTTTTAGAAGTAATTTGGTATATACACAAATCCCCCCACATCAGTAGGATTGTTACGGCAGGCATAGCTCGAGGCTAACATTCAGGAAGGACTTTCTAGAGTTTATTAGATGGTACAAAAGTAAATTAACAAATAGCTGCTAATTCCTCCTAGGAAGTCTGGGTTATCCCTAGTAGGGGGAGGAGGGCTAAGAGGTCTTGAGTCCTATATGTGTATTTTATTCCAATACTTTGGTAAAATATCCATTACTTGATTATTTAATAATGTTATATAATGTTTTACTAATATTAATTTTGATTTATGTTTTATAATATCTAGATGTGCTTACAGTGTCCACAAAGCTTTTTTCCATTACCTTAGTCTTCCTTCATCATCCTCTTGCAAGTAATGTGGGTAATTCCAGCGCACGGACATTCCTTTACAGCGCAGGTCCAACGTCTGACCAGCCTTCACTGTTACTGTATCACCTAACTGTTGAAACTTCCCTCTTTGAACAACTTGAGAAAGAATGGATCCAGCACCGTTTCTTTGAACAGGAGAAATGACAGACTTAGCCTTTTGTTTTACCATATCTGGTTTGGGTTTCTTTGTTGCTGGTTTGTTGGCAGTCCTTGCTGACACCACGTTTGTCACTTTCTTGTCTTTTGCCTTCTTTGACATTTGGTTGTCATCGCATTCAGCTGAAATCAAATATATTGTTTGCTTTAAGGTTACTTATACATGTTTTTGGACCACATAGCTAAACAGATATGTGCATTGCCATACTGAAAAACAGATTAATAATCTAGAAGAATATATTTAACTGTCTATTGTACAAACATGTTCTAACATTTGCAGAAGTCTACATTTCTTCAAAGACAGCTATGTGTACCTAAAGGGACACTATAGTCACCAGAACAACTACAGCTTAATGTAGTTGTTCTGGTGAGCATAATCATTCCCTGCAGGCATTTCCATGCAAACATTTTTTCTCTGAAAAGGCAGTGTTTACATTGCCCCTTAGGTACACCTCCAGTGGCCACTCCTCAGATGGCTACTAGTGTGCAGTACTGCCTTTTAGCGTCTCCACACTTTGCATGGAGACACTGAACTTTCCTCATAGAGATGCATTGATTCAATGCATCTCTATGAGGAGGTGCTGATTGGCCAAGTCAGCGTTTGGCCCCATCCCTGTCCTGCCTCCTTGCCGATTTTGATTATGTCAGCTTTTTCGCAAGATGTACTACACTATATTTTGCTGCATTCTTCTGCCTGCACATATACTACACCCTCTGTGATATTAGCTATGCGCTACCCTCACTTTTAACCTTATGCAACTTCTGTTATGTTGTGCCTAGTTATCCTAACCAAAGCGTGCAGATTGCAAAAAGAACTAGCAGAAGTGTCTGTCCTTGGTTGTTTACATGTTGTTCTCAGGTTTAAAATGGAACCACTGCATGGACAGAGTTCAGTATTGCTGCACTGTACCCAAAGTTTAGGATACTATTCTGAAGACCAATATTAATTATGATACCACAGCAACTAGTGCAAACCTGGAGAGTTCCCAGGTAAGCATGGGTATAATTTAATCGGGGCTGAACTGGCCTACCAGGATACTGGGAGATTTTCGAGTAGGCCGCCTGCCCAGGGTCCCGTTGTGCGCTGCAATCAGCCTCAAGACAGTCTGCGCTCCCACGGGCCGTGGCCAATCGCGTGCTTTTGTGACCAGCCATGGCCACAAGAGCATAAAGTATTTGCCCACGCCACCTGCCGGATATGAACAGTGCATGGGCGAAGCTTTACTGCAGACCAGGCCAGCCACTCACTCCTCCTTCCCTACTGCTCGCAGTGCCTGCTTGAGCAGAGAAGAGATTGTGCAGGCCAGGCTGAAACTGATGGACAGCTCATCTTGAGGTAAGGGAAAATGAGCTGTAGAACAGTATATTAAATTGTGGGTAGGACAGTATTAAATTGTGAGGAGGGGGCAGTGTATTAAATTGTGGGGACGGGGCAGTGTATTAAATCGTGGGGAGGCTGTGAGGAGGGGGGCAGTGTATTAAATAGTGGGGAGGTGGACACTGCATTGAAAAAGGAGGAGGGGCAGTGTATTGAATTGGGGGAGGGCAGTTTTGTTAAATTAGGTGGAGGAGGGCAGTGTATTAAATTGTGAGAAGGGGGCAGCGTATTAAATTGGGAGGAAGGGGCAGTGTATTACATGGGGGAGGGAAGGGGAGGGCAGTGTATTCAATTGGGAGGAGGGGGGGGCAATGTATTAAATTGTGGGGAGGGGCAGTGTATTAAATTGTGAGGGGTGAGAGTATTAAATTGGTAGGAGGTGCAGCAGTGTATTAAATTGGGAGGAGGGAGGGGAGGGCAATCTTTTCAATTGGGGCAAGGGGGACAGTGTATTGAATAGGGAGGAGGGTGTAGTGTATTAAATTGGAGGGAGGGAGACAGTGTATTAAATTGTATGCTGTTGTGCTGGTATGCAATTATTTCCAGGGCTGGTTTTTATTCCTGAATTTAATCCTTGCTGATCTAATAGTTCCTTAGTTTGCAGGTGCAATTAAAAGGATTCCTTAAGTGAGGTAGAAGCAGGATGACTGGTCCCAGGCTTGAGACCCAGAACTATTCCACCCAGTGTCTGTCCCTTCTCCTAAAGGAAAATATAGCATAGGCAGCTTTTCATTCCAGCACTACCCCGCTAGTAGAGAGAGAACTTCAGCAGAAGTTTCTCTAATTCCCACAAATATAATTTATATCATGCCCCTGCAGTCTCACTGTTAAATTATCTGCCATTTAGGAGTTAAACAACGTTTGTTTCTGTTTATGCAGCCCTAATCACACCTCCCCTGGCTGTGACTCACACAGCCTACATGGAAAAAATGGTTTCATCTTCAATCAGTTGTTACAACACAGTGTCTACTTTAGAATGTTTTATTTGCTGGTCTTTTAACTGAAATTTAATCACACACGTGAAGCTGTTGCAGGCTCTAGTATTCTATTCAAAGAGCAGGAGGTAATACATTCTAAATTAAACGCATTGTGCAAAAAATAAGCTAAAGATTTTGACTCTTTTTCAGAAAATGTGTAGGAAGGCTGTGTGAGACTAAGCCAGGGGAGGTGTGGCTAGGTCTGCAATTACCAAAATGTTTTAATTTCTAAATGACAAAGAATTTAGCTGGGGCTTGAGCTGTACCATTCCCCTTGATTAAACCCTTAATCCAGTTAGGCTGTGCCATTAGGCCAAACAAAGCCTGGGCTTTGTCAGCCTGGGCTTTGTCGGTCTGGGGCTTTCAATACCAGATGCTCCCATCTGTCAACTTGGGCCATATTTAGCAGCCCCAGACTCAGAGGCAGCTCTCTAATTAAGTCTATTTTAATCACGGCCGCCTAAATCGCCTTAGGGCAGACTTTGTCAGGTCATCGGTCAGTGACTGAGGACCCAACACCAGGAGGGGGCCCCGCGGCTTGCTCGATAAACCGTGCAAGGCCCCTCCATGCCGTCTGCACAGTAGGAGAGCGCCAGTGACTGCCGGTCTGTAGCTCCGCAGTGTGCAGAGTTGCAGACCATGTGTCTCGTGAGATCTGACTAATCAGAGCGTTGCCTCGGGTTACCACAGAAATGCTCTGACCGGGTCTCTCAAGATACATGGTTTGCAGCTCTGTATTTAGTCCCCCCTCCCTCACACCATCACCCCCCTACCTCCCAGTGCCCCTCCTCTTTTACACTATCACCCCTCCCTCCCAGTATCACCCCCATTTCACATTATCACCCCTCCCTCCCAGTATCTCCCCCTCCCAGTATACCCCCTCTTTCACACTATCACACCCTCCCTCCCAGTATTCTCCTCCCTTACACTATCACCCCCTCTCTTCCAGTATCCACCTCACACTATCACCCCTCCCTCCCAGTATACCCCCCTCACCGTATTACCCTTTCCCTCCAGTACCCCCTCCCTATATCCCCCTCACAGTATTATCCCCTCCCTCCCAGTATTACCCCCCTCACTCCCAGTATCAATCCCACAGGACTACCCTCATCCCTAACAGTATCCCCTATCACAGTATTACCCCCTCCCTCCCAGTATCCCCCTCACAGTATACCCCCTCTCTCCCAGTATCCCCCCACAGTATTAACCCCACCCTCCTAGTATCACTCCACAGTATTCTTCCCCTCCCAGTATCCCCCCACAGTATTACCAACTCCCTTTTAGTATTAGCCCCTCCCTTCCAGTATCCCTCCACAGTATTCCTCCCCTCACGGTATTACCCCCTCCATCCCAGTATCCCCCACTCCCTTTCAGTATTACCCCCACAGTATTATCCCTCCCTTCCAGTATCCCCACAGTATTACCCCTCCCTCCCAGTATCCCTCCACAGGTATTTCTCCCCAAATTACCCCCTCCCTCCCCATATCCCCTCACAGTATTACCCCTTCCCTCCAAGTATCCCCCTCACAGTATTACCCCTCCCTCCCAGTATCAATCCCACAGTACTACCCTCCTCCCTAACAGTATCCACCCACGGTATTCTTCCCCCTTACAGTATTATCCCCCTCCCTCCCAGTATCCCCCTCCCAGTATTATCCTCCTCCCTCCCAGTATCCCTCCACGGTATTCTTCCCCATCACAGTATTATCTCCTCCCTCCCAGTATCCCCTCACAGAATCCCCACAGTATTACCCTCCTCCCCAGTATTACCTCCTCCTCCCTCCCAGTATCCCTCCACAGTATTCTTCCCCTTACAATATTACCCCCTACCTCCCAGTATCCCCCCTCACAGTATTATCCCACTCACTCCCAGTATCCCCCCACCCCACAGTATTACCTCCTCCCTCCCAGTATCCCCCCTCACATTATTACCCTCCTCCCTCCCAGTATCCCTCCACGGTATTCTTCCCCTTACAGTATTACCCCCTACCTCCCAGTATCCCCCCTCACAGTATTACCCTCCTCCATCCCAGTATCCCCCCTCACATTATTACCCCTTTCCTCCCAGTATACCCCTCCCAGTATCTCCCCTCACAGTATTACCCCCTCCTTCCCAGTATCCCTCCCACAGTAGTCCTTCCTTCACAGTTTTACCCCCTTCTGTCCCAGTATCCCACTCCCAGTATTAACCCCTCCCTCCCAGTATCCCCCCGACAGTATTACCCCCCTCCCTCCCTCCCAGCATCCCCACCCCCACCGTATTACCCCCTCCCTCCCAGTATCCCTGCTGTGCACATTAAATTTTTTTATTTTCGGTAATAAAAAAAATTAATTTTGTCAAGAATCACAACTTTAAAATGCACAGAATTATACACAAAATAAAATGTATTGCCAATTGTATTCAATTGCAGCCCTTACAATATGAGATCGTAAGGCTTGATTCTAAACAAAGAAGACGATTTGTCAGCACACTGACGGATTGTTCAAATATTTCTGTCTCTCTCACATCTATGTAAGAATGTATCAGTATTGGTTACAGTGTACAGTGAAGAAAGTTTTGAGAAAATACCACTTAGTTTAAAATTTTCTTAAATTGATCCTACTATGGTATGAAAACAGTAAGCTGTAACACTACTTTTTGTAGTATAGGATGCTTTCCTGTATGTTGGTTATTTCTTCATATTTGATCATATTTACATTTTGTCAAGTTACTGGTAAAAATATATCAATAAAAATAAAACACTATCAAAATGTCACAGACAAAAAGGTGAGTATAAGATATCTGGTGCCATTATAGTAATGCTGTAATAACTCTGTATTTATATACCTCCCAAGTGTCCTGATTTAAGAAGACAATCCCTATTTGGGCCCAAGTCCCCGTGTCCCTCTTTTCTATCCTAATGCTCCTATTTTCTAAGCGTTCATATTGTTGGTGTGTCTGTATGTATAAATGAGCTCCACAGCAATAATATGCCAGCATTGTACACAATAATATGTACAATAAATGGTTTTGAAATTCACTCTTTGTGTAAATAAGATAAATTGTTCTTGCTCTAAATTACATAATTTATTAGTAATTCACCTACATTCTCAAAATTAACAACCCTGCCCTGGGCCACACTCCCACTCACACCCATAAAATGAAAGTGTTGTTTTTGTCAATTTAACTTTTTGTAAAGTATTTCATTATAAGCGTGCAGTGCCATTGCAGTGCTATTTATTTGTACCTAGTGCTGTAACACCACATTCTTAGAGTACATGGGGTACATCAGTGTACCTACTAATCCTTGTGAACAGTAGTTCCCACCGTTTAACACCAGGCAATGTTACAGTCCACAACATGACTGCAGGTGCATCCATAACCAACATGGAGAGATCCCTAAACCCAAGTACCAGATGATCTGAAATGGATACTGTCTACCCATCTACAGTTTGCCCACCCTTGCAGGGTTTTAGTTAGCACAGAGCAGTATTTGTGTGTTTGAATGTAGGCATGCTTTTATAAGGAGTATGTGTGTGTGAATGTTGGCTTTTGTTTTAAATAATTTTATTGGTTCATAGGGAAAGCAGTCATCCCACGCAGGGGAGGTAACCGAGCCGTAATAAACATACGTCATAAGCATATGCCACAAAGTGCATTATATATCAAATTAGAACAGTCAAAGCCTAGTGTGGCAGAAAGGTTATAGTTTGTGAACAGGAGTAACATAACAAAGATTAGGCAAATGTCATTTTACACATCCGGTCCAACATTAGCAATAATAAGCAATTCTCCGTATCCTATTTTGCAGTCGGCATATGTTAGCAGTAAAATTTTCAGCTGAATCTGAACCGAAGTATATGCACTATTGTCTAAGCTGAATTATAACAGGTCAAGCTAAAGCAAGTTAATTAACGTTTTATGTCTGTTCTTGACTTTGTTTGACTAAGCAATGCGTCGCAACCCAATAGTAAGTCCACATCTGTTGGCAGGGGGGAGCTAAACTATGGCATAACAAAAGGGCACACCATTAAACTATGACTGAACAGAAGGGCATACCACAGTGCAGTATTTGATAACTGAGGCTAGCTAAAGAAGTAGATTTCAGCTCAGTATGGCTCCTATTAAATGTATGGTCGGGGTTTACAGCAGTTTAACCCCTAGTGATTGCTGTCAATAAAGCAAAGTCCTAACTATATGGCGTACTGTTAAGCGCATGCGGCAAGAATGGAATATAGTAATCAGGCTGTGTAAGTCAGCGATAAATCTGAGCTATTGGCATTATAACAGCGCCTAATAAGGCCCTGGCATGTAGGTCTGTAACATATCACATGTTTGGCTCTGCCCTGGTTAAGCCTCATCAAACACATAAAATAAAAATAAAGTAGAAAAGAACTTAAATAAAAGTAAACCTTAATACGCATCTGAAAGGTTTTTTTTTTATAGCAAATATCAGAGAAAAAGTTAATCTTTCGCTTTTAGATATTAAACTGTCATTTTGGCTTGTATTTAAGTAAGCGGACTTTAAATATATCATGTAATAATTAAATAATATAGGAAATAATGTGTGGCATATAGATTTTTCTTTTTGTAGCCTGCTGCGTAGTTGCTGAGGGATGAGTAGAATATTGAAAAATTTAAGCGTTGATGGTCTTTTCGGCACCAGGTATTTACAGTCCCTTCACTGTTGGCTGCACATAGATGGTGGCCATCACAGGCAAATGTACGGCTTTCAATTGGTTTGTTGGACTTGGGGAAGGTAATTTCTCTCACTTGTTTCATGTCCCATGCACTCCATGACAGGTGCAGGGCATTTCTCAATAGCTGTCCGATGAGGGTCTCCCTTGGTTCCCAAGTTGCCAAGTCTCCGTCCGCCCCCCCGGGCTGGTCCCAGCCCAGCACCTGAGTCCTCCGCAGTGCTGTGGGCACTCGGGAGTTGAAGCAGACCACTCGACCCCCACACCTAGAGTCTGTGGGCCATCCACACCCTGCACCTCCCCATCGCCACCTCAGACCCAGTAAAGCTCGTGTCCGCGTGTCTCTCCTGGTGCCGGCCACATACTTAGGGCCGGTGCATGCCGCTCCCGGCCACCAGTCTGCCGGAAAGACCGTGCTGTCCCGCCCCACCGGGCTCGCGGCAGCAGGGACATAACTCTCTGGGGACCCCACAGAGGCCAGGGCACTCACTTTTCCTGCTGGCCGGTATTCATCGTGGGGGGTCCATTGGGCACCCTGCAACACCAGGTTCCGCTCGGGCCTTCTAGGTCGGCTCCCCATGGTGAGTAATCTTCAAAGGGCCCCTTGTTCTGACCTTTCAAAAACGTCTCCGTCCCTGTCATATGTAGGTTTCCTCTCCCCAGTTTCAGTGGGGCCCCCCCGCACCTGAAGTGCTTGTCTTGTGGAGGGGTGCCCCAATGATGCGCCTTTCCGCGGTGCCATTCTGCTGGTAACGGACGCCGATGTTCAGGAGCCGCATGTAGGCCGGGCTCGGTTCTCTCCGCCTGCTCTCAAGCAGTAAGGTACGTGCAGGTGACAGGCATGTACCGGAGCCTCTCCTTCGTCTGGGACGATGCGGATTTCGATTTTTAATCAGTCTGGGGCCGTGTGAAGGGCTGTTTCTGGAGGTTTAATGCCGGAGCCCATGTAGATGGCGGCCAGTCGGCCCGGCGACCCAGCCCCGCCCCCCTGAATGTTGGCTTTTGAATGCAGGTTTGCATGTGTGTTCAGTGTTTACACTGCCACACACAGATACACACATACACACTGATACACATACCGATGAAAAGACATTCACACATAAGCACACCGACACATATACAGAGATACGAACAGTGGCACACAGATAAACACTGGCACATACAGTCAGGGCCGAACTGGGGATACAAAGCAACCCTGGAAAAAAAAATCTATGCCAGTCCTAAAAGTCATTGCGCCATATATTGCCGTATGTAATATGTAAGGCAATGTCTTGCCACCCCAGATGGTTGAGTAATTATATATATATATATATATATATATATATCTCGAATATATATTGCTTTTTCTCATATATAATATTTGTCCTTTCAGAGTAAAAAGTTTAATTATACAGTAAGCATACTCACATGCAGACACAGACAATCTCACTGACACACACAAGCTTATTGATACACAGCCTCATTGACAAACAATGTCACTGATATGCATAAGCTCATTGGCATGAAAAAACACAAGCTCACTCACTCACTAGCAGGCACACACACACACATACACACACGCAAGCTCACTCACTAGCAGGCACACACACACACACACACACACAGCTTAATGTGGTTCTGGTGTCTATAGCCTGTCCCTGCAGGCTTTTCAATGTAAACACTGACTTTTCTGAGAAATGACAGTGTTTACATTGCTTCCAAGTAAGACCTCTATTGACAGTCACTCAGACAGTCACTAGAGGTGCTTCCTGTGTCAGTGCTGCACAGTGTGATTGCACAGTGTGCAGTACCTACATTCAGGGCCTTTGCAGCCAATCATATGGCAGAGCATAGGATTGGCTGAGATCATCAAGCAGGGCCAGTCGAGGGGAGACCACGGCATAGGGAGAAAAACAAAAAGGAGAGTAAAAACACTTTTTAAATACACACAGACACACACATACACCATGACAGACACACACACACACACACACCATGACACAGACACACCATGACACTGACACACACCATGACACAAACACACACCATGACACAGACACAGACTCACCATGACACAGACACACACCATGACACAGACACACACACACACACACCATGACACAGACACACACACACCATGACACAGACACACACCATGACACAGACACACACCATGACACAGACACACACACCATGACACAGACACACACCATGACACACACACCATGACACACACACCATGACACAGACACACACATACACTCACACTGACAGAATGACACATATTACCTGTGGGTGACCGGCTGGGTGTGCTAGTGGCCGCAGGGGGAGCTCTGATGGCTGCATAGGGAGGTCTGCTGGCGGCCGCTGGGGGAGGTCTGCTGGTGGCCGCTGGGGGAGCTCTGATGGCGGCCGCTAGGGGAGCTGTTCTGTCTCTGCTCCCCTGCCCTCGCGCGCAGCTTAATGAGAACGGTGCCGGAATTCTGGCACCGGTCTCATGAAGCTGCGCGCCAACCACTCAAAAGCAACCCCACTAACGAAGACCCACCAGCGGGCAAACAAACGCGCATCCTGACTAAACTGCCCGGCATGAGACCTTTTTATAAGCGAGCGTTGACTACTTCTCTGCTACCCCCCCCCTCTGGACCTGCGGGGGATATCCTGATCCTCGGTGGGAACGATTACCCCCACAAAGCAGACTAAACAAGCAACCAAACCTACAATCAAACGAGACAATAGAAACGCAATCAAGATGACGGCACAGGCGCGTCCGAAGCCAAAAAGCACTCTCGTTCAGCCACCCAAGCACACCCAGGAGTTCTTTGCCCGGCTATGTAACAGCCTATGGACAAAGATCCGCACTAAGGGCCGGTCCTTCCATCTCGCCATGAGAACAGTGGCGGCATGGATCCGGCCGACTACACGGCGACACCACATACTCACCACAAGCTCCCTGGGTGACCTCCAGTCAGAGACAGAGTCGGGTGGCAAGGTGGCGGGAAAGGGCAACAGATCCCTCAGACGCCGACACTCGGCATCACATGCACCACAGCAAGACCACCAAGCCCACTCTCCACACAGCGACGCAGGAAACCTCCAACCACTCAAAAGCAACCCCACTAACGAAGACCCACAAGATCCAGCCTCCTGCCAGCGAAAGACAAACGTGGAGAGCACCACCAAGACGAAGGAGGGACGGAACTCTACAGCGGCACCAACTCTGCCGTTGCCCTTGGCTCACCCGTCAAGCCCCCATCGCAGATCGACCAGAACAAGCTGCGCAGAGAATAGCCACAGGAATAGGCTGACTGCTGAATGGGGCCATCAAGCTGCATCTACCTGAGCACTACACGACACTGAGCTTTGCGGCAGTTAGCTCCATGCTATGAGACTCTCGTAAGCCAACCAGATGAAGCATTTAAGCTAGTACTCATACCCATGTTTTAATATGACCTGTAGCTTAGCCTGGTTATAGCTTAGGATGTTAGTCTTACATAGTCTCAGCTAGCCCATCTTAAATGTAGGATTCAATACACCCAACAAGTTAGTTACCTGCATAAGATTAATAGTTTTGTTTTAGCATGAACCCAGTTTATTAGCATGTATACTACTGCTACGACCTCACAACTTAAATACTAAATGTGTGCCTAAACTACTGCATAGTCCAATGTTTCTCATATAACAGTCTACCTCGATAGGCATCGCTACCAGAATAGCCTGTTTATACCATAACATTTAAAATGTGCCAATACTCTCATGCCACGAATGTACAACTACTGTGTTTATATCTTTCAATTATGCCGTTGTGGCATAGGAAAATGTTTTGTCATTCCTTGCACAAAGAAAAATAAAGAATTGAAAAAAATTTTTTTTTAAATAATTTGAATTAAAATAAAACAAATTACTAACATTTTCTCCAGTACTGGGTCTTCGTCGGCACTGCCGTGACCTCCTCTGATTGTCTGACCCTGGAGGTGTACCTAAGGTGATGTGCCTCAAATTCTGCCATAGAAAATAATTGAATACAGAGAGTCAGGAAGTAAGATTCATGGCTCTCATACCCAGAGGCCTTGAAGGAGTAGCTTGAATCCAAGCTTCCAAGACCTCTAATTAGGGAACTAAAGTGTTTTGATGGTAAAAAAGGGTAAACAGGTCTGCAGGCACTATAACAACGTCAATAAAATTAAGTTGTTAAAAGTGCCCACAGTATCCCTAAATCAATGGCTCTGCTAGGGCTGTAGTACCCATAAATTGACCCTAGGTGGCAGCCAACAGCCCAGGGCTTAGACAGGTTCCCTTGGATCCATGAATTTGATTGGCCCTATTCACTACCTCTATGTGAAAAAAGAAGCGGGACCTCAAACCATGTAACTGGCACAGGGCCATGTGGGATCTTAATTCTTTTTTTACTGCCCTGTTTCATCGAAAATAATACATCCCCCGAAAACAAACCATAGCTTATGTTCGGGGATGCTTGTAATATAAGCCCTACCCCGTAAATAAGCCATAGTCGCTAGTAGCTAGTTCGCTAATCTATTTTCGGAGAAGTTTCCCTGAACATAGATTTGCGGGATTCCATGCGTTTGTGTACTGGTCTATGTTCTGGGGAATTCCCCCAAATGTAGATATCCCACAAAAATAACCCCTAGTGTATTTTTCTGGACACAGTCTTATTTTTGGGGAAAGGCAGTATATTCCACAACAAGCACACATGTAATGAATTATGCTCAACATTTCACAAACGCTACAATTTAACAGCACTATTTTTAATAATTGCTGGCAAATTGTTATTTTCATTGTTTTATTAGTTATAAACATCTCTTAAATCTAAGTGAATTTAAATTAAGACTGGGCCACTGTATCAAGAAATAAGGACAAAGATGCAAAATTCAGCCACAGGGAAACATTAATGTTTACAAGAACTCTTTTCTTGCCCACAATGCCCCCTTTGTTTCCGTAGGAATGTATCCTAGCAAAATATTCTGTAATGAGAGATGAAAACTCAGAATTGCCGGGGTTAAAACAAATTTCACCGTTGCATCCCCTTGGAGCAGACACATCAGGATGCCACCTTAAACTGAGAAATGTCTCCCAAAAAGTCTCTTAACATTGTTGATTAGAGCATCCAAGTAGGAGGTCAATCGATTGGTCTGTCATGCTGTGGCAAGTTTAGCAGCACCATATTAAGCCAGCTATCCATGTTGAAGAGTAGAGTGTAACAATACCAAAGGAAAGATAGGTCTTACCTAGCAGTAGGAGACTGGGAAGTAGAATCAGAAGAAGTTTATAATCCATTACTGAATAACACAGAATCCAAGAAGCTCTGTTGCAGTGTTAGGTGATACGCTGTTTGTACAGTAGCTTACTGCCAGAGTGGAGGGGAGGTACTGTGAAGTGACATGTAAAAAGGGGGATGTTGGAATGAAGAGGTGGGATTGCAGACTGTTGGGATACAAGAGAGAATCAGTGCAGGCAGGGCCAACCCACCCATTCATTTTTGTTGGTTCTGGCAGGGCCAGACATACCTCAGGCACCGTAAAGGAAGTACTAACTAAACACTCAGTTGTGGTGAGGTACCTGAAGAATAAATCTCAAAATATTGTGGACAGCTCCCATCAAGCTAAGCCATTATAGGACAAACATCTGCAACTTTATTTTATTGCCATTGGTTTTGTATTTATTCAATTATGACATTATTGTTTTCAATTATCGTTTTCAATAAAATAATAAGTATGTTCCTTCCTGGCTGTTTGTATCAGATAACTGCAAAATGGGGAATATTTGGCCTGATAACTGACAATCCGACCAAAAGTGCTCACAGATGGCTGTCAGAAAGGAGGGGTGACAAATGCAATCAAATTAAAAAAAAAAATCAATATACATGAATACAAAATAAAAGGACATTGTATATAATAACGTATATTATAATATATTATAGATATTATAATGTTTGAATGTCACTGGCTGCTCAGCACATACAGCATGCAATGTACAGAGTTCCTAAGTGTCTGTGACTAAGACAGGTAATTGGTGCCAGGACACAAGATAAAGCTGTCCTGCCCAGTGCATAGTTCTCCTGCTCCTTCAATTTGAGATGCCGGGGAGTCATCAGGGCTGGTATTATATGTTAGAAGCCTCTAGGCACAGAATTCTTAGGTGACCTCTGCTTTCTCCCCAAAATAAGACAGAGAAAGTAAAATTTAGTGTGTTTATTACTGGACAATGCAGCTATAAGAAAATATCTCTAAAAAAAAAAAAAAGTATGTATTCAAATTTGACAACTGCTTATGTTTATTTCTGCTTGTAATATATCGTGCTATTAGTATTGTGTGTGTATACAGCTATGTGAATGCATGTAGGGTTAAAAATAATGTTAGAAGTAGTTGGGTAAATGGGGTTTAAGGTTAGAGAGGGGTTAATGTCAGAGTTAGATTACATAGGGTGTTTAGTGTTAAAATTATAAAAAATTGAGGTTTTTCCCCCCTTATAACTTTTTCCTTTTCTCACCCTGTTCACACCCTAGTCCTCTATACGTGTACTATATTAATCTACTAGGTGGGTAGTAGATGGTTATGGAATTGATATTAGAGGTTTCAGATTGGCTTTACATGCATGACGATATCGGTGCCTCTTATGTGAGTACCCCACTACGATTTTTGGCTGTTTCATGCTGCTGCCTCAACAAAATAGTGCAGACTCAATTATTGCATTGATATTAATTTGAAAGAAGCAACCTGTTATTTACTCTGAAAATTTACAAACTTTCTATATCACTACTTGATGTGAGCTGATCACCTTTGGAGAAAAGTTTTGGTTGACAAATATGATTAGAAAACGAGAAGACCATAGACACTAACTATTTGTTTTCAAACACTTTTGGACACAAAGTGCATGTTTATGGCTAAAGGATCCTGTCATGTGCTAAAAGTAGGGATGAGTTTTTCTTATTTCTTTACATATACTTCTTTTAAAAAAAAATATTTTTTAGGAGGGCTTGGTTCACTGCTCCCTGTGATGGATGCGTGAGGCACTCGCTCCTCAGAGCAGCAGCCTGACACAGCAGTTAAAATAGAGTTATCTACCCAATAATCTGCCAACAACTGGCTATTAACACAGAACAGAGTGACAACCAACTGCTCAACCAAGAAACCATAATACACTTAACCTGGCACAGACACGCTGATATCTCTGGCCTCGTTTTCCAATAAGTGATATAACATGGATAACAGTACTTACACCAACTCCAGTGATGGATTCTTTTATCCAACAGGTTGTTCATGAGTTACAGGCTGTCACGTATCCTTCGTCTCCATGTGACAAACACAGAGTGTGTTCCTGATTGTGTTTTTCTTTGGCTTCATTTTGACTTCTCTGACTTCTGGTACCCTTGACTATTGGCTTTTCCTTATCGCTGTGTCTCGTTCTGTGTCCCTGACTTTGGCTAGTATTTTGACTATTCTCTGGTATGTTAAATCCGGTTAGTCCTAGGTGTGATACTATTCTGCATGCTGGATCAACTGTAATCCTGACATTACGGCATGGCCATAGATCCAGCAGATATGTGTCAGCGCATAGTAGTGTTACGGTACCTCCAGTAATAAATGTACAAACCGCCGTTTAGTAAATGCTCCCCATTTGCAATAATGTGGTCTGGTAGCGTGTACAGTATAACCATGCGAACCGCCAGCTAGGGAACACTCCAAACTCCCGAACGGTACCTGTACGGCTCTTTCCCTTCACGAGCTGCAAATCCACGAACTGCCAATATTAGCCGAACGCCAATACCCTCCAAGCGGCAAATAATTCCAATAAGCAGTCTCTAAGCGCCGGTAATAAAATCCCCCCAATAACGAGACCAAGCTCCGCCTTGAGGGTAAAACACGAACTGATTTACTGCGGGCTACCTGCCCGGTATTTATGCAGGTCTCCCACTTGGTGGACACTCCCCTAGGGGACCAAATGGGAGACTGGAATAACAGAAGGACATGGGGACATTTAAGACATACATCCCCACAATATTCCCAGCATGCATCACAGTTCCCTCCCCTCTGCTCGGGAGATAATTGGGAAGTAATTCAATTATCTCCCAGAGCAGAGGCAAATCGCCATTTTAAGTACAAGTCATAAAACACATAAAAATACATAACTTTATAACTGCCGAACATATTGCATTCGTGTAACACATCCCCAGATAGCCTGGATCTGAGTGCATATTATTGGCGAATAGCGCTCAGATCCCATTCGCATAGTTCAATCGCCACGGAGTCAAAGTCTATTACAGTTCTTCGGTATGCAATTGACTCCATGGGAAGGCTATCTGGGTTAAGTCCATTCGTGTTGTTAAATCTATGCTTTTGTCGATTGAGAAGGGGAGGTCGATGGCTTCAGCGGTGTTCGGTTGAAAAAGTGTCCGTTTTCAGTTCCATGAAATAACCGTCGAACACCGCTGGTTTTTCGCATGGTTAAAATGGCCGCCGCCTCGTTTTCGACATACGAACAACGACCACCCTGTATTCGGTTTTAATTGAGAAGTGTCTGTGGTTAACCGCAACGTTCTAATTGGGATCAATAGGTTAACCAGCAGCACACTTCTCTTGTGGGTGGCCGTCCGTTCGGTAGTTCCGTTCGACAAAAAACAGACATTCCCTTAAACAAAGCATACGAATGGGGAAATTCATGCAATTGGCAAAACAGACGAACACAGTGCTTTTAGTCCATACAGATGGGTCTGTCACAAGTAGCTTGTGAGAAAAAGCTAGAGGAGAATGATCACCGTATGGATCAATTCGCCCAAGCTTTTAATATACTACTAATCAGAGGTGACTCTCTAATTAGGCGATTTAGGCGGCCACCTAAGGCCTCGTGCTAATGGGGGCCTCGCAGCTGCCTAAATCGCCTTAGGGTGTGAGGACCCTCCTGTCAATCTGCCCTGACTGAAAGCCGAGCACTGCCTCCAGTCTGCAGCTCTGCCGGGAGTGAGCTGCAGACTGAGGTGTCTTGCGATTTCCAGCCTGTCAGAGCGTTGTAATCATGGCAACGCTCTGACTGGGGATCGCGAGACTTACCACGTGGTCAGCAGCTCACTCCCGGCGGAGCCCACCGGACCACCAGGGGAATCCAGAGGGCCCTTCCACTCCCCTACCCCCCTGTTACTGCCCCTCCATCCCCCTATCCCCTGTTACTGCTCCTCCATCCACTCTACCCCCTGCTACTGCCCCTTCATCCCCCACCCCGTTACTTCCCCTCCATCCCCCTATCTCCTGTTACTGCCCCTCTATCCCCCTTCCCCGTTATTGCACCTCCATACCCCCTACCCCCTGTGTTACTGCCCCTCTGTCCCCCTACCCCCTGTTACTGCCTCACCATTCCCCTACCCCCTGTTACTGCTCTTCCATCCCCAACCCCTTTTACTGCTCCTCCACCCCACACCCCGTTACTGCCCCTCCACCCCGACCCCCTGTTACTGCCCCCCACCATGTTATCCCACAGCCACCCACACACCCTCTCACCCCTCCCACACACACCCTGTCACAACTTCCCTTCACACACACTGTCACCCCCACATGCACACATTGCCACCCTATACACATACACTATCACAATTCCCAAACACTTTCAGCCCCCACACACTGTCTCACCCTTCACCCAGCCACACTCACATTAAACCCTCCTAACTCTGTAACTCTCACATATCGAATATAGGACACCTACTATCACCCTATCTTCATTGGGTACTTAATGAATCAACTACAAGGTAAAGCCTTAGCATGGGCCAATCCATTATTGGAAATTAATAAGACTGTTTCCCATAATTACCAGGAATTTATTGAGGAATTCAAATTAACGTTTGAACCATTGGAAAGGGAAAGCAACGTCTCCACTGCCCTAATGCGTATTAAGCAAGGGAACTGGTCTGTCTCAGAGTATGCCATAGAATTCCGCACCCTGGCTTCTGAGGTAGACTGGACCAACAACAGATTAATCACTGCATTCTCAGAGGGATTATCCGAAGCTATCCTTAATGAGATTGCAGCCAAAGAACTACCCAGGAAATTAAATGAATACATCACTTACGTGATGCATATAGGTAATTGATTTAGGAACAGGGATAACTAGAAATAGAGCCAGACGTATGACTATGTCACTGGTGCCTCACTTCTCCAGTCCTGTTGTTTCTGCCCCCTTGTGCAGTCTGAAACTGAACCTATGCAGTCAGGGGTTATGATACAGTCAGAGGCAGAAAAACAGTTTAGGAGAAGAGAGGACCTTTGCTTATACTGTGGCAAGAAATTACATATGAGAAATGCTTGTCCCATATGTCCGGAAATCTTCTGCTCCTAAGAACCAAAAGGGGACAGGTCTTAGGTGTGATGGATATGTCCCATGGTACTACCCAAAGTAGATTTCTCCTTGATATTA